GTGTGCAAGGGGATCACGAAAAACGAGTCTTTGAGCGAGTCCGTGATGCCGGGCCCCCAGGGGAGGTGGGCTCGCTCAACCTGGAGGTTCCGGGGGGAATGTGCAATTGTTCCGCCGAAACCCGGCTCCTCACGAAGAGCAGTAGGTCAGGCTGACGGGTCCTCCGCGCTCGAAGCTCGCTGAGCCGACATGTGCGGCCGTTCGGGAGACGTCAGTCACGCAGCACCTTAGGGTGCAGGGAAGCGTAGGATGGCGGTGATGCTGGGAGGTGCCGTCGTGGTACGCGGCAGCCTGATGACACGTGCCCCGGCAGGCCGCAATTGTAGTAGGTGACACGGCCGCCTCCGGAACGAGGCGCCGACCTTGGTCACCGCTGCTCGTCCGTCCATCGCTCCCCATTGCCACGCCGGTCACCTCCACCCCGAGTTGACGCGCATGCCAAAAGGGGCTCCCCTCCATCAGGTGGCCCCGGCTCCGTGCGGGATACGGCACACGTCACCAGCACCCTGTCCCGTTGTAGAAGTTGCTGGGCCCGGATGCACTTAGCGACCTTGAGAGACGAGACGTCATCATCTTTGGCTGGAAGAATGGTGTAGAGGGATTTCGCCAAGGCCAGCAGTCTCTCGAGGACCAACGCGTCGATCCCATCGTGGTCCATTTTGGGGAAGGCGGCTTTCGCCAGCGCCAAAAGCGCGTTACGGAAGGCGAGGGCCGACTCAGTCTCCCCCTTCCGCCGCGTGGCGAATTTGTGGTGCGTGTTCGCCGGAGGCTCGTAGATGGATGCCATCTGGTCAAAAGCCTGCGTGAGGGTGGACCTCTCCAGCGGCAGGATGGCAAGGAATGCCACAAGGGCGTCGTCGTCAAGGGCGATAGGCAACGCCCGCAGCGCCTCTGCCTCCATCCATCCCGCCAAGTCGGTGTTCGGGAGGAACCGCCGCTTGAAGGCCACCCAGTCGCCACTGGTAGCCGTGAACTCTTTAATAAAGGGAAGCTGTCGTCGGAGAGCCGGGATGTCCAATGGCGCCGACGGCCCATCTTCAATTTTGGTGGGCTGCGTGCTCCGCACCGGTGACAAAATGGCGGCTGAAAGCACGGGCTGCACCGCCGAGTTCCCCGCCTGCTGCGGAATGGCGGTGGAGTTGTCGTCCCTGAGCGGCATCGCCACTCCCTCCTTCACCAGCGAGACTGTGGGACTGATCTCCGGACGGCGCCCAGCTCCGCTGACAGCGTCTCCCCCGCATCTTCCGAAGCTGTTGGCGGCACGAGGTCCTCGTCCTCGCTGTCCGACGTCCTGGTACGTGGTCTACGACGTGTAGACATAGTCTACTGATAGCTGTATAGAGTAGTGTGTTGGCCACTTCCGACACAAGTTGTAGTGAGTCCAACTGAGTCACAGACGTTATTCTTTAGAGGCAACACATTTATTATACCAACACGTAATACACAAACGGGTAACTGCCCCTTTACCAGATACAGCCTAGGGTGGTGACCACCCAGCTAACTACACTGTATGGAGGAGTTACAGCTACGAAGGGTCGGACCCTCACTCGGGGCCCGGCCACGTGTTGATGTCTTGTAGGACGTAGAGCTTCCAGCTTGTAGGACGTGGAGCTTCCAGCTTGTAGAACGAAGCGACCCCGGTCCCTCTCAGGGACCCACCTTATATCCTCCCGGGTCGGGGCTGGCTCCTGCCAAGCCCCGCCCGCCTTCTCGAGCGTTATAGCTCCCTCTTGATCCCTCGCGAGAGCTCTCCCCGGACACGTGATCACCCCCTAGACCCCCACCTGGGGCCCTCTCTGTGGACACTCCGGATCACGTGTCTACGGGGTCAACCAGAGTGCCATGGCCCGGGGCAACCCTGCCCCTGGGCTGACACTCTCCCACTCCCCCTCGTGGGAGGCCGCACTACACGCTATGCGTGGTGCCAGCGCTATCCCAGCGCTCACCAAGCCCCACTAGGGCTGGTACTACACCCATCTACGGGGTGTACGCGATGACGGTGCATCGCACGGCGTGCTATAGTAAAGCCGGCATCACACAGCAACCCACCCAGTGCTGTCCGAGACGTAGGAACATCGCACGCCACGACCCTCCCTGGCCAGCACCATACAGTGGCATCCCCGATGTCACTACACATTCACTTGTGACTGAACAGAGACCATCAATTCGCTACAAGTCCCATGGATACAAACCCGGGATCTAGGCAGTGCTGGGTCAGTTCCCTGAGCAATCAGTCACCCGATAACTTATATGACCTTATTCTTAACTTGTGTTATATTTTAAACACATTTACTATGTAATCTTTATGCCCAAAAAACACTTTACCATCATGGCAATTAACAATGCCTTAAAAAGTTTAATGCACACTGTTTTAGGAAATTAGCATTATGTACAGATAAAATGACATTACCTGATATCTTCGCCGATTGCTCATATACAGTAAATATTTTTGTACGGCAATGTTAATGATGAAGAGAGTGAGATGTTGTTAGGTCTGAGAAATCCATTCAAGTTTCGGTCCTGGGCCTTATGCCACTGCCAACACAATAGCCATCTTATTTATAAATGTAATGATGCTTAGTGTCAAACAAGGAAAACAATCTACAGCACACATGACAAAACGTATGATTGCTGTTTAAAGCTAAAATTAACCACTCTACTGTTTATATAAATGAAGATTTGGCTTGAGCTCTGCCCTGTGGCATTGCCACAATCAGTCGAATGCACCGCACGCTATGTAACATTGCTTTGAGTCAGGCCAGCAGGGGACATAAAACACAGGCCTGGGATGGCCAGCCATAATGGTCATCCCTCTCCCGGCAGCACAAGCCGCCCCCCCCCCACCCCCACTGTGGTGAATTTGCACAACAGGGAAACCAAACAACCCAGAAGCCCTTTACCCATCCCCCAACCCTGCCCCCTCATCGCCCTACCCATCCCCCAACCATCCAGCAGCCCAGTTGTGCTAAAATTACAAAGTGTCGATGGGCAAAAGGGGGAACCGTAAACTAAGCTTGAGCCATCGCTTCCGCGTCCCGAGGGCGCCGAGAGCAAGTTCGGCTGGAAGCCAAATAAAGCAAAATGTGCCATTGTTTCTTGTGCAATATAGATAGGCCAGTAAACAAAACAAAATGCTGAATACGAGTTGTAATACCGTGTTCAAACACAAATCAATGCGAATGTGTCTTTCTGCCGAAATGAGCGTGGAAATAAATGTCTGTCGCTGCTCATCATTAGGGGGCCGGTCTCCACTGGTAAAAATGTAAAAATAAAATCCCTTAATACCTAAAACCCTTTAATACTTACCTGCTCCTCATGCAGATTATAAAATGCACACACAATCCCTTCCCTTCCTCCACCCCTGCGGGCTTCTGTTCCCCACCAATATTATTTACGCAACTGCCTGTGCTGCTCACTGGGGCTTGGGCTTTGTAAGGGTACGTGGTGGTGGTGGTGATGATAATGATGCATCGAAGCGTGAGTGCAGTGAGAACTGATTATTTTTGATTGATGCACATTACATGAAAATTTGTCGATGCTTACATTGAGGTTAAGGCGACAAACCAACACGTACACGCGGGACTGGAAATACTCGTGACAATTACAAACAAGACATGAAATACAAGGGCAGAGGAATACATTTTTGCCGTTGAATCATGATCCTGAATTGTCGTAAATTAACTTGGGGGGAGGGGGGTATGTTACAGCCAAGAAAATCTAATATTTGGTATGTAATGCTATTTAGTTATTATTGAGCTTATCCAAAATAGACCTTAATAAAACAAACGCTTGCCGTTTTCAAATGCAGGTCCGCGTTAAAGTGTCTTCACGTTGAAATGAGAGTCGGGTGGTGCAACACCCCTGCCGATGGCTCTGAGCCATTGGTAGAAACTCCACGTTGTTGTGGTGGGTGACCACAGTTAACTCCCATAGCACGATCCATTGTCTTCACTTTCAACAGTGGCACTCGTGGTATTAACCCGCGGAGGACGATGGGCCGAATTTATCTCCGGACTCATGACCTTTCCGATTGTGAGTCGAGCAACTGTGCCACGGGGCCCCCAGACCAGTGTTGGAATGGGGGATGCTGCCACCAGATAAATAGTATCTCAATTGTGGGATCGGTCGCACAATGTGAAGAAATGCCCTTCCAGAATTCTCTCAGCCAACAGTCACCCTCCTCTCCAACCCTCTCCCCCACGACTCGGACTGGTGACCTTCCGATCCAAGAGCACTGCCACATCGTCACGCAGTCAGCAATTTATTAAGCGTTTAAATATAAACCGTAACTATAATTAAGCGGTATTTACTCATTATGGAAAGCCTTTCTCAAGCCTTAAGACCTTTCCCACAGGGATGTATTGTCAATTCTCTTTTAAAGGAGTATTTCACAGGTGGGTGAAAACTACAGTGCCCAGAGAAAACCCACTCATACATGAATGGGGGCCTAGTACTGAAACTTGGTGTCATGCTTCACTGCTCTTGCAGCTCAGGGCCCCACAAGGCCTCTATCTCTACGTGATGCACACAGCCTGCTCCAAAGTCACCGTGTAACGCACACGCACGTGTGTGCCACCATGCCTGGTGACACAGCCCCTCTGCGCGTGCGTGCCGCAGGTCCTGGTGCATTCCCAGCAGAGGTTCTCAAACGAGTCATAGCGGCGGGAATAGAAACGAGTGGCTGCGTTATATCCCAAAGTACAAAAAGGAAAAATCGGTCAAGCAGGTTAGGTAATTCAATAATACACACCTTTAAAGGAATAAGCCACTCTTGACCTATTTCTCGCCTAAACTGCTCAGAAGTATATCGCGCTGGTGACAGGAGATGCCGCTTGTGTAATGTTTGCGACCTTGCCGCAAGGACAGATGGGGCCCAGCTTTTTTGTTATTCGATCACAGCTAGGCTTGAAGTCACGTCCCCGCAGTTCAAAGGCACGAAATTACCAGTGCGTGCATATGAAGCGGGGTACAGGCCTCTCCCGCCTGCACATTTGGGTTACCTTTGAAATCGGCGTGCCTTTGATGAGTTTTCCAGGAGGAACTCTTCTGATCTCTTCTTCTTCCCTTCCAGGACGAGCCACACATTTTCCTTTGTGTCGGCGCCTTCGCTATCACCGGTCACAACTGTGATTTCGAACGCTGGAACCAAAATGAGCTTCCCATCAGCAAGGGCAAACAATAATATTTTCTATAATGGTGCGAAATACCCTGTACATCTTTTAAAAGTAAAAATATATGTTTGGGATTTATAAAAGTGACCAAATATGAACATGTGCATTATTCCTATTCAGTTGTGTTTTTTTCCAAAATGACAACTCTCGTCTTCTCAGAAGGCGTTACCGATTTATTGACGTAGTCAAGATAATGCGCTAAGTTGCTCCCCAACTAAGTGTCTACCAATTGTGAAAAATGCATTCTGCCACCCAACCAGTGTTTTGACTTGGATGTTATCAGTAATTGTATACCGAATGTGTCACGAGAGTCACATCGTGAAGCGAAGAAATGTTCTTCTGAAAATGTTCACAAGCCAGCAGAGAATGTTCCCAGAATATGACACCAAACAAACCCCTCCTGGTGTCACTTCAGTAGGCCTTCTGACCTAACACTAGATGACAGGCCTTCATGTCCTGTAAAGATTGGTTTATACATGTGAACATTCTGAAAATAGCTCGGCTGAATTTAGTAAAAAAAAAGCAACACTGACAAAATTAATATTGATGAGTGTTTTTTTGGTGCAATTGTTGGAGTGCAGCCTCAGATAAGTAACTGACCCCAAGTAAAGATTAGGTTTTGAGCATGGTTGGCTGCTCAGCTTTGAACCCAGGATCTCATCGGTAAGGGTTCAGTGCTCTGATACAGGGATTACTGCCCTGAGCTACCCGGGCACCTCCCAGCTTGTAACGTTTGAATTTCCTTTGTCTCTATTCGCCATTCTTCACCCGTTAAATAGTGCAACGGAAATATACACAATGCATCTCTAAAAACGGCCATGTAACCTTATCCAAGGCAATGTCTTTGATTGATTATTTAATTGCTGCCTCCCTCTTCTGGATCCCTTTTGAACAATACCGTGATCAGCCTCAGGGCCTCATCCTTGTCTAATGCATAACGTGGGTTTCTATGCTCGGCTCGCTTCTGAGTACGGTTTGCTGGTCGCCACCATACAATTGCGCCTCTGGAAGCCAGATGAGCCTTTGGCCATGGGGCTCGGCGTTGATTTGTGTAATTTATTTATAAACAGCACTGAGGAGGCACAAAAAAACCAGGGTGTTCAATTGCAAGCATCGCATTATCAAAGGCTCTTTCGACTAGCCACAGTGAACTGCGATATAAAAGAGGCATTTTAATGGAAATCTATACTTCACAGCTTCGTTTCATTTATTTTATAAAACATTTTTTTTTAAAAATCACTTTATCATTTAATTGGCACAACTATATTTTTTTGGACAATCGGGTTAAGGTTCGCTATTTTTGTTGCGCTCACGCTGGGACAACTGCGATTGAGTTTTCCCCTGGTTCTGTACAGAACGTAGAAACAATTTAATCTTTTCGACTGTACCCAATTTAAGCCCTATTTAATTAAGCCGGAAAAGAAAATAATTTAAAAGCATTTCTTTCAATTGATGCCACAGCCTGCCCCGCCTCATACTCAGGACGTCCTTGGCAGAGACTGTGGCCTTGCGGTTGGCGTTGACGCAGCTGAGCTCGCGCAGCGTCTGGTGGTCGTCCTCGTTGGCAGCGAGCCAGCGGTCGCAGTGGAACTTGAACGTGGTGCCCAGGGTCTCGTCCCGGACCTCCACATACTCCAGGTGCCAGCCCGGGCAGATTCCTACGGGCAGCCGTGGCCATGTTCATGTCAAAATTCCGCAATTGTGTGATGATGTATCTTTTCCTCGGAGAACACCTTCTCGACCACTCCACCGATTTAAATAAATGAGGTACCATTTGAAAGCTTATATAGTTTCGGAAATGACAATAACATTTGACCTTTGACTGGGTAATTTGGCATATTGGCCTCGCCATTGCTCACCTACTCTATAGTTCACAATAACCCCACGGCTCTCCAATTCAAATCATGAAACAGAGGGGTGTGTTGTGGAGGCAGGGGTCACTGCTCAATCTCAATGTATAATCCTTGGATTGAATCGTCCTGAATTGTAACAATTTCTCAAATTGCGAGTATAGGGATGAATCACTGGTCGAGGCAATATCTGATAGGGGGGGAGAAGAATCGATGAACCAATGAATTGATCCATGCGGCCTCTGAGCTAGAGGAGGATGAGTGGGGGTCCCACGCCCTGACCTGTGTTGTCGTGCCAGATGCGCAGCTTGACCAGCTCGCCCAGGCTCAGCATGTCGGCGAAGGAGAAGACGTCGGTGCGTCCCCGCTCAAACTTGTTGCCATTGTTGGATTCCTTCAGGTAGATCGTGCCCGAGTCTCCGTGCTCTCCGAACAGGATGATGTACACGTTCGCGTCCGTGCCGGCACCTGTGTTTGTTTGATTGCAAACATTATTTCGATTTTAAGCGTAACTAGTTGATAGTTTCAGGCTGGTCATCACTGATCGCACCAAATAATCCATCACGTTAAGTTTGGTCTTGCACTTAATGGAGAAAAATTCCAACTCTGAGGGAAAATAAAATAGGTTTCATGTGACAAACATCTCTCCATAGCAGGGCACGTGGGAAAGTGTAGCGGATAAGAGCAGACTTGACATGATTTCAGAAGTAACTCCACAATATCTAACAGGAAGTGATGCACTGCACCGAGAGATCTGAATAAAGACTGTCAACACCTGAGCAGGAACCCTATTAACCTTCTGACCTTGAGGTAGGCACTCAGCCACAGAACTACCAAGCTGTGTGGGTAAAATATCTAGGAGCACGGCGAGTGATTGAAGCACTCGCGGAAATGTAGACTAGTTGATCAATGTTTCTGTGCGCACTGACTCACTCTCATCTATCCCTCATTATTGTTCGGTCACTTCCTTATCACGCCATTCCACCTACGAGCACAGTCATTGGACCCAATAACTTCACACGTTGCTACCTCCGCCAGTGTAAAGGACTCTATCTACCAGATTCTCTGTTTCCTTGCATCCATTCCTATTCCTACCTAGGCCATGTGTGCCGGTATCATGGGTCCAACATTTCCAACATCGAAAATGCTTAGCAAATTACGTAATCGAGTTAAGCCACGCAACAAAATCGAAACGACATAAAACTATAATGGTCTGTGAAACATTGTCCCTTCATGGTAGCCTTGCTCTATAATAAGAGTGTTAATAACAAACGTACGAAATATCATTGGTAATATTATCAACTGTGGTCTAAATGCATTTTATTTTATTTACAGTATTAATATTTTTAATCTTTGGTAAATTCCAACAATAAAGTTGCCATCCGGCGTTACAGGTCGTGAACATTTTTATTTACAGAATTTATTGTTGGGATTTTATAGGGTTGGCTGAACTTCATTCAAAATGAACACATGGGGAGTGGGCAAATTGAGGTGGGGGGGGGAGGAATGGTTCACAAACATATGGGAGGGCTAGGAGCTGCGTATATTCGCTGGCGGTGGGGCCGGGGAGGGAATCTCATACAGTTAACCCTTTCCTGTTCCGATGACGTAGTTTTTCTTCCGATTCTGAAAGGAATAGGAATTAAAATACCGCACAGGAGGGCGTGGTACAGTTTGGCACCAGCTATCATAGAGTGTGGTCATGTCGTTACAGTTCTCTGCGGTGAGTACAGTACAATGCATTTAAAAACAGCAGCGCTACGCCTCTCTGAATAAAATGAATGCTGAGCCGCTTGCGGATGGCAAGATTCAGCGGTGAACGGCACCCGCCCTGCAACTTGCAGACGTCTCGGAAACGGGAAAGGGGTGAACTGGGACTGTGCTTGGTGACCTGCGGCATCGCTGGTGCGCACGGTGACAGTGTATGTGGAGAGGCCGATCATGGGCTCGTCGTCCACCACGGCCGCCATCTCGCGGATCAGCTTCTTGTCCCCGTGCGTGCGCGAGAGCCAGTCGCCCAGCAGGAAGGAGGTCACCTCCTCCGTGGCCAGGTTCCTCATCTCGATCTGCACTCAAGCGCAAACAGCATGCAACACGTGCACCACTGTTACCAGGTCTCGGGAAAAAGCATTTCGAGACCAATACATGATAACCTCGCGTATTTCCACGACACGGCATAAAAGGGAATGGTGTGGCGAGGACCACGCCTTCCCAGTGCTGGTGTTTACATATTGCACCTTTTAAGGCTGAGTTGACCCAAGCGAGGGCTGGAACAGGTTCAAACAACACTTCTCACTGATGTTTGGCAATTGAAATGAATTGAAGTGAGATTGCTCGGATCATAGCACAATATGTAACCATTGTGCCATCATTACACGTAAAAATTGGCATGTATACTGTAATTGCACATTCACACATTTGTCTTGTCTCCGTTAATAGCAACGATCCTTACCATTCAACAACAACAGCTGCCATTCGCCACTAAGAGGTGGTGACGTCACCACGGTGCCTGTGCCAGGCCAGGTGCACTTTAAGGCCATGTGAAGTGTCAAAAGCTCGCTGACAGGGCACGGGACAGACCCAGGTGCCATGGGTTGACTGAGATGACTGGCAGATGCACCAGCTGTGTCCCCTGTGCCAACTTTCTGCATTTTAGCCACCCGGCGTTGCGCTCGTTGTTGTGAGGGTCGCTCCTCTGCCCTCCATTGTTGTCAGAGAGCGACTGCCTCCAACTGCCCAGTTGCATCCTTCACGATCCTCCTCCACAGAGGCCGATCTAGACACCGCTGGTACCAGTCTTCGGCAAGTCTACTCAGTTTCACATCCTCTTGTCCTGCATCAGTCCATCTCTTTTCCACCCTGTGTTGTGCCCGTTTAGCCCCCTCTATCCGGCCAAACAGAAGTTGCTTGGGCATGCGGTGGCTGGGAATGCGAGCTACATGCCCCAGCCCCATGCACACACAAACACACACGTATAGCTGTAGAACACCAGGATGCACCAAGCAATGCACACGTTCACGCACACCCATGCACCGGACACCTTCTGCAGATTCCAGTCCGGCCGGCAGCCTTTTCCTGAGCTCCTCACGCGGATCTTCCTCAGCGGGGAGATGTCATCAATTTCCATCATTAGGATGTCTGTCTGGCCCCTCTCGAACCTGCACCGTGGCATTTCATGGGTAAAAATCCCCACAAAACCCGGTCAGTTTGCCCTGTTATTGGTTCGATATATGGCCAATGCTACAGTAATGGATTTACAGGCACATTGCAGACATATTTGGACATCTCCATATATATAAAAGGCAAAGTTGGGAATATGTGTCTGTTCAAAATGTTTAGCGTACTTCCCGACATGCAACAAACTGGAAATTTTCCATGTGGGTACTTTCCAGACTGTACATCATGCAAAAAATATAAAAATACACTTTTTTATTTTGGGGGGGGAGCTCAATAATGCATATATTTTTTTTGCACGGCAAGTGAGCTGTGACATCAAATCTGTCACGTGACCCGCGCATGTGAAAGCGTAACGCATTGTGGTGTAGTGGTGAGCGCGCCGCGCTACGAACCCGGCGACCCGAGTTCGATTCCCGCTCACGGCCACCACCGGTGACGATTATTTTAACCGGTTCTGGGCCTCCCCTAGGTCTACTCAGCCTCAAACGACTAACTGCTGTGGTGTGTGTGAACATCGCCACTGGGGAGACAAAGGCGGCCGGGCGTGGTGGATCCAAGTCCCGGGCGAAGCCGGGTAGTACAGCTAGTGTGGTATATTTGGCATATGGTATGTATGGTTACATTACTGTGTTTGGGCCAGAGAGATGGACTCTTAACAAGGTAATGTGTAGCGTGATGCCCGAGACTCAGGGGTCAGAGCACGGAGCTGACAATAGCGAGAGGCTAGGTTTGGATCCGCTCAGACAACCATGATTAAAACAAGTTCTCAAGTGTAGCCAATTGAAGTTTCCAACCTGGTTGCAGTGACCGGAACCTCTCCCCATTATATGAAATAAAAGAACAAATTCACTTAGTTTAGCTAATTAAATCTCTGAGAGTTAGAATTTTCCATCTGACTGACGTGGCAAACATGTTATGCGGGGAATTGAAATGTGGGCCCCTCATTTGTATAAAGAGGTCGATTGAAGTGACGTCAGAGGTAGCTGTGTGACGTCATCCATCTTTGACACGGGATGATACACTGTTAGCCTGGAAGATTTCTGAATGAAAATGCCTTCATGTTATGCCATGATGCCTGTCGTGCATTTGGAATATAATTTGTATGTCTGTATGTATGTTGAACTTCTTTCGCATTGTACTTAGCCAACCGTGCTAATCAGACATTTTGGGGATAAGCCAACACAATTTTCATTCGTAATTTCATTGTAAAATAAAGGAAAGAAACTTGGAGGTTCGGCGTAGAACGATGTTAAGGTACATTGGCGATTAAATACATTTGGAAATAGGAGGTTGTGCTGGGTGTGCCACATGTCCGGTTTGGAGGAGGGCAGGATTCTGAGAAAGGCAATAGAAGGGGAGGGGGGTACCCAGAGGCCAGCAACTTAGGAGGAGACCAAAACCCATGCGGTGTGATATCATTGTAAGAGCAGACTTTGGAGGTCAAAGGTCGACTGTGCAAAAGTTGTGTTTTCTCATAAAAGTCTGGAAGTGGCGAGGTGTGGCGGCATCAATAGAATTGGCCATAACCACACATCTTGACTTTATTAATCTCTCAGGCGGGCGCTAAAGTGCTGTGCAAGTATGTTTACATTCTAATAAATATAAACAACACTGATGCTGCAGTTTGTGTTTGTTATGTTCTGTGATCTGTGCTTTTTTTTGCAGTGAAATTGACTACTTGTTTTTGACAGCACACCATGGATTATAAGTAATGAGTCATTTTGATTTTTTGAGATCTATTTTTTACTTTTCTCAAGAGATTCTCATTCCAAAAGGAGATTTTTTTTCATCTTCAAACACGGTTCATGAGTATCACACGTCCTTGGATAGCTTACAGATGTGCGTAAAATAAGATAAAATGTGATTTGTTACATTTTCAAAAGAGACAATTTCATTGGGCTCTGACCCATATAAATAAAGGCCTCACACAATGAAATCCTACATAGGATTTCCTTAAATATCCACCCAAAAGAATATTATCGTAATTATATATAGTAAATTAGCTCAATGCATGATGAAACTGGTGAATAGAGTTTGATTTCTGCCCATGGCTAACATTAGTGGCGATTGATATCTGAACTCGTCCTTGGGTTTCCCCCTTCACCAACCCGCGCTGATTATCGTGGTGAAGTATGGTGACACAGCTCCCACGGCCAACATGGCGTGGGGTGGAAATCATTCAGCTATTAATAACTATCATTTAGATAATACATTGATCAAATATTATTTCATTAGTTTATCAACAAGACCTTACGAGAAGTATAAAATTTTACTTTTCTCCAAACATTTCCTACCTTTCTATCTCTGCTCCACGGAAGGGTCATTAGTGCGCTGTCTACTTACTGCCTATTTTCAGCCTACAGGTAAACGCTATTAGCGCAGAAAGAGGGATTGAGGATTATATGATATGAATGCCAGTCTCGGAATAGGTTTTACCCTTTTAACTGGCATCTTCTGGTCCAACACCAATGGAGACTAGGCTCTAAGAAAAGCTGTCTCGGGTGTGGACCAATCAAATTCAAGGACAGTGCATATTATTATCAGAGTTGTCTTTTTTGTTTGCATTTTGACTGCTTGTGTTGTGGTTATTGCAAACATGATGCCTTGAATAAAGGTGTCAGTTTTTGTGCCAGTTAAAAGGGTAAAACCTATTCCTATATCTTGTTACTGGCAAAGGAGGTCTCATAATGTAAATGCCAGTCTCCTTGGCTTATGGGATATTGTTTTCATAGCCACGGTCAAGCTGGCCCACATTAGCATCGAAGCTGTCTTGGCACCATAAATGCGTAAATGGGCCCAGGATATCAGACATGAGCCAGCATTGTGTGTCAGCAGTTCGATATGAACGCCAGTTTAAGGAGACGTGAACATCAGCACAATAGAATTGTGTATATTTATTGTGTTGAAGGAATGGGTGTTTTAATATACTTTTCATGTTTTGTAAATGCAATATTTAGAACACTACTTTAAAAATGTTTTTTTACTTCTTCCTGCCAAATGAGCCACCTCACCTTGACTACATTCCCACCTAGTAATGGAGCACCATAACACACGATAGCACATGTGACAGAATATTAAACTTAGTGCGGGAATTGTATGCGGATCTCCACAGAAAATAAATCAAATAGCACAAAGATCAGGCCAATTATCAAATGAATAGGAGGACGTTCCAGATGTCACACTTGAGGAAGTCAACTTCTGTTCTTTGCATTATAAAAATAAGAAAAAAACTCGTGGATCAGATGGAATAACCGTGGGCATCATCAATAGAACCAGCTGTTCACACCTATTCATTCAATATTTTAACAGGAATTAAATACTTAAATGCCCCGAACAGTCTTCTGGAGACAAAGCTGACTGAAAGAGTTACAAACCAATTAGATTCCTATCACGTGTACATACATTCGTCACGAAGATCAATGGGAATAGAATAATGAACAATTTAGAGGCCAGCCAAGCACATGACCAAACTGGATTTAGGCAAGGGGGCTTCTTGACAAAAAAAGAAGCATGCACACTGTGAATAAGATTCTGGAAAAGAGTAATGTAAGTAAATAGCATTATGCGTTTATTTTTGAGATTATAAACATGCATTTGACTCAGTGGAAATGTATATATTGATCCAAATCCTCACAAAATAAGGCCAAATTATAAAAAACCACTCCATTAAGAAAATAACAAAATACAAATCACCAGGGGAGTCAGTCATGGAGATACGCTCTCTTCAAAGTTATTGACGGTGACATTTGAAGATATTTTTTAAAATGTATTTGGTACCACGGTAGCGAGATGTTAACTACCTCGCCTGGTATACAGGAGGTCGTGGGTTCAATCCCGACCCTGACGCCTGCTGTATATTTGGAGTTTGCGGTGTCTCTCTCCCCATGCTCGCGTGTCCTTTTCTCTGGGTCCTCAGGTTTTTCCCTCCACATTTAGAAACATGCATTTAGAGTATGTGGCTGCTATAAATGTCCACATGATAAGCCACTTCACTGGGCTATCATTTGTGGCCAGGTCGCTTCTGAAAAAGAGCTATACAGCTCAGTGGGGCCTGCCTGGTGATTATAAAAAAATAGTTTGATCGTTTTTAACTGTCAGATTTTCTGATGGCTTCGTGATTATAACAACCAACGGAAAATGAGCTATTACTGAAGGCCATAATGAAGACGTGTGCGAAGAGAGGCAGAAGGAAGCGTGCAGGGGGTGCATGCTTGGAGGTACACTGAGATACAGAAGGAGAAAGATGTCGACAAGAGCGCAAAGGGAAATTTAGAGATATCACGTTGAATATGAATAAATAATAATGATCAAATAGACGACGGTCGTTTGGGCAAGATAGGCTTTAGTAGCAGCCAAAGGAAAGGACAAATCTCTGAGGACATCCATCGTGGAGATGGAGCAATGAGATCTGCCCATGTGCAAGAGTGTAACAGATCGTGCGAGATCATGAGGGATGGCAACGACTTGAGGAGGCCTTCATCCAGGAGTGGGATAGATTACGGCAGGAGATTATGATGATCGTGAATGTGCACATTACATGGGTCACATATCATACCCCCACATACACACGCCACGTCTGTGAATTTCACTTTAACTTATCGTGACCAAATTGTGAACCATAACTAAAATCGATTAATCGATTTCAGAAAAAAAAACACGCTGGAAGCTGTTGTATGTATGTTGAACTTATTTCGCACCATACGTAGCCAACTTCGCTAATCAGAGGTGCGGGGGAAGGACAACAAACTAAACACAAAAAAGCAATTGCTCATACAGGTATAGTTGCTGGATTGAGATGGCTGAATCGCAAAGGCCTTGCTCTTGCTGCAAATGTGGTTTGGTGGTGAGATGTAGGAGCCAGTACCGGTCTCCATTCTTGTCCAGGGACATTTCTTCGGTGGCGCCCAGCACTCCAAACACGGTGAGGAAGAGCTGCGCGTCCGTGCCTGCACCGCTCTCGTCTGCCGTCTCCACGGCGACCTCGTAGAGCACCTGTCGTCGCGAGGGACACGAGGATGAGGAGGAGGAGGATGAGGAGCGGCAGGAAAGCAGTGCTGCATCGAGGCGGCGAAACCACGAAAATCCGACCGCGACCGTGTCAAACCAGAATGTGCACAATCTCGTCACATCCCGCATGATAGAAGATGTATGTACGTATGTTGAACTTGTTTCGCACCCGTACGTAGCCAACCATGCTAATTGCAGGTGGGGTGACAGGACAACAAACTAAACACAAGATAAGGATGGTTGAGCCTGTACGAATGGGTGACTGCTGTTGGCTCGGGCTGTTAGGTGACAGGAGATGGCAGTGAAGCATTGGATTCTTGAATCCATCTTTGTAGAGCGTTGAGTGGTATCTCATCCTTTGCTGATTTTCTCCAGGCAATATATTTTATGGCAAACAAAACTGAAATTGGACAATTATCCAAATGCTCTTCTCAGACCATCCTGAGAAGAGTCTTCAGATTCAGCTAGGCGTTTCCTGGATGGGAGACCACCTTGAAAATAACAGGTATTATAGGCTGTTGCTGTGTTATGTCAGCAGAGGGCAGTACACAAAAATGAATCGTGAGACTATAATAGTGTGTGCTCCAATGTCTCGTTCACCAACCCACACTGACCAACCCACACTGACCAAAGTGGTGAAGTATGGTCAACATAACCTCCACGACTCGCACAGGATTGGGAGGCCCTCGCGTCCATGAGTGGGTTGACAATTTGAGCTGTACATGTTGGAATCAACAGAGCTCGTGCCAAACGGCCACATTTCGAAACATGCGTCTGTATTGCGTAAATTATTTTGATGCTATAAATTTCCACGTGAAGCCATTTCGTTAAGCTATCATTTGTAGCCATGTTGCTTTGAAGAAGCTAATAGCTCAGTGGGCCTTACCTGGTAAGATAAAAAAATAGTTTAATTTGTATATATTTTTGAAGTGATTTGTTTACCTTTCCTATGCCATGTTGTGTTTTTGTATTTTTTTGTTGTTGCGACGTACTGACCCGCCCCTACTGGACATCTGTGAAAAAGAGCTTTATAGCTCATCGGATTCCTCCAGTATAAATAAAGATTCTGATTCTGAGCCCGTTGGGGAGACTGGCCCTCACCATAGCAATGTAGAAGTCCCTTCAAAGGATCAAAAGTGCCTACAATTCACCCTGTGCTCCCCCTCTCATGCCCACCTCTTCCCCGTCCCCTCATTGTTTTATGAATTGTCAATGTTGGGGCCTTGTTTGATTCAACAATCGATTATTTTCTTTGACAGCGCAGGGATTACTGCACCTTCTAGTGGCTGCGGGGTTTACGTGACCCAATGACATGCAACACATACCGATTAAAAACAACTAATTCTCAAGGGGCATTATTTGATGCATGCATCATGAGCGTGGGTATCTATCATAACCAAGGCTACGATGTTGTCACTGGGGGTTACGGCGGTCACGGAAATCGTGAATTTGAATCAAATCTGTACATTATTGGAGATGGCTGTTAAAACGTACGAGACCAGGCACTTCTAGGGCTGGACTCAGGGGAAAAGCGGCACTAGCAACCACAAGCAATCGGCCTGCGGAGATACCCAGAGAGACATGGAGACACACACACAGTGAAAAAGAGATATACACAACAACGGCCACCATTTGCCACTAAGTGGCGGTGATGTCACTACGGTGATTGTGCCAGGCCAGGTGCACTGTCAAGCCATGTGAAATGTCAAAGCGTTGCTGACAGGAGGTTGCGGAACAGACCCAGGTGCCATGGGTTGACTGAGATGACTGGCAGATGCACCAGCTGTGTCCCCTACTGTGCCAACTTTTTGTGTTTTAGCCACCCAGTGCTCTGCTCATTGATATGATCGTTGCTCCTCTGCCCTCCATTGTTTTTGGAGGGCGACTGCCTCCAAGAGCCCAGTCGCGTCCTTCATGAGATGTACACAAACAGACATGGAGACACACATAAATGCACAGAACCACAGAGATACAAAAGACAAAGATCCCCAGTATAGACTTCACATATTGTTGGGGAAAGAGCTGTTAGCGAGGCCGGAATTGTACACGAGGGTGTGGGTGACTAGCACCCCGCCCGACCGCCTTTGTCTCCCTAATGGCGATGTTTACACACCACACTAAGTACTCACTTGAGGCTGAGTCGACCTAGGGGAGGCCCATAACCGGTTCAAATAATTGTCACCGGTGTTGGCCTTGAGCGGGAATCGAACTCAGGCCGCCAGTTAGCGCACCGCGCTAACCACTACACTACCGCTCCCCACAGAGATACACACACACACTGAGACACGGAGATATACACAAAAACACAGCCATAGAGGTACACAAAGACAAAAGACACATAGATACACACACAGCAACGGAGATGCACACAGAGACACGTAGACACACACAGAAAGGCAGAGAGACAGTAAATACACACACACACAGAGATGCACGAACACATGGAGATGCACACACGCATAGAGAACACGGAGATACACGTACAGACATGGAGACACGGACAAACACGCACAAAGGAAGCACCACGATTTATTTATTTAATTAAAGGGAGGGGGTGGGTGCGACGGCACCCCCTCCCTTATTCCGTGACCTTACAGTGGATTTGTTTTTTACCCCCACACGCACACACACCAAGTCTGCGAATTTCACTTCAACTTATCGTGACCAAATTGTGAACCATAACGAAAATCGATTAATCGATTTCAGAATCTGAATATGTATTTATCCCGGAGAAATCCAATGAGCTATGAAGCTTTTATCACAGATGCTGCGTGCATATTGTCCACGCCAAATGAGCAATCCTCCACTCCCTCCTGCCAAGGGCTCATATGAGCGGGGGGGGGGGAGATTCTTTGACTTTGAATTTCCTCTGCTGGAAGAGACAATGCAGAGGAGTGAACATTCACGAGCAGGCGATCAGCGGGAATGCGGAATGATGACGAAAGAGGACGCGTGTCAGGCGAGGATGAATCGCAGTTTTATACCGGGGTCGGTGGAAATGATGTGTACACAGGATGGGTCGTGAAACAAAGTTAAAATCTTGAGAGCAGAACAGGATAAAAGATCCTGCTCATATTCACCACGGTATTCATACTTAGACCGCAGAGTGTTATGGAGAAGCCTGTGCAGTATAAACTATAAACCATCCGAACACGCAAGGGAATCATGGCTCATTTGTGGCGTCATTGACAGAAATGGGAATTTTCTTTTATCCTAAATGTGTTTTTTTTCTTCCACAGAGTGTATTAAATTACAGGTATTTGATGATGCTGATGATAATTCTGATGATGATGATTATGACAATGATATATGATGATGATCATGATGCTGCCGGTCTTGGTGATAATTATGCTGCTGATTACTTTGCTCCTGTTGTTGATGATCAAGATAATTATGCCGCTGATGTTGATGATGCTAATGATACTGCTGTTAATGTTGATGGTGATAATAATTATGCTGCTGATGATAATGACGTTGCTGTTGCTGATGCCAATGATGCTGCTGATGATAATGATGATGCTGCTGCTGCTGATGATAATAATATTTATTCGGCTACAGAAAAGCGTAACTGTGAGTAAAAGTATGAATGTGGGCCTCACGGAGCAAGCCTTAAACCTGCAGAAAAAAATAGAACTTCCTTTGCACCAAGGCCTGTGACAATCATTCACCACAGGCCACCCTCCCCCACAGGCAGCAAACACTTCCTGAGGCAAAGCATTGGCGAGTTCCCTTAATCCAGCTCTGCACAAATGACGAGGATGGTCGTGACAGAGGCAGTAGAACGAGTATTCTCCTGATTACGGGTCTGAGTGTGGGGGGCATTGGCGCACCGGTTAGTTCGCTGCAGTATCAATTCAATTCCCGGCCACAGTATAAAATAGTGGCGAAGTGGTACGAGCACCAATCGTGAGCCTCCCCTAGGTTGACTCAGCCTTAGATCGTGACATAGTGTGTGCGTAAACATCAGCGATGGGGAGACAAAGTCAAGGTGTTGACCACACCACGATCTTGTGCATCATGCAAGCCTTAATAGGTGCTCACAAACTTGCTACTAAGATACATGAGGCGACAATTCCATTCACAATTTCACTTTTTGTAGTCTTGTTTTCACCATTTAATTTGCATTGTTTTTCACTGTATAGTTTCGTCCATTTGTGTTATTTTGCCAGCTTAACTTTCCGAAAGGTGATGGAATATTTGCATATCATTTTTATAAACCATCGATAATTTATTCTCATGCCCAAATTTGTATCCTGTATCTTGAACGTGGGAATATATTTTAATCGATTAATCAATGCATAATTGAATGCCTAAAAAGCAAAGGGTCATGGTCTTGTTGGCTCACGGCCAACACCAGTGACAATTATCTGAACCGGTTCTGGGCCTCACCGAGGTCGACTCAGCCTCAAATTACTACGTTGTGCGACTTCTAAAAACATTGCCACTAGGGAGACAAAGGCGGCTGGGCGTGGTGCTGGCTACTCGCGTGCCGTTCTGACCTTCATAGGTGCTCGCTAACAGCACTTGCCCCAACAGTCTGTCACGGGGGAACATTGTCCTGTCTTGCAGGGGTTCGCGTGCTGCACTACGAACCCGGGCCCTTGGCTGGTCGACCACGTGTGCGCTACTTGTAGCAACCTTGCACTCTCTTGTTTTGGGACAAAACAAATATTTTCATATTTTACAGCGCACCCCACTCCCCACATGTCCCCCCCCCCACCCCCTCGCTAGCTAGGGGCGAGGCAGCACCTTGGGCGTGAGCGAGATGCACTCGGCGTCCAGCACGCTGAAGACGCGCGCCGTGAGGCCATCACCGCGGTCCTTGGCCAGCCAGCAGCGGCACTGGAAGACGTAGCGCAGGCCCCGCGTGGGCACGAGCAGCGAGAACTCCTCCACGAACCAGCAGCTCTCCGGGGTGACGCCGTCATGGCCCAGCTGGTCAGGGAGGTGCCGCCGCCGCCGCCGCCGCCGCCGTCAACGCGGCGGCAGGGAGACCCAGGAGGAGCGGGCGTGGACGAGAGCAATCAAACAACAGCGACACCCAAATTAGAGCGCTCTGTCTGCCCAAGGAGGCAATTCAACAGCCAGGAATACAAATGAAAAAACGTGCACGCAGTCTGTTAGAGCGAATGGTAACGTACAGTCAACTCTCAATTATTCGGTTCATTTGGAGGAAGGGTGGCACAGATAAAAAGAAAAACACGTGGAAAGGTAGACAAAAAATCCATTATTTGCTTACATAGAATGAGGATAAAGACATCGAATGTTGTCAGTTTGTATTGCTCATTAAAGCAATCGGTTTGCTTGCTGACTTGTTTGTGGTCACGTGGCCAACGAGTCACTGATCCTCTGCGAGTGAGAGGAGCAGCGAATAATGATTAGACCAAAACAATCTTTTATTTTTTTTGCTCAAGCTCAGATAATCTAAGGCCGAGGTATAAGACTCAGGTGGTGGGGGTTCAGAATGCAGTGTGATCACAGCCGTGCCACCCCTGCATGCACATCGTGGACAAATATAAATGCATTGTCAGTGGTTACGCCTATTTTCCAGGAAGATCTTGGAATACTTGAAACAAAGGGTCATTATCATCATTATGGGAGCTTAAAAGATTCAGGCTGGGACAAATGTAATGCTATTCCTGCCAAACCCTCGGCAAGTCCTTCGTTAGCGAATATCAGATGAAGTTGCATGATCGTTCGGGTGAGACAATGCATTCTTTCAAAGACACTTGACAGTGATGAACTGGAAATGCAAAGAGCAAAAGGTTCCTGATAACGATGTGGCTATGGCCACTCTGGGAACATCTGTTTTCATGCATTAAGAGTTTTATTAACAAAAACACAAAATTTTACAAGTATCAATGGGACTATTTTGCTTCGGATGGGAATATTTCTTGGGTCATAAAACCAGCGGTACATGCAGTGGAGAGACAAATTCTGCAGCAGTGTGTGTGAAACATGTACTGCAAGCTATACTTGCATCGACCCTATCTCTGCAGAGCACGGCTTGATTTCACATCTAGAGTCAAGAGTGTTACATCTAGTTGCTGTGCAGTCATAGCAAGGAAATGAACGATGATGCTGGGTGAAGAAATTACCAGATGTCCTACTCCATTTATATACCAAACCCACTGACCGGTGTGGTGAAGTATGGTCAAGCAACCCCATGACGCACATGGCCTAGGGATGCCTTGATCAGCAGTGGATAAGCAATGATCTGATTATTAATATAATTATATGTGATGAACATTAACAACCAAAATGGTGTCTGCAAGCATGGAGAGAGGAATACTTGGAATGACACTGAGAGACATGCAAAGAATATACGCCAGGTTAAAAACAACATATTGACTGTTAAGAAAAATGTTGCTTGGGCAGGGTGTGTCGCAATATCGTCAGCGGTTGAGGCTAACATCAGAGTGGTAGCCAAAGGAGGACACACGTGTGCCGGGAGGACATCCATAACACAGGACATGGAGTGATGAGATCAGATCACGTGTAGGAGGTAGATGAATTGTTACATCGCAGGATGTGAGTGAGATCAGGGCTCATGATGATATAACAATCCGGCAAAGCCAGTCCGTGACGAAAGCCTACATTTAATTAAGGGGTTTGACTTGACAAAGAACTGTGTGCGTGGAAACATGCACACACAAAAATCCCCGGCAAAGGCTCGAACAGACTGTTTTGGACAAGTGCTGTTAGCAAGCGCCTATGAAGGCCAGAAAAGCATAAAGGGGATCAGTGGCCAACGCTATACCTGGCCATCTTTGTCTTCTTGTTACCGATGTTTACATACCCCAACCAGGGACTCATTTAAGGTTGAGCAGATCTCGGGGAGGCCCCAGAACCGATAAAATTGTTTTCACTTGCCACGAGCAGGAATTGAACTCACGTTGCCAGATTCATAACGCGGTGCGCTATCCACTGCGCCACCACTCCCTTAAGTATGGTCGCACACACTAGGTGGATCATGTGTTCTTACACCAACACACACGCGTTCTAATGCATGCGGGATATCCCTGGTAAGCAGCATGCCGTTAATCTTCATACATGTATAAATATATAACCGTTTACTCAGGTAGGAAGTGTATTAAGTTGTTTCGCATTTGGTTTAGGGTTTTTTTTTCTGAAAACATGTGAAGTGTCCTTGGACGGACAGATGGATGGATGGACAAAAGATTTACAGGGCACAGCCATGAGTAGCTTATCAGCTCCCTTAGAGTCAGTGTCTGCCTGCTCAAATGAGTAATGGGGCAGCCCTTATCTCTGGTGGCTGCCCTGAGCCAGAACAAAATCCAAATTCCTGCGACAGGGCCTGAACACTCTCCTGTTGGCAAAGGTGCAGCCCTGTGAGAGTATCCCTCCACCAGAGTGAGCACCTATAGAAGGTAGTTATCCACGCCAGGTATATTCGAATAGATGGGCGGACACGCACTTTACCCTCACCACACGTGACGTGTAGAACGATTAACTCTGGTGTGTTTATTTATGCTGCCGGGTCGACAGAGGTGGGAGGATTTAAAACGCTGTCCCATTGTTTCAACTACCACGCTGGGAGATTGAACCGGTAACCACAATATTGCAAGTCCAGTGTGCTAGCCATTACACCGACGACAACTCTCCCGTTTTTGTTTATTTTATTGGCTGGAGAGGAATGAAAAGCTGAGTTAGTCTCCCCACCCCCTCTGACCACAGCGCATGCACCAAAATATGCACGCATTATTTAGTAATGTTAATGTCAGTGCAGAGGCTGTCCTAGCAACCTTTTATCTAAAAATCTTCAGCACTAACATTCTGATAGCTGAGAAAAGCAAATCAAGATAGCATCGGCTGCTGATTAATGTTTCTGTGAACACTGCAGACTGCAAAGTCTCTAGTAAACAAAAGTAGCCGGCGAATTTCACCGTTTCGCACCTCCGGTTAGCACGGTTTGGGGGCCGTCCATAAATGACGTCACGCGATTTTTGACGATTTTTGACCCCCCCCCCCTTCGTCATACGGCGTCACAAAAAGTCAGACCCCCCCTCAAATATGACGTCACAAAGCTCTGCCTCCCCCCCCAAAACAAACAAAACATGCTTCAAATCGCTTTAAACTATTGTCATTGTAGTGCGTATTTAATGTGACTGCTGCACTCTGATGTTGTAGGAGAAAACATGTATTAAAAGTATATTTAATTAAGTAGAACGTGTTGTCTATATTTATTTAAAGTTGCGCATTTTGATGTGACGTCACATTTCTCAAATCCCCCCCCCTCGTCACACATCGTAACGAATGTCTGACCCCCCCCCCCTAGGTGCGTGACATCATTTATGGACGGCCCTTTGCTACGTATGGTGAGAAAAAAGTTCGACATACATACGCTCCTAAGAGTGAGGATAAATTAGCACATTGAGCAGTATTCCATGCATCTAAAGTCACGTGGCACAAACTCAAGAGATGACTGAACCAGCCAGTATTGGTGTTGGTGGAAAGAGATTGTTTATTTTATTTCCTAAGCATAGGCCACACAGGCCCTATAACACAATGCAGCCAGAAATTATTAATACCTTTCACCATAAACACCTGCCCAAAGATTCCACAGCAAGACCCTTGTAGGACAGAAAACTCAACAGTGTGAATTAGCTCAGGCTCACTCCTGATGTGATGCTGATTGATCACGAGCAAGTAGTCATCATGGCCAGTCTCAGTGATGCCAGCACACCAAGCCATCACTTTATTTCCTTCGGCCAAATCTCGTAACTTTAGCACACCTTAGCACATCGATTTTCAAAGTATTCTAATGTCTGCTCTTACTGTTCCCACCACCTCACTTTAAAGAAGACTATTATATTGTTCATGTGGAGAGACATATATATGAAGGAAACATTGCCTATCTATTTCGTTATTTATATACAAATCACTTTACGTCTTCCCCTCAGTTACGGGCTACTGGGTGTCCACTGCTCTGCAGCTCTTGGCAATCTGCCCTTCTCCATCCTACACATCCATCCTTATTTTCACAACCCCCTCTTCCTAATAACACGTATGAGGCTTGATTTTTATTTGACGTTCTCCTTAAACACTCTGATGGTAGCCATCTTATTCACAGCCAACTTTTTCTACATTGAGACACTTTTCTGAGCGCTCCTACGACTTCTGCAAATGCCTCTGGCCACCCTCTGTTGCGAATCTCTAAAGTATCGCTTTCGTGTTTGAAATAAACGTTGGATTATCATCAAACCTCCTTCCTTTCAGAGCAGGGCAAGATTTAAAACTGTGCCAGTTGAGGAGAGTTTGAGGGGTGGCCAAGGACTTTGATGGCCCTGCTTTGGCCAAAAACTGACACTCACAAAGGACGGTGTGTGCTGATGCACAGTCATCGTTATGATGTCCTGGAGCAGAGTTGGATCATTCTCAGCATTTGCATTGAGATCCTGGCACCAAGGCCGCAGCTATGGAGTCAACATTGGGGGGACCACATCTCCCAGGGGGTCTGGGAGTCCCAACCTAGAAAAAAAAATCTAAATTTGAAAACTAATTTCTTGCCATTTCCTACCTAAAATATTAAAAATTCACTAACACATGGGATGGACTTTTTATTTATTTTTTACAATAATGTCTAAGAGTGTATTGTATTACATTGCTCTGTTTTTTCTTGTTTCAATGTATGTAATGGCAGAGATTAGGGATCCATGAAGTACAACCATAGCCACAATCATGTAAACAGAAATCTATGCATTGTTATATGAAAACAAGTCCAGATATTGTGGCCAAGGTTTAGCAAATTGTTATTTTCATTTACATAGCATAGCAATTATTATTTTTATAGCAATATATTGGGGGGGGGGGAGACATTTTGAGCATATTTGGATATTGGGGGGGGGGATGTCCCCCCTCCCCCAATATATATTATAATTACGGCCTTGCCTGGCACACACTGGCACAATGCCGTTATTCCTCAGCCATAGGAAGTCATTGTAATGGTTGTACTGTGCAGGCTTGTCGTGCACAACTAAAATGGTACACGGTGTCGTTTGGATACTGGTAGTGCGCGATCACACCATTCTATTGCAATCGAAGACAACAGTTCAACTTCATTTATGAAGACATCAACATTTTAGAAATATAAATCAGTCTTGGAACTTTTGATTAAACCTCAGATATTGCTTTATTCTGCATGTCCAAGTTGCTTCCCCTTTTTGCCATGGATTGCTGCCTTTGTTTGAGTGCAACTCTATTTGAAATTTCAGAAGCTTTTTTTTTACTATTTTCCTTGTGAAAGTTTGGCTTTCTGACACAACTATTGATATTAAAAGAGACGTTGCCGTTGCCTCACCCAGCTCTTCACACTGAAGTGGATTCTATCGTCCATATGAAACCATCTATGGTCACACGATGCTTCTAATGACATTCTCACAACCCCCTGCATTATGCTTATTACTATCCAAATACACCCAATTCTTTGAACTAAACTATTTTTTTATTTTACCAGGTAAGGCCCATTGAGCTACGTAGCTCTTTTTCAGAAGGGATCTGGCCACAAATGATAGCCCAACAAAGTGGCTTATCACGTGGATATTTATAGCAGCCAAATACTCTAAATGCATGATTTTAAACGTCGAGGGGAAAACCGGACGACCAAAAGAAAAATCCACGCGACCACGGGGAGTACATGGAAACTCCAGATATACAGCCGTCATCAGGGTCGGGATCGATTCCACGACCTCCTGTACACCAGGTGAGGTAGTTAACATCTCGCCACCGCAGCGCCCCTATCTCTGTACCCTCACTGTCTACCGACACCTCTGATAAAGCTGTGCAAGGTCTTTCCCCAACTAATGCCATCAGTGTTATTCTTGGAAAGCTCAACTAAGGACAATATGTCCAGTCTCAGTCCTTAAAAACGCTACAATGCCCTGCCCAAGCGCCTGCATTCTCCACATAATCCAAATCTCTACAGGGCAAATGACCCACTGCGATTCTTGTTTTCACTGTCCCCTACATTACCCATGGCTTTAGTAATGATAAGGCAATGTTAGTGATTGCCGTGGTGAAGTGTTTTCAGCCTGTATATACACCATGGCAACACAGGGCCTTATGTTTCGCTACGTATTAATGGAGTGATGTTTTTTTTTAAATAATGTAGTCTGTTATTAAATAGTTGGAGGGAGTCCAACATACAGACAACATGATCCTTCCATGGGAGGATCAGAAATGTTGATGTGCATTGTTTTTATTTTATTTTTATCACAGTTGCTGAGCAAAGGGTCTGAAAGCCAAAAACCTCAAGTGGCCAGCAACAAACAGCACTATTCAAAGTGTAACGGAGAGGAGTTAGTACGTTCTATGGAACATGTCCATGTGCACATCATGTTAAAAAGAGTGGAGTTAGTTTTCCTTTGCTTTTTAGGAAACTATGGGTGGAATATTTCTATGCTGAACTTCTTTTACACCGTACGGAGGTGCGGAGGACAACAAACTAAACACAAAAACCAGTTCTATAGAAATTAGTTTTCGATTTCGATTTAAAAATGCATAGCTCCAGTGGCTTCTTAATATCGGAAGAGCATTCCAGACGACCGCAGAAGTACACCTGAGTGGTGGTGCGGCTGCTGGAAGGCCCGTGTTTTGTGGTTGCTCTTTGCTTGTCGTTAATATAAAAAAAAAAAACCTTCCTTGTCGTTACCAGAGCATCTTGCTGTGCAGTTAGTAAGGCAACCAGTGTGGAAATAAACCAACGGTTTATTTAAGTGAGCAAAGTTATAAGAACTTGGCAAAACGAGACGGCGGGGAGGAAATCTAAGTCGAACAGTTCAAGGAAAGGCGCAATGAGACAAGTAGTGTGGTTCCGAAACATGTTGGAAGAATCAATCTGTGAAGTTCATGTGAACAGTAACCATGGTTGGTGGCGTTAGAAGCTTATACGTAGTATTTGGCTGCTATAGATTTCCACGTGATAAGCCACTTCGTTGAGCTTTCATGTGTGGCCAGGTCACTTCTGAAAAAGAGCTTTATAGCTCAGTGGGCCTTATCTAGCAAACTGACCGCCAGCAAGCATCTGCCTGGAGTGAATCAGTGAAAGTGCTCGACCATCGCTGCGTCTGATCGGCGTGTGCCACGTTGCGCCCGGCACCAACGGCGTCCGCACCTCCACGCTGCGCAGCATGCCCACGTCGCGCCCCACCAGGCGGTAGTTCTGCGCGCGGTCGGGCGCGAAGCCCAGCCTCCCGTCGGCGGAGTCGAGCCAGAGGCGATGCGTGCGTTGCTTCCGTGCGCCCCGCATGATCACGTAGCCGCGGCTCGACGTGCCGTTGTCACGGTTGGGGCCCGTGGTGACCGCCACGTGGTACGGGATCACTGCAAAATGCACGGCACGAGGGGGACACAGTGGGGCGGGTAGAGCCACGGTGGCTAGATGTTAACTACTTCACCCGCTATTCAGGAGGTAGTGGGTTCGATCCCAATCCTGACACCCGTATATTTGGAATTTGCATGTTCTCCCCGTGGTCACGTAGATTTTTCTCCAGGTCCTCCGGTTTTTCACTTCGCATTTAGAATTAACATCATGTGTTTAGAGTATTTGGCTGCTATATATCTCCACATGATACGCCACTTTATAGGGCTATAATTTGTGGCCAGGTCACTTCTGAAAAAAGAGCTCTATAGTTCAGTGGGCCTTTCCTGGTAAAGTAGTAAATAAAATTTCGATTTAAAGCTTTCGTGACTGCAAGGATTCATCTTCTTTGGTTCTTTCGGTAAAGTAAATAAAAAGTAAATAAAACATTACCTGATGACGATTGCTTGTGTTGCGATCGAAACGTCGTGATGTATTATTTTTCTACCTACGTGACTTTACCGAAAGAATCAAAGAGTGTGGATTCCTGCAGTCACGAAAGCTTCAAATCAAGATTAAAACATTAAATGTTTGTAACAGGGCCGGAGGAGGTGGCCGGCTAGGGTTGATAAAACAAGTACCAATTTTAGGGACAGTGATTGTCTTGTGGGGACACTGGTCACCACCATAAGAATATGTAACTCTTATGTAGCCTCGTGAATCCAGGTCAGAGGATCGAGCCGGTATCATTAACATCCTGGGTTCAAACCCAAGGTTTCGTCTTAATGGTCGCACCCTGGTCAACAATGGCTGTATAAAAACATGTCGTCTGTCAATGAAAAAGACGGCGAGATTAATTGTATTTTTGCCAATTCAACTTGCCATCGCCAGTGATCGTTAAGCGAGGGGGGCGTGAGTCACCCCCTTTGACAATGCTTTTTCCCCCAAGCTTCCTCCCGTTTCCCTGAGACTCACTGCTGGGATCCCACATCTTCCCGGCTGAGCTTCGAGTGCGACGTTTGCACGAGGTCTCCTCTTCCTCCTCGCTCCTGTCGCTCTCGTGAGACTTTGAGTCATCATCCCCCAAACCATCAGCGTCATTGCGAGAGCCCGCATAGCCCTACCATGGGAGAAGAGCGGGGAGGGGAGCCATGGGGTTAGAGCAGAGAGGGGAGCCATGGGGGTGGAAATGGAGAATGGAGCATGGGAGGGCCCACAGACACGCAGATACTGATTAAAACATTGTCACTTCCTGAACAGAAGAACAGGAAGGGGATATTTGGTGATTCCAGACTTGTCACAGTTAGAGCTGGAGTCAAAGTGAATCCATGCTCAACTATGAATTGGCCTTAGCTCATTTCCATTGGCGGCCAGTGGTAGCAACTCCACATTACGGTGGCAGGAAATAACCATTGTTGGAATTCTGCAAAGCGATATACATTGTATTGACCCAGAGAGCATGATGGGCTCAGTTGAAGCATGCCGCAATCAAGGCATGGTTATACAAGCCTTGTTACAGGGTCAAAACAACAGGGTATCACAATTCCTGCATGTTCAAGATTAAGAGCAAACGCCTTAAGCAATGTCCAGTGTTGGTGCAACAACCACAATGCTGATATGTAATGCATTTCTATGCCATGACATGTTTAGCAATTTGGCATCCGGGGGATGGGGAGAGGCTGCTGTTAAGGATATTGACTCACAACTTAAAGGGTCACAAATTCATATTCTGGTCAGGGGTTGCAGCAGACTATATTTTCCGGCATATGTTGACTTCCCACTTTGAGGGCCATCAACAGTGGTTATCTAACGGATATAGTCACCCCTGCCATAGGAATGTGGCTTTTCCACAACTGGCCCAGGGATGACAAAGGAGATGTAACACCACCCCATTGCTTATTTGAGCAGAGAGATGCATTTGGTTTCTATTATACAGTAATACAATTACATGTATATACAGCATAATAAAATTACTTTCCAGAAGGCAATCCATCACCTCGCGTCAGATAATTGCCTTCGGAAGATAACGTCACAAAACTACTTTTGAAGTCCCTTCAATAAGCCACTTATTCACACTTAGCTGGCACATTTCCAACAACAAATGATCCTGTAAAGAGTGCTTTGTCGCTAGACGATTAAACCATTTTATTCAGTTTCTACCGTCAGAATGTGAAATATTAAGTAGAAAAAACCCAAACGAGTCTTTTTTTTTTGTGCTGAAACGATCAACTTGAGAACCCAGCTCAATCGAGCGAGCCATCCGGAATGCCCCCAAATGTCTATCCGATTTCAGGAGCTAATCAAGATTAAACCCTCGTTAGCACTTGGATGAAGTGACCTGCCCTAAAATACCAGGTGGCACAGACTTCAAGTGCATGCTGGCCAGGAGATGGAATTATAGCAATGGATTCTGGAATCTATCTACGTGGAGCTTTGAGTGTTAGTCCCTCATATGCATGGGGTTTCTCCAAGCAGTTGAGTGAGCGTCCTCCAGGACACACCACTTATGAAATAAACCGACCAAACGTCCTAATAATGCAGGATCCTCCTGAACAAAAAATACTCTCGAGACTCAGGGATGCTTTCCTGGGTTAAAGGGAAAATTATTATGTTAATCGTTTATTAACCACGGATTGGCTGCCTGCATTTGAAAGAAAGTAGCTGTGTCGGTACATCAACATGGTATGAGCCACCTGACAAACTCCGAGCAGGAAGACGCTTTTTGATGTCTACACTTTAGCTCAAGTCTATGACGGACTGTCCCCAATGTTACACAACACTCTACAGTAGCTGTTCAACTCCACATTTCAAGGATGTCTGTGTGTGTATTCCGTCAGTGTCACGGCATTCTGAATCCCAAGCCGTGTTTGGTCACTCGAGTTTTTCGCGTCTGTCGTGAGGAGGCAAAGCGCGTCACAAACAGCGTGTTTAAAATCACCATCTGGTTGTTTGCTGACTTCAACTTCTCTGATCCAACCCCCCCCCCTCCCACCCCCGGAGAGTTATGCTGTAAGGTCTGGGCAATGCAGAGGCCATCTGAGTTCTGATCCGAAGCACAATCCACCGTCCAAACCTAACCTTAAGCCTAACTCCATCTGGAAAAAACAAAGAGTGAAGTGGACCCAAAAGTGTATTTGGGACTTTGTGGACAGTCTCTACAATGGACAAGACTCCTCCGTCTGCGCCCCCTCTGCTCCCCAACCCCCTCCCCCCGACTCACTATTGGGCATCTGTAGACACTGTGGGTCGTCGTGGGAGTCTGGACATGCCCAACATGTTTATATTGTGGCCAAGAGGCACCTACAATATTTTGAAATACAATCCTGGTATTTTTGAGTCTGCGTATGGCTCCCTTTAACAAGGTGACATAAATGCTGATTATGTCGTTTGTAAGTTGAACTTCTTTCGCACGGTATTTAGTCAACCGTGCTAATCGGAGGTGCGGGCTAATCGGAGGGTGCTGCTGACAGTTTCTTCTAAATAGACAGTCGTGCACGAATAGTCAGCTCAGTAGCTAGTAGATGCTTCGGTTTAATTTAATTATAGTGAAGGAGAACTCCTCTTATCTGCAACGAGGTTGGGGGGGGGGGAGTATTGCGGGGGGTTGGCGAATTTCAGGGATCCTTTTTGTACTCAAACCAATAACCCCCCCCGGGGATCCATTCGCGAGTCGGACGCCCCAAAGCGTGGCCTCGCCACCCAATCCCGGCACCTTCGCGAAGAGCACGCGCTCGATGAGGCCGTCCTCGCGCTCGCGCGACAGCCAGCGCTCGCAGTGGAACACAATGGAGTCCTCCGCACCATCCTCCGCGTCGTGCACCTCCACGCGGTCCAGCAGCCAGCCCGCGTGCAGCATGCTGTTGTCGTGCCGCACGCGGATCTTGCAGATGGTGCCCAGGTCCACGGCTTCCAGCGTGAACCTGTCCACCTGCGGCAGGGCGGTGCGGTCCGGGAGGAGAAGCCGGCACGACCGGCCCGGCGTCTGATTACTATGTCCGTAGCGGCACCAATTTTTATCAATCGCGCTTGCTTAGCCGCTGCCAAAGACCGACCGGATCTGTGTCCTCATTGTTGTTTCATACGCACGGGCTGAGTTAAAAACTGAGTTCGACCAAGAGGCAAATACATTCCTGTTTAAAGATTACCTGATAGACGAGAATTTCTCAAACTCTATTATGCGTGACCAACCGCAGTCTACCCTTCCATGATTATTAGTCCTCTCCGATCAAATAAGATTAAGGTCTTCGCAGGCCGCGCGCACCTGATAATTTCTGAAGACTTGACATAGAGAGCGTCTATCAATCGGTTTTCCCCTTTTTTCTGGCAACAAAACAGGTGTGTTAAGATGTTAAAACACCAAACTGAAACCTTTTACAAGGAATCATGTCTGCATTAACCACAGTGCTTGTGGTCAGAATGCAAACAAAAAACATACTCTGATAATATATGCATTGTCTTTGAAACTGATTGGTCCACACCAGAGACAGTATTGTGGTTAATTCATAGATGATTCCCTGCAAAAGGTTTCAGTTTGGTGTTTTAACATCTTAACATAACTGTTTTGTTGCCAGAATAAAGGGGAAATTCTATTCTTATATTTTGACACTGGTAAAGAAGGTCCCATGATAGACAGCGTCTATTTAAATTAAGAGCACTCTTTAAGTTACGTCAGGTACACGTATGCACACGCACGTGCACACACAAGGTCTACAGTGAGGGGAAAAAAGTATTTGATCCCCTGCTGATTTTGTACGTTTGCCCACTGGCAAAGAAATTATCAGTCTATAATTTTAATGGTAGGTTTATTTGAACAGTGAGAGACAGAATAACAACAACAAAATCCAGAAAAACACATGTCAAAAATTTTATAAATTGATTTGCATATTAATGAGGGAAATAAGTATTTGACCCCCTCTCAATCAGAAAGATTTCTGGCTCCCAGGTGTCTTTTATGCAGGTAACGAGCTGAGATTAGGAGCACACTCTTAAAGGGAGTGCTCCCAATCTCAGCTTGTTACCTGTATAAAAGACACTTGTCCACAGAAGCAATCGATCAATCAGATTCCAAACTCTCCATCATGGCCAAGACCAAAGAGCTCTCCAAGGATGTCAGGGACAAGATTGTAGACCTACACAAGGCTGGAATGGGCTACAAGACCATTGCCAAGCAGCTTGGTGAGAAGGTGACAAGAGTTGGTGCGATTATTCGCAAATGGAAGAAACACAAAAGAACTGTCAATCTCCCTCGGCCTGGGGATCCATGCAAGATCTCACCTCGTGGAGTTGCAATGATCATGAAAGCGGTGAGGAATCAGCCTAGAACTACACGGGAGGATCTTGTCAATGATCTCAAGGCAGCTGGGACCATAGTCGCCAAGAAAACAATTGGTAACACACTACGCCGTGAAGGACTGAAATCCTGCAGCGCCCGCAAGGTCCCCCTGCTCAAGAACGCACATATACATGCTCGTCTGAAGTTTGCCAATGAACATCTGAATGATTCAGAGGACAACTGGGTGAAAGTGTTGTGGTCAGATGAGACCAAAATGGAGCTCTTTGCCATCAACTCAACTCGCCGTGTTTGGAGGAGGAGGAATGCTACCTATGACCCCAAGAACAGCATCCCCACTGTCAAACATGGAGGTGGAAACATTATGCTTTGGGGGTGTTTTTCTGCTAAGGGGACAGGACAACTTCACCGCATCAAAGGGACGATGGACGGGGCCATGTACCGTCAAATCTTGTGTGAGAACCTCCTTCCCTCAGCCAGGGCATTGAATTATGGGTCGTGGATGGGTATTCCAGCATGACAATGACCCAAAACACACGGCCAAGGCAACAAAGGAGTGGCTCATGAAGAAGCACATTAAGGTCCTGGAGTGGCCTAGCCAGTCTCCAGACCTTAATCCCATAGAAAATTTGTGGAGGGAGCTGAAGGTTCGAGTTGCCAAACGTCAGCCTCGAAACCTTAATGACTTGGAGAAGATCTGCAAAGAGGAGTGGGACAAAATCCCTCCTGAGATGTGTGCAAACCTGGTGGCCAACTACAAGAAACGTCTGACCTCTGTGATTGCCAACAAGGGTTTTGCCACCAATTACTAAGTCATGTTTTGCAGAGGGGTCAAATACTTATTTCCCTTATTAAAATTAAAATAAATGTATAACATTTTTGACATGCGTTTTCTGGATTTTGTTGTTATTCTGTCTCTCACTGTTCAAATAAACCTACCATTAAAATTATAGATTGATCATTTCTTTGTCAGTAGGCAAACGTACAAAATCAGCAGGGGATCAAATACTTTTTTTCCCTCACTGTATATCATCATGATTTTCTCGTGAATACGGTGATGAATTGTTCATCTTTCGCTTATGTAACAATGCCAATGTAGTCCCTTGCTGCCACAATTTAGAAGAACAAAGGAGGGCAATTGTCACCGTTTTTTGTTGTAAAAAAATATTATTTTTTAAACATGAACAAATCTGACCACTGCTTCCCCTTGCCAGCAACTGGGATGCAAGTTGCAATAATATCACAGAGTGAGGCCACATGACTATATTAAGTTGTGTGCCCTGTAGACCAATCAATGTTCATCAAATACAGATGTGTTTAACACGAACGAATTTTTTTTATTGGACAGACAGAACGCCATCACTTTAAACCATTTCTGTATCAGAGAACCAAAGTTGCTCACAATATATTATATATACATAGACACAGCCGTCTGTCCTGCCACGACTGGATGAAGGTCTCTCCACTCCCATGTGGAACATGAGAGTTATTTCCAATACTTCACTGTGCTGGAAATTGTCGGTTGTTGAAGACGGGGAGCCATAGATATGGGAGCATAGAAGTAGGGTGACAATGGTGATGAGTTACCTATTATTGATGTAAGGCGCATTTTAGCACCTTATAATCCTTAACCGCAAACCAGTGACAATTGCCCTAAAACTGCCCTGAGTGTTATCATTGCCTCTCGGTGCTATTGTTATCAGTCGTGCGCCAGCCGTCACCTGTCCTCGCTCAAACTTGTTAGTGTTGGTCTCGGACTTGCTGAGCCGGCGCTCGCCCGTGTCTCCCAGGTCCCCGTAGATGGTGAGGAAGACATTGGCGTCTGTCCCGGCTCCGCGCACGTCGCTCGTGTGTACACTCACCTTGTACGTCCGCACTGCGGTGGCAATGCAGGGTGCGGGGTGGGGCGGACGCAGGCACACACACACGGACACGGACACTGGTGGACAATGCATGGATGCTGGGAGAGGGGCAATACTGCACCCCTGCCAAGGTGGCCGAGTGGCTCAGGCAGATGAGGCTCGTATCAGAGGACTCGCTAAGCCAGGGTGGGGAACGTCCGGCCCGTGGGCCGTATAAAGCCCGAGAAATCATTTGGTCTGGCCCTGCCAAGGCAACCGCATGACTCGAAATTCAATAAATCTAGGCGCTTTTTTTCATAGCAACATAAATTTAATTTTGTATGGACCGCGAATGATGTTATAAATATCCAAATGGCTCTTTGCAGAAAGAAGATTCCCCACCCCTGCCGGAGTAATTGCAAACATGGAGACGGGCATCGTATTCAATGGGGATTCTATATGGGGACATGCTACAAATATGAATGGAGTTTGATTTTGCGCAAATGAAGATCAAGAACGTATCGAATAAAAACACGACTACCAAATATTACGGTACGTGTAACGTGTGGCGTGCGTGGCACGTGCAGTGTGTGAGTCGCATGCGGTACGTGTGGCGCGTGCGGAGCATTCCGTGTGTACGTAACGCGCAGCACGTGCACCGTGCACGTGCTGCGTGAGTGCGGCTCCCCCCCCCGCGCGCTCTCACAATCGAGCGGGTCCTCGAAGGCGTACTCGTCGCGCGACAGTGTGCCGTCCCCGAGGAGCTGCTCCAGCTCCACGTCGCACGGCACGAGCTCGCGCAGCGTCTCGCCGTCCTCCTCCGAGCGCGCCAACCATCGGCCGCACGGGAATGTCACCGTCTCCGAGCCCTGCACACGTGTCCATAACGCACGTGCGTGAAAAAGAGGGACAAAGACAAAGATTCCCCCGTTTGGCCTGTAACAGACTGCTGGGGCAAGTGCTGCTAGCGAGCGCCTTTGAAGGCCGGCACTGCACACAGGGGGGTGGGTGGTCAACACTATGCCCAGCCTTTTATCTCCTCAGGGCTGATGTTTACACACTGTGCCAGGTACTAATTTGAGGCTGAGTCAACCATGGGGAGGCCCAGGACCCATTCAGATATCTGTCACCGATGTTGACTTGTGAGCAGGAATTGAACTCGGGTGGCGCAGCAGGCTAACCACAGCACCGCCACTCCTCCCAATATTGATACACATATACACGCGCGTAACACTACACGTCGGCACACACAGGGGCACGCACTCGCACACGTGCGCATGTGAACTCGCTGTCATGCGCGCGCAAATGTACTTACAGAAATGAAGGCACACAGAAATGCGAGCGTGGACACACACATAGAGGCAAACGAGTTCGGTTGCACTTGGAACCAGATGGAGGTTTGGAATTCCACACCGTTTAAAAAGCACAACCGGACTAAAATACAATGAGGAAAGATGCTCATGATGATTAAAAACACACAGTATTTCACTAGCTTTCCAAACCCATCGTTACACAGAGGACGGAAAAATATTGATAATGGTCGAACTGTTAAAAAAAACTTACAAAAGATAAAACTTCACTTCTAAATCAAATGAGAGCCCGCATTGCCTTATTATCCCTCATGGCAATAATCAGTAAATAAACTCCAAGGGTTCACCTTTCCATCGGGCAGCAGACGCCGCACCTCCACACGGTCCAGGTGCCAGCCCGAGTTGATCCCCACGTTGTTGTGGCCAACTCGGAGCTTCTCAATCGTCTCCCCGACGTCCTCCAGCTGCAGAGGGACCACGGACCAGGGTTGGAAGTCAAACCTGGCACAGACTCACAGACTCAGGGCCAGAAGCCTCGTGCAACGAAACCCCTCCCCCCCCAAAAAAAAAAAACAATCGCTCTTGTATGTATGTTGAACTTCTTTCGCACCATAGGTAGCCAACTGCACTAGGTGCCCTTACCTCTCAAGACGCACACCTAGGCCACGTGTCCCTCAGAGCTGCCCGATCGAATTTGAAGGTTCATTCGTGAGAAAAAAAGACTTTGAAATGACGATCAAGTGCTCCGCCGTAGCAGTCTACAATGAGAAACTGCTGGGCCAAGATGGACGAACCTCCAACACGAAGACGTCCTTGGCGCCACGCTCAAAGTACATGTGGCGCTCTCGCTTGCTGCGGCACAGGCTCTGGGAGCGCGTGCTCACGCCGTTGGGGCCGTACAGCACCACGCTCACGTCCGAGTTGGTGCCGGCGTTGCGGATGTCGCTCGTGAACACCGTGATCTCATACGGCACGACTGTGGAGAGGAGAGGAGAAGGGTGCGGGGACGGGAGAGAGGTATCCTTCCGTCGTCACATGGCAGATGTCTCACCACGGTGGCTAGGAGATGTTAACTACCTCGCCCGGTATGCAGGAGGTCGTGGGTTCGATCCCGACCCTGACGCCTGCTGGAAATTTGGAGTTTGCGTGTCAATTTATCCGGGTCCTCTGGTTTTTCCCTCCACATTTAGAATCAACATGCGTTTAGGGTATATGGCTGCTGTACATTTCCACATGATAAGCCACTTCGTTGAGCTATTATTTGTGGCCAGATTACTTCTGAAAAAAAGCTACATAACTCAGTGGGCCTTAACAGGAAAAATAAAAATAAAATAGATTAGTTTCGTCTTTGTCGAGTCTACCACTATTGTTTGCATGTCTATTACAGACATTTCGTGGTCCTGGCAACACCACCCGCCTTGTGCGCCATGCTGTTCTTGATGGGTGCTCACCAACAGCATTTGCCCCAGCAGCGTGTAAAGGCTGTTGGGAGATACTTTGTCGAGGTACAATTTAATGGGTGGAGCCGTGGTGTAGTGGTTATTGCACTGCGGTATGCACCCAGCAACCTCAGATTCCTGGCCATGGCTAACAGCAGCAGTGGCAAATATCTAAACCAGTCCTGGGCTTCCCGTAGGTCGACTCACCCTTAAATGAGTTCCTGGTGTAATGTGTAAACATCAGCAATGTGCAAACAAAGGTGGCCAGGCGTGGTACTGGTCACAGTGCTCCCTTGCCCACTTTACCGAAATCCATTGGTGGTCACGAACAGCACTTGCCCCAAAAGACTGTGAGAGGCTATATGGGGAAGGTGTGTCTGTTAATTAGTTTAATATTTACAAGATCCTCTCCACTGCATGTCCTACCTAATAACAAGTTATTGGCCTAAGTGTGATATCCAGTATGATGTTGTGCTTTGTCAATTTTTAAAGTCATCAAGCAGCCCCCTAATTTTTATGCCTCTTGGTCTCTTTACCAGCACACTGCCCTGTAGAACGTCCTTCAGAAAGCCCTCACCTGTGACAATATTCCCTATCCAGCTATGCCGCTTTATTTGAATTGGTCGTGATCAGAAATATTCCCTCCTGAACCTGTTGAAGCACTGCCTCATTAGTTTTTCTTTCTGTCCAGCTGATTTTTCCCTCCATTTGACGCCAAACCCCGCATGTTCACAAATGAAAAATATCCTTGAGTAAAAAAAAAAATATTGATATGAATATTAAACTATATAGGGGGGAGCAGTTGAGCAGGAGTCTGCGTACTGCGCTGTGAGAACACGTACAAATTCATGAATGAAATTGGCCAAACATCCCAATTTTGGGCCCTCCAGAAAAAAAAAAACTCGGTGAGGCCTTCCTGAATAAATACAGGTTTTTATCATTATTATTATAATCACAAAACAGCCCTGAGAAATGGTCATCTTTTTTCCCAATATGAAAGTAAATCCTTTCCTTCTTGAAATTCCACGTGGCTTATTTTTGTCAAATTCATTGTATTATCACATCATATTAGGAACAAAGGTGACAGTGTCCCACTACTCAAATGAAGTGCTCGGCAGCGCTCAGCTCCATCAGTGCCACTGGATGAGTGGTAGAAATTCCAGATTCCTATGATGGGGCCAGTCTAACTTCAACAATATCAGTGCTGACTTGGTACAAAGTGGTAATTATTTAAACATCCTAGGAAAGAATGATGGACTGAGATGACCCCCAACCGGGATTTGAATTTTCGACTTGCCAATTATCAGTTGATTGTCTTTGCCAATGCAAAACATGTAGTTTAATGTCCTCTGCGATACGGTAGTCTATAAATATTGCTTCCTTTTGTTTATTTAAATGCTATTGTTTGCCAGCGCATGGCTCTCCGATCGCCGTCAATGAAGCCGTCTTTTTCACCGCCGACGGCAGTTCGTACGGCACCACGGACACGGTCCCATCGTCACGGTGGCAGTGGGGCAGCGGTGCGGCGCGTACAGGGCGTGTAGTGCAGCGTCTGCAGGCAGTTGGGGTACAGGACGCGCTCTATGGCCCCGTCGTCCTCGCCGCGGTCCAGCCAGCGGCCGCACGGGAACTGCATCTTCTGACCGAGCGATGGAGCGTCGATCTCCACCCAGTCCAGGAACCATCCCGAACCTGCGACTGCACGTTGAGCATGCAGCGATGCATCGGCCCAGCAATTGCTTTGATTTGAACGTTCATGATAACATGCATCGTTGAATTTACTATTAATAATTTATGTAAATTATATGCTAATGGATTTTTGCAACCCCAGGTTGCCAGTGCACTCAGCTTTATACTACGACTGCACCAATAACATACACACACGTGTCCCTATAAGCATGCCTTCAGACATTTTCGTATTCCCATAATCTATTACAACTGTGCCGATCATCATCATCATATTGGAAGAATCGTCTATTAGGAAATATTGTTGAGCAATGCACCTCCATGCATCAGAGAGAAGCCCTGCAGAAGACAATTTTACACAGGGCTTGTTAAAATTCATTCAGTTTGAGTTTTTAATCCTTGACACAGTAAAACCTCTCCAAAGCCAGACTCGGCAAGAGATGCCAGGTCACCCCGAGCAAAGCACATGGGAGACCGATGCAATCGGCGAACATGTGTGCGTGGGTATGTCAGCTGACCACATGCTGCTCTGCGGTCAGCTGACATACCCGTTTTAGGACATTACTCTCATGCAATGAGAGAAAAAAAAAACATCTTAAAATATTTCATTTTTAGGCCACAATTTTGTTGTTTTTTAATCCCAGCTCCCCTCAATAAAACATTTCCACCCTCCGCCTCTGGGTGCATCCCAGGCGGCCGGCTGCTCACCTCCCGCGTCGTGTCCGACGAAGATTTTCCGCAGCTCGCCGAGCCCCACCGCCTCCAGGGTGAACTCGTCGACGTTCCTGCGCTCAAACTTGTTGCGGTGGCACTTGGAGGTCTTGAGGCTCACCACGCCTGTCGGGGAAAATCGTCAGCGAATCACGGGGCCACGTGTCTAGCTATCGTCATCGAGTCAAGTCACGAGATGAAGAATCCGTTTGAATCCCTCGCAGATCCGCAGCCCAAACTTAGCCAAAAAATGTAATTCCAGAAGCAATTTTTTTCGTGATGGGTTTTTTCGATGCAGTCATTGGTGACCTGCCTCTGACACCATCTACATAGGAATGGCCGCCCCCTCCTGAATAAGAGTCGTGAGACTCAGTGAAGCTTTCCCCGAGTTTTTATTTTTTATTAACTATGTAAAAAAAGCAGCTCATTCTATTTAAGAACCCCATTTAATCAGATTCAAACTCAGGATCTCAGCAGTGCCGGCTCAGTGTTGTGACCTTTGAGCCACCTGCGGGCCACTCCCTTCTTAGGGCGACATTGCCGAGCTTTGCCATGTTCAACAGCATTGGAGACATTCGAGGAATGAGATTTTGCTAATTTATATCTTTAACTCCACTTTGAAGCTTTCCTTATTAAGTTATTCATTTTCTGCAGTTCATATCTACTGGTTGCTATGACTATGAAAATACATCATCATATTGACTGTTGAAAAGTAAGTTAAATGTCTTTGTAAGAGAGCTTGGATTCACATTTGCAAGGTTTTTAGTTCAAATTTTGGTCAGGATTGACTCATTCTACTTCCTCTCCGGGGTATATAAAATCAGTATCAACAGTATTCTTTGGGTCTTTCGGTAAAGTCACGTAGATAGGTTCAAATAAAATAACAAAAAATTACAAAACCTATCTACGTGACTTTACCGAAAGACCCAAAAAATATGAATTCCTGGAGTCACGAAAGCTTTAAGTCAAGTATCAACAGTGGCTGCCCAAAAGGGAAACAGGCTCCTCCGTCCATAAAAAATGTGGAACTTCCACTCCTGGCCCAAGGGCCTCAACAGAGATTAGTGCAAGCCCATGCTTGAACACAGATACACGTGAATTGACTTGTTAAGTGTAAGACATCTTTTAATCATTTTAGCGTGCAATCAGACTACTGTTACAAGTGTGCACTTTTGATTCCTGTTATGAGTGCTTTCATAAAAAACTATTAATTCAGATTAATCGTTTCAAAAGCTTAATGCTGTCAATACAAGGGCATTAGCAGGCAATGTGTACCGATCATCCAACAATGCCCAAATCTATAAAAGAGTGATGTAATTTCCTAGCTTAAATTAACATACGTACTAAGTATATGTTAATTAGAAGAATGCTATCAATGCGTAATTCTAGTATTGTGGTTTATCTTATTACCAAATATGGCATTCGGACACTTCACATAATTAGTAGCCTCACCAAAATATGATAATAGGGGTTTCCCCTTTTATCTGGTAACAAAAGAGGTGTTAAGATGTGCTGTACGCCTTTTGGCGTCCTCTGGTCTAACACCGTTTTGAGACGAGGCTCAAAAGAAGCTGTCTCTGGTTTGTACAAATCAGTTTCAAGGACAATGCATATATTTTGATTTAAAGCTTTCGTGACTGCAGTAATTCATATTCTTAGTTCTTTCGGTAAAGTCACGTTGAAGGGAAACAATAAAATAATAAAATATATAAAACAATAAAAATTCTCACGACGTTTCGACCATAACACAAACGGTCGTCTTCACTCCAGCGCAGTCTTCGAGACAGTCTGGTCCCTTAACCTGATGAAGGCCGCTTGTGTTGTGGCCGAAACGTCGTGATTTTTGTTGTTTTATTTTTTACCTACGGGACTTTACCGAATAGAACCAAAGAGTATGGATCCTTGCAGTCACGAAAGCTTCAAATCTAGAACTCACATGTTCATCAAGCTTGCAAATAGAATATCTAGAATTGTATTATAAAATGTCGAAACGAGTAGGCAGTTATATTCTTAGCTCTTTCGGTAAAGTCACGTTGAAGAAAAACAATAAAATAATAAAATATATATAAAACAACGTGCCTTTACCGAAAGAGCTAAGAATATGAATTACTGCAGTCACGAAAGCTTTAAATCAAGAGTAGGCAGTTAAGAAGACGTGGCATCATTTCGACAGCATGTGTACTGTGCAGTGCATGTGTCCGAGCACGAGGACATGAATATAAAATATAAAGTTTTTATGCATATTTACATTATTACATGGAGCAATACTTTCTGAATGTGTGTGTGTATGTTCAAGGGCCGTGTCACTACCAGCTGCCTAAGCAAAATATTTCAGATTCGTCTCTCTCTCTCTCTTTCTCCATTCCATTCCGTCAGCTGTCAAAGGGTGGCTGGCGATGAGGCTGCGGACGTATTTCTTCCACTCCTCTCCCTTTCTCTGGTCGTGACGATCGCTTCCTGTAGACCGATGATGTTTTTTTTTCTCTCGCGAGGTCTGCCTTCGTGTCATCAATACACCTCCCGCACAGTCGGCCTCGACTTCTCGCCCCAATCCACATGGCAGTTGCACGACTATTGATGTTGACTTGTTGGGCATGATTCGTAGAATTCGGTAAAAAACGCTCAAGACTCAAACAAGCAAAAAAACTAGGGCAAAACCTAACCAGGATGCTTCTGCATGTATTACAACACAGTGACTGGAGAATAAGCCGTCTCACGAGAAAAGGTGCAACAGTTGCATTTAGGGAATTTGCTTATCTTGAAAATGCTTGCGAATCTTTTAAACTGATTTCCTACATTGATCACTGATATTCTCTTCTGAAGTTTTAAAGTGGGTCTCTTGGAAATCCACTGTATGGTTGAGAATGCAAGTTCAATTCCTGCTCACGGCCAACACCAATGACGATTATCTGAACCTGCCCTTGGCCTCCCCTAGGTCAACTCAGCTTCAAATGAGTACCTCGTGCGGTAAGTATCGCCACTAGGCAGGCAAAGCCAGCTGGGTGTGTTGTTGGCCACCCATCCCCGAATGTGCCGTACCGGCCTTCATACCTGATTGCTAACAGCACTAGACCCAAACGTCTGTTAAGGCTATACGGGGAATCTTTGTGCATCAGCGACTGTGGATTTGTGCTACAAATTGAGCTTTGTTGGCAGCCTGACAGGTCAATAATTAAACCTTGATGTAACACATTTTCCCACGTTAAGCAATATTGACCCATGGATGCTTTGATTACTTCTTGGGGACATGTTGTTATTTCGTATTACACTCTCCTCTGGATAGTGTACCTTCATCGGCCCCTGAGGGGCAACATCTCTAGGGGATGTAGCATTGGTTGAAATGTACGTGTGCTTTTATCGCCGGCACGCTCAGACAAATCACACAGCTCCCAGCTGGGTTCCAGGTGCTGCAGATTAGTGCAGCGATGGTATTTTTCACTTCAACAAGGTACTACGCGGATTAGTTAATCGATAAAGCCAGCAGTGCGAGCTCCGGCTTTTGAGGTCGACGGTCAACGCATGCCAGAGCTTGCTCGCGTCACGAGCTCTCGTGCTGTTCTCCATGCTGAGCTGGATGCACTTCTTGATTGCATCCCACCATCACCACCACCACCACCACGTTAATCTTTCTCTTCCTCTTGCCCTTCTGCCTTCAATGTTGCCTTGGAGGAGGTGCGGCAGTAAGGCTCCTTATCAGCCTAGAACTGCATCTCCACAGTATGCCATCTTCCTCTACGTTCGAGGTGGCTCAGAGGTTTGTGCATCGAGATCTTGGGCTTGAATCCAGGCACCCATGACATATATATTGTTTCCTTCAATGAAGCAAAACATCGAAAGAACATAACCAGGATAAAAAGGGCCACCATGTCCGATGTAGATGAATGGATCCAGAGAAGAACCTCGCTGTGATCTAAAGCAGGAAAGAAAAGCAGAGAAGAGAGAGAGAGAGAAAGAGGAGAGGAAGGAAAGAAGAGAGAGAGTGATGGGCGGGGAGGATGTAAAGGGACGCACACTTCCTTTCAAAGGGTCAGCGAGCCCTGTGGGGGAGCCCGAAGGTGTTTGAGTACGGATACCTCATGCAAAGGGTCAGCGAGCCCTGTGGGGGAGCCCGAAGGTGTTTGAGTACGGATACCTCATGCAAAGGGTCAGCGAGCCCTGTGGGGGAGCCCGAAGGTGTTTGAGTACGGATACCTCATGCAAAGGGTCAGCGAGCCCTGTGGGGGAGCCCGAAGGTGTTTGAGTACGGATACCTCATGCAAAGGGTCAGCGAGCCCTGTGGGGGAGCCCGAAGGTGTTTGAGTACGGATACCTCATGCAAAGGGTCAGCGAGCCCTGTGGGGGAGCCCGAAGGTGTTTGAGTACGGATACCACATGCATCAGACTCAGTCAATGTTTGACAACGGGTAGAACCCGAGATATCCAGTGTGTCAAGTTGCTTAAAGGCAACTAAAGGCACGTCTCAACAAGGTTCCGTGGGACACTGAAATCGCTGGTGGACGTCTGAACGAAGGGCGGAACACAAGTCCCGAATATGTAATCGAGATAACGGGTAATACCTTGATATGGGATTTGAACCTCCAGGCAGGACCTGGCATTAGACCCATTCGACCATCGTGAATTAATTAACTTAATTTGGTTGAATTAGAGCTCTGAGACACACGCATCTGGCATGAGACAGACTCTCTTGACTGGGCAAATAAAAGGTGTGGACACCAGTGTGGGTGAAGAGGCCTATTGAAGTGAGCACAAGTAGCTCTGTGACCTCATTTTACGGGGTCAATCTCTAACACGAGGTGATGCGATGCTAGCTGCAGAATCCCCGATGTGAAAACTTATTCGTCTTGTTACATGACACTGATAAGAGTCACTGGAATGTCAACAGGGATTAAAACACAGCAAAAAATGTCTCTCTTCATTCATTACTGTCTTGTTCATTCTATTCTCAGCATCATGCTTAAACACCAAATCTCAGTACAGTAGAATTGTAAATGACCACCCATGATAACGATTAATCGCTGAACGACGGGCCTCCATAGAGCCCAATGTGTTCGCTTACCGACCATTCCCCTGTTAACGTACGATGAGCACGCGACCGCCAATTGCAGCCAATTGGCGAGCTCCAAAGTGGTCTGACCTGGCCTAGGCCAATCAGCGACGTCCATTCACGAGCATTGGGGCATTGTTTACATTCGGTGTCTGCTGCGCATTGAAGTGGAAACATCTACTCACTTAACGACCAAATCACTTAACGATCGGTTTCATAGAACCAATTATCATCGTTAAGAGGGGTTCTACTGCCATCTTTACAGCTCCATGAAGTAGAAACAAGTCAGTCAGACTCATCACCGCAGGTGAGCTGCATCACGGTGAGGGTCGGGGCAAGACTCGCAGGCGAAAGCCTGGGGCAGCTACTTCCTTCATGTATCAAGGTGTCGCTTTCTTGAAAAAATTGTTGATAGAAGTCGTCATATGGAATGCTTGACCCCTGTTACTGGAATGTTGGAAATTCTCCCATTGCCTCAGGGGCCATGAAGAGAGAGGTGCACTGCCCCTTTGTCCGTTTGAGCAGGGGCACTGATTTGCTATACGCAGCATATTTCGCTATCTAATGTAACAAACTCCGATTAGCACCTCCGATTATCACGGCTGACTACGTACGGTGCAAAAGTAGTTCAACATACATACATACGTATAATTGAGTGCTCATTGAGATTTATTCTCCGTTTTCAAGGGAGGCATGGTTAACATTAGCTGCAGTTACACAGGTACAGATGCCATTATTTTGCGGATTGTGGTTTTAATTGTGGGTTTTGTATGCATTTGAAGCGTTGTTTATGATACAGGCACGCAGTGGTCTACTTCTGGAGATTAAGTCACGCGATGACTCGTGTTTGCTTTAAGCGGACCGTGCATTTGGTGGCACCATACACACATCACTGGCGGCGGCTACGGAAATTGAATGGTAATTCAGTGCAAGACAGTGAAGTGTCGAGTTCACTGACAAGTGGTAGCGGGGCCTATACTTAAGCAAAGGCAGGTACCACCCTAAGATGTTTCAGTCTGGGCACTGCCAAACCTGAAGCAGTAAATAATTACATAATCAAAGTGCAATGCGCACAGTTATTGTCTCTCTCTATATCTTGCTGCATCTCTTTCACATCTTAATCCATGTCTTTGTCTGGTTATATCTATGGGGCAGTCCCTAAATGACGTCATGCACCTGTGGGGGGGGGGGGGTCAGACATTTGTGACGATGTGTGATGAGGGGGGGGGGGGGGGGTTTGAGAAATGTGACGTCACATCAAAATTCGCAACTTTAAATAAATATAGACAACACGTTCTACTTAATTAAATAGACTTTTTAATAAATGTTTTCTCCTACAACATCAGAGTGCAGCGCCACATTAAATACGCACTACAATGACAACAGTTTAAAGCGATTTAAAGCATAAAATTTTGATTTAAAGCTTTCGTGACTGCAGGGATTCATATTCTTGGTTCTTTCGGTAAAGTCACGTAGAAGGGAAACAATAAAATAATAAAAATATAAAACAATAAAATTCTCACGACGTTTTGACTGCAACACAAGCAATCATCATCAGGTGTGAAAACCACAACAAGAAAATGTTCTTGTTGTGGTTTCATATTTTTATTATTTTATTGTTTCCCTTCTACGTGACTTTAACGAAAGAACCAAGAATACGATTTAAAGCATGTTTTATATTTTTTTTTTGGGGGGGGGCAGAGCTTTGTGACGTCATATTTGAGGGGGGGGGTCTGCCTTTTTGTGACGCCGTGTGACTAGGGGGGGTGGGGGGGGTCAAAAATTGTCCAAAATCGCATGGCGTCATTTATGGACGGTCCCTATGTGTCTCTCCAAATTGCCCTCCGTGTCTCGTGCTGATTTCTGTTTGTCTGTGTTTGGCCAATTGGCCAATTGTCTCTCTCTCTCCATGTCTCTCTCCATGTCCCTTTGTGACCGTCTCTCTCTCTCCATGTCCCTCCATGTCTCTTTGTGACCGTCTCTCTCTCTGTCTCTTTGTGACCGTCTCTCTCTCTCTGTCTCTCTCTCCATGTCCCTCTATGTCCCTTTGTGACCGTCTCTCTCTCTCTCCATGTCTCTTTGTGACCGTCTCTCTGTCTCTTTGTGACCGTCTCTCTCTCTGTCTCTTTGTGACCGTCTCTCTCTCTGTCTCTTTGTGACTGTCTCTCTCTCTCCATGTCTCTTTGTGACCGTCTCTCTCTCTCCATGTCTCTTTGTGACCGTCTCTCTGTCTCTTTGTGACCGTCTCTCTCTCTCCATGTCCCTCCATGTCCCTTTGTGACCGTCTCTCTCCATGTCCCTTTGTGACCGTCTCTCTCTCTGTCTCTTTGTGACCGTCTCTCTCTCTGTCTCTTTGTGACCGTCTCTCTCTCTCTCTGTCTCTTTGTGACCGTCTCTGACTCTGTCTCTTTGTGACTGTCTCTCTCTCTCTCTGTCTCTTTGTGACCGTCTCTCTCTCTGTCTCTTTGTGACCGTCTCTCTCTCTGTCTCTTTGTGACCGTCTCTCTCCATGTCCCTTTGTGACCGTCTCTCTCTCTGTCTCTTTGTGACTGTCTCTCTCTCTCTCTGTCTCTTTGTGACCGTCTCTCTCTCTCTGTCTCTTTGTGACCGTCTCTCTCTCTCTGTCTCTTTGTGACCGTCTCTCTCTCTGTCTCTTTGTGACCGTCTCTCTCTCTGTCTCTTTGTGACCGTCTCTCTCCATGTCCCTTTGTGACCGTCTCTCTCTCTGTCTCTTTGTGACTGTCTCTCTCTCTCTCTGTCTCTTTGTGACCGTCTCTCTCTCTCTCTGTCTCTTTGTGACCGTCTCTCTCTCTGTCTCTTTGTGACCGTCTCTCTCTCTGTCTCTTTGTGACTGTCTCTCTCTCTCTCTCTGTCTCTTTGTGACCGTCTCTCTCTCTGTCTCTTTGTGACTGTCTCTCTCTCTCCATGTCCCTCTATGTCTCTTTGTGACCATCTCTCTCTCTGTCCCTTTGTGACCGTCTCTCTCTCTGTCTCTTTGCGCCTTCTGTCTCCCTCTCTCTATCTTACTCTATCTGTGTTTGTCTTGTTGCCTCTCTTAAATGTCTCGATCTGACAGTCTCTCCATCTCTACGTGTCTCTTTCTTCCAACGTGTCTCTCTGTGTGTTGCGTCTCTCCATATCTCTCTCTATATATTTTTCATCCATCTCTCTCTTTGTCTGTCGAGGAGATGGTGTCTTTACTCCTTGTCTGTGTTTCTCTGGGTGGTAGCACTGGGGGCGGTGAGAGGTGGTTGACCCCTCCCCCTTTCCTGCTCCTTTCTTCCACCCCTCTCTCCGCCCACCAGGGTTGCCCGCGCAAAAAAGTAATTCTATTCCGCTGCCTTAGGCACTAAACCACTGAGACGCAGGACACAGTTGCCCATATCACTCTGTCTGTCACCGGGCCGTATAAATGACTGGAGGAGGGCCTGCTCGCTCACCTGTGTCGTCCCGCTCCCCGTACAGGATGGCGAACACGTTGGCATCAGTGCCAGCGTTCCTTTTGTCACCCGTCTTAATCCTGATGTTGTACGTGGTCGACTTGGCTTTAATTACCGAGAGAGAGGAGGAGGAGGAACAAAAATGTACCCGAGCGAATAAATTCCGACCGATGTTAACTGTAGCCTGCTGCATTCATCATTGTAAAGATTTATCGTAGATCATTATATACAGATCATTAGGTTAATCATCATTCAATGATCATCTAATTATCAACTATCAAGGGATAAATGTATAATAGATAAGCGTGTATTATTTATGATCAGATCGTTTATATAGACATAGCACGTGTATTAATTAGTTTTCTGTATATAAAACATTATACATTGACTACACTGGTTGTCTTAAACTACGATCTGTGCGCTAAGTGTGAACATCAGGCAAAGCTTTAATTATATAAAAAAAGCCTGCAGTATGCCAATGGTATCATGAGTTACCGCAATGATAACGGTTGAGAAATGTCGAAAAAAAGTGTGCAAAATTACACGACAAGACTAATTTATGATGTCTATGAAATTAGAAAACGGTGCATGGATGTTGGCCAAAGGATGTCCATTCCATTATCCAGGCAAGTGATACTGGCGAGACGATCGGTACACAATCAGAGGGCTGTGAGTTCAAATCCTGGTCGGGGGGGGGGGTTGACTCAGCTTGTCATCTTTCCATTGTTGATAAAAAAAATAAGTACCACTTTGTGGGAAGTCAACGTTGCTTGTCCCTCGGAAAGATTAGCTCACGCCACATTGGAGTTTCCACCATTGGCTCAGCGCCACTAATGGAGATGAGCCCTGCTAAGAGCTCAATGGAGCATGGGGACATTTTAACCTTTTGACTTTGAGCCTTATAAGTGAAATACATCTCACGTTCACTGTGAATAAATGTCATTGATTTGATTTAACAAAAACATTGTTAAATTGATATAGGAAGAATAAAAATCTACGTGTCGTTCCTGAAAAAAAGAACATACACTCGTTAACAGGATAAGAATGCATACATTCGCTATATTTTGCCAAATAAATGCATTTAGAAAGGAGTGAATGGGTTTTTTTTTTTCAAGTCTAAATAAGTTATGCATCATAAATTCCGTCAAATTCCATTTGTAATCAGGAACATACTGCAACACATTATACCAGTAATAGCTGTTAAAGGGAAACATTTCAGTTTTGCAAACTAGTTATTCAACGTCATTATCATTAGTCAATTAAAATAAATGTATACATCCGTACAGCTATCCACTGCTGCATAAAGGCCTTCCGAAGACGTTGCCATCTCACAGGGTTGGGATGCAACATTTAACTCCTGACCACAAACCGATTTTCTTCATCTTTCCACAAAACGTCCTGTACATTTCAATTCGACTGAGCCAGGTAATTTATCCTCCTTCTTCTTCATGGAAATCCAGTAAATGGCGCTCCTCCAATGACCACACATATTATTAAAAGTCAGAACTTTATCCCAACAATGAGTGCACGCTGGTGATTCTACAGAGAATCGCTCGGGCAGGCGGGAGAGACGCAGGGCAAAATACACGTGGCGTCCGTCACCTTTCTGCTCGAGGCCGAGCGTCGTTGCCGAGCCATTGGCCCCTTTGGCCGAGCCGCCACCCGTCGTGTCCCTGTTCAGGAACACCTCGTCTACGGGCACCAGCTCGCGTGCCAGCTGCCCGTCATCCTCGTCGATGGCCAACCAGCGCTGGCACGGGAAGAAGTACCTGAAAGCGCAGAGTACGGGCGGGGGCTCAAGTTCTGATGCACACTACGGGGAGGACCGACACCGTGGCTTTGTAAACTGTGCAATGAATTCATTATTTATACCGCAACAGCTGGTGATGTAATACACTGCCACTGAGATGGGGATGGTGGAGTCTGCCAATTTCATTTTGTGCTGTGTGCCTCTCGATCCCACCACGCTGTGACATGTGACATGGCCAAGAGATGGTAGCCCATGACCCATCTCTGCGGACTTTTGAGGGTCCTCTCGCAAGCCATGAGGCTTTTTTTTCTAGAACTCTCGTTTCTTTCCACATCCCCCATGATTTCAGGATGCAAAATGTAACTTCGAAACTAAAATGTGAGGCATGCAGCTCGGTAACACCTTCTGCATTGCAGATGCAGCCGGTTTTGTTGCGTGACAAGCCACCCACAGTTTGGGTAGCAAGAAACTTATACAAGAACGAGGCCCCTGGTCAAACTTCACACATTGGGAGGTTGCTTTTTTCTCCTTTGCTGCCACAAAGGTCTGGAACTCCTTCATTCTGGCCATCTGTGCTGTGGACTCCCTGCCTCTGTGCCAGACCAGACTTCAAGACCTTCCCCGTCTTCTCTGCCTATGGCTGCCACGTCTATGAAGTCAAGTCAATAAATAAAATAAAAATGCATAAGCCTCCTTTCTCCCCCATGATACACTTGTCCCAACATTTGCACAGCTTCCTGACATGCCGGTTGCACTTTGGGCGCTATTTTAGTGCAAAATGAATCGCATTGTATTGAACAACCACGGGAAAAAAAGCAGGCGTTCCACTCGGGGCACGGCAAGTGCAAGAGCCGTGGGCATACGAAGCGTGAGAGTGCAAGCGAAGGCAATGACGCGGCAGCGCCAGGAGATCTCGACGCAGCGCCGGGGACAACAAGAGGCTCTCTCTCACTTGCTCTTGCTGTTCTCGTCGGTGATTTCAACGCGATCGAGGAACCAGGCGGCGCTGCCGCCGCAGTTATCGTGCCGGATCCGGAGCTTGGTCAGCTCGCCCAGGTCAATGGCCTTCAGCTTGAAGATGTCTCTCTGCGTTCGGGATAGGGATGAAGAAACCGTGCATTGTACGAGATGGGAAGGCGCGGGAGCAATGGCGAGGGGTGGATGGCCGTGAGGTGGGAATGAATGGTGTGGGAGGTGTTCGGTGTTGATGGTGAAAGCCTGATGAACTGCTTTCTGTGAGCAAAAGCCATTATTCTTCAGTTAAAGTGTCATTCGAGCGGTAGGAAAACGCAGCGATGAATAGGTTTGGCAATGGTTAACGTTCAGGCATTTACTGTACACTTCTCATCCCACTTCTTGCAAAAAGGCACTGTAATAAAGCATGCCATAAGATATTACTTTGACCCACAATTTACATCAATGATTCTTTGTACTAAACAAACCAAAGTGAGAAAAAAGCAAAGGCTAAATAATAATAAAACACTTCAGTGGCCGCCCTTCAAGCCTTACTGATCTACTTGTCAAAAGGCTCCCGACTGGATACAAACCACTTTTGGGATTTAAAAAAAAAACCCCACTTAGTATTTTGCGCATCATAGGTTGAAAGGCGGGCGGGCGGTCGGGCACGTTCACAGGAGGAAGGGTGCGCTCCTTGTGTGCACACTGCTTGAATCGATAGCATCGATCGGCTCACCCACCAACCCCTACCTGTCCCCTCTCAAACTTGTTGAGGCTCCGCTCGGCCTTGCGCAGTCGGCGCTCGCCCGTGTCGCCCAAGTGCCCATACACGTTGACGAAGACGTTCGCGTCGGTGCCGGCTCCCATCACGTCCCCCGTGCACACGCACACCGTGTACACTTTCTCTGCGGCCACGGTGGGGTGGGGGATGGTGGGGGGGGGGGGGAGAATAACTTTAACAGACTGTCCTGTAAGCGAGCACCTATGAAGGCCGACACAGCACACGAGGGGGTGGGTGGCCAGCACCACGCCTGGCCGCCTTTGTCTCCCGAGTGGCGATGATTACACACCGTACCAGGTACTCGTTTGAGGCTGAGTCGACAGAGGGGAGGCCCAGGACCGGTTTAGATAATCGTCACTGGTATTGGTGGCCGTGAGCGGGAATTGAACCCGAGTGGCCAGGTTAATAGCGCAGCGCGCTAACCGCAACGCTACCGCTCCCCACATTCACATTCACTCACACACATTCATCAAATCTTAAGTGGGCCAGTACCTCAGGTGTCAGGTAATAAACAACTCAGCTTAGAGATGCTTAAGCTGCACAGCATTGTGAGAAAAAACCTGCAATACTTGATAGAACACAAGCACAGATATAGTATAGATGATTGGGACTGAGTGACTAACATACATTACAGTGAGGGAAAAAAGTATTTGATCCCCTGCTGATTTTGTACGTTTGCCCACTGACAAAGAAATGATCAGTCTACAATTTGAATGGTAGGTTTATTTGAACAGCGAGAGACAGAATAACAACAAAAAAATCCAGAAAAACGCATGTCAAAAATGTTATAAATTGATTTGCATTTTAATGAGGGAAATAAGTATTTGACCCCTCTGCAAAACATGACTTAGTACTTGGTGGCAAAACCCTTGTTGGCAATCACAGAGGTCAGACGTTTCTTGAAGTTGGCCACCAGGTTTGCACACATCTCAGGAGGGATTTTGTCCCACTCCTCTTTGCAGATCTTCTCCAAGTCATTAAGGTTTCGAGGCTGACGTTTGGCAACTCGAACCTTCAGCTCCCTCCACAGATTTTCTATGGGATTAAGGTCTGGAGACTGGCTAGGCCACTCCAGGACCTTAATGTGCTTCTTCTTGAGCCACTCCTTTGTTGCCTTGGCCGTGTGTTTTGGGTCATTGTCATGCTGGAATACCCATCCACGACCCATTTTCAATGCCCTGGCTAAGGGAAGGAGGTTCTCACCTAAGATTTGACGGTACATGGTCCCGTCCATCGTCCCTTTGATGCGGTGAAGTTATCCTGTCCCCTTAGCAGAAAAACACCCACAAAGCATAATGTTTCCACCTCCATGTTTGACGGTGGGGATGGTGTTCTTGGGGTCATAGGCAGCATTCCTCCTCCAAACACGGCGAGTTGAGTTGATGCCAAAGAGCTCCATTTGGTCTCATCTGACCCCAACACTTTCACCCAGTTGACCTCTGAATCATTCATATGCTCATTGGCAAACTTCAGACGGGCATGTATATGTGCTTTCTTGAGCAGGGGGACCTTGTGGGCGCTGCAGGATTTTAGTCCTTCACGGCGTAGTGTGTTACCAATTGTTTTCTTGGTGACTATGGTCCCAGCTGCCTTGAGATCATTGACAATATCCTCCCGTGTAGTTCTGGGCTGATTCCTCACCGTTCTTATGATCATTGCAACTCCACGAAGTGATATCTTGCATGGAGCCCCAGGCCGAGGGAGATTGACAGTTATTTTGTGTTTCTGCCATTTGCAAATAATCGCAATAACTGTTGTCACCTTCTCACCAAGCTGCTTGGCAATGGTCTTGTAGCCCATTCCAGCCTTGTGTAGGTCTACAATCTTGTTCCTGACATCCTTGGAGAGCTCTTTGGTCTTGGCCATGGTGGAGAGTTTGGAATCTGATTGATTGATTGCTTCTGTGGACAGGTGTCTTTTATACAGGTAGCAAGAGAGATTAGGAGCACTCCCTTTAAGAGTGTGCTCCTAATCTCAGCTCGTTACCTGTATAAAAGACACCTGGGAGCCAGAAATCTTTCTGATTGTGAGGGGGTCAAATACTTATTTCCCTCATTAAAATGCAAATCAATTTATAACATTTTTGACATGCGTTTTTCTGAATTTTTTTGTTGTTATTCTGTCTCTCACTGTTCAAATAAACTTACCATTAAAATTATAGACTGATCATTTCTTTGTCAGTGGGCAAACGTACAAAATCAGCAGGGGATCAAATACTTTTTTCCCTCACTGTATAATGATCTTCTGTAAGTTAAAAAAATCCAGCATTTGGCATATTGTCAAGTCAATGATTATCATGGGAACAATCTGAAAACAAACATTTGATGATTTAGAACCACAACAATTGCAGCCCTATAAAAGTTCTGAACAATAATGTTGAATCTTGACTTAAGCTTTCGTGACTGCAGGAATTCATGTTCTTTGGATCTTTCGGTAAAGTCACATAGCTAGGTTCATTTTATTTGTTTAACCTATCTACGTGACTTTACCGAAAGACCCAAAGAATAATAATGTTGAACTTTTTTCACTACCCACGTAAAATCCAAACATTAATTTTCAAGTTTGATCCCCTCCGACAAAATGTGGGGAAATATTTGTTTTACCTTGACCAACAAACGCTTATAACTGAAGGTTTTCAAAGGTGCTAAATATAAAATTTGATTTTTAATAACTTAGCTTTGTACATATAGTGTAAAAGACCGTTGTTCTGAAGTTGATATGAGTGTGTGCAAATTCTGCTTCTGGCTATTTGTTAATTAAATTGACAACCCTTTGTCAATCCACTGCTGGATGAAAGCCTCCCCAACGTCGAATTGATCATGGGGGTTGTGTGGCCATACTTCGCCATGCTGGTCAGTGCGAGTTAGTGAATGAGGGCCCAGGATCGGTTCAGATTACACTCGCCACTGATGTTAGCCGTGGCCAGGGATAATACTCAAATCGCTGGGTTCAAAGTTTAGCGCATTAACCACTGCACCACGAATCTCATATATACATATATATATTTTTACATAACATACGTACAGCAGGCTGATGTTGTAGATAGCTGAAATCAAAGTTAAAAGCAAATACTCCAGTGGGGAGTTTGACAAAGCCCGTCATCCATCCAGGGTCTACAAAATGGGTACAGCTCTGTGGGAAGTCGACAGTCGGTGTTGAATAGAGAGAGAGTGCAATGGTGCATTTCCTTGCTCAGGACTGCCAATGCAGACGAGCGCCGTGCCACACTCGTTTGAAACACAGTGGGATCCTCACTGCCAACTGTGGAACCTCCATTAAAAAAAAGGAAATGGGAGAGCCTCGAGGCACGTTAAACAAGCTAACATTATCTGCAAACTATTCACATCAACTGGAATACACGCTTGAAGGGCAAAATGGAGAAACAAATCATAAATAATACACGCGAGATCAGGTGGTTATGCATTATCAATATTGCCATCATCGTCAGCGCCATTTGCACGCAAGTTTCAAAGAGATTTACGAAAAATAAATAACCATTATACTTTAGAACCCCTTGAAAATCCACTGCTGGATAAAGGCCTCAACTTGTCATGCCAGTCATGAGAATTGTTTGACCATACTGCACCATGCTGGTCTATGCGTGTTGATGAAGGGAGGATCCATGACTAGTTCAGATATCACTGGCCACTGGCGTTAGCTATCGCGGAGAATAAAACTCAGGTTTTCTGGTTCATCAGAATTTTTATTTATCCTGGAGAAATTCGATGAGCTGTGATGTTCAATTTGCACAGATTCATCGTGCAGTGCATGACACCCGGCACCAACTGCTCCAATAAATACCGAAAATAATTTATTAGACGAGTACAATTATACACACTTTAATAAACAAAAAAATGCCTTAGTGTCTTTATTCTTAAAAGTGCGTTAGGAAATCCATCATATGAGCTGGGGTCCTAAGGCAGTGACAACAAAAAGCAGTTTCCTCACTACTAACTTCACACAAATTGGTACTTATTGTAGTAACAATGGACAAATTATGGACTGAGTTGATCCTTGAGCAGGATTTGAACTCACAGCCTTTCGAACTGACAGTTGAGTTTTGTACCAACAGTGCGCAGCATGGCCAGAGGAGTGTTACTATCGTGAATAGCTAATCATATTCACGTTTCTCACTGGAGCCTTCCAGTGTTTCAGTTGATTAAACCGCCTGTTTCACACTCCCAAGATATGACACCCAAGAACATCTGATGAGCTTATCGCAATGGGCAGCCAGGTTAATATGACACACAAGTTAATTCAAGTATCATACTGCGCCTGCACAGGTTTTCGAGGTGTGTGCTGTACAACTCTCTGATGTGCTTTCAGCGTGACGTCCGACTTTTTTTCGCTCTCCATTTCGGGAGCTTTTTCGCACTTCTCGCAGAAGTTCCTCACAAAGCGAAACGTCGGAAGTCATTCCAAACAGCACAGGGCACAACCCGAAAACACCTCTAAGAGCAAAGTGTCATGCTCTCCCGAATGTAAATGTATGTCACGGAGCTTGCGATGCATGACAGGGCTCTTCCCCTAATGGCATGCACCTGAGAGCAGATTGACATTTGCACTAGGCCCAAACACGTTTTTCCTGCAGACGGGTATTCATATGATTAGATAAGATGTTTTCTTGGTTTCTTGATGTTCAATATTCTCTCGACCTACTCTGTAGGTGTGGTAGAGGCCACCAAGATCTAAATTTGATGTATTTTTACTATTGATTGCACCCCGTACCGGTTGAGGTAATTGGTTTGAATCAATAAGACACTTCAGGCTGAATGCACAATTTCAGTTTGTACAAAACGGCATGGTGAATAATTGCTTTTATCATGTACTGTTATAATATTTTATATTTTGTGTTTTACACCTGGTTCCTCTTGCTAAGAAAAACTGGATGCTATTGAACTCTGAAATCACATCTGGTGAATTCTTATTGAAGCTATCCAGATGATGGTACGGTTACATTGTGCGGCTCACAATAAAACATGAGTTCAGATCCCAGTTGGTGGCCGATTCAGCCCCAAAATGAGTACCACTTAGTGAGAGTTCATCATGGAAATGTAAATAATAATAATTTCCACTTGTAACGCGCACAGTATTTGCTCACCCTCGAAGAAAGAGGGAGAATCACTCAGGGTGCTTGGAGTCACATACAAGCGGGAAAGGCAGCCAGGCAGTGAGCTGGCATCGAATTATCCCCCAAGGTGTTATTGGTCAATTAACGAGTGTTTACACGTGGCAAAAAAACCAGAGCACCCGGAGAAAACCCGCATGTGTAATGGGGCAACACTCTACCCCATACAGATGGGAAAGGTGGAGTCCACATATTCTGTACCACCTTCTCCTGGTAAGCCAGGGTATAGCACCTCAAAAGCGAATGGGAAGGGAGTTTATACTCTTTGGTTCTTTCGGTAAAGTCATCACGTAGGTATAAAATAAAAAAAATCACGACGTTTCAGGCGCAACACAAGCGTCCGTCATCAGGTGGAACAACGACAGCAAGAAACAAATTCATCTTCTTTGGTTCTTTCGATAAAGTCACGTAGAATGAGAATAAAATAATAAAATAAAACAATACAATTCTCACGACGTTTCGGCCACAACACAAGTGGCCTTCTTCAGGTGAAAGGAACAAACCTGTAGCTCTGTCGTCCCGACAGGTTTGTTCCTTTCACCTGAAGAAGGCCACTTGTGTTGTGGCCGAAACGTCGTGAGAATTTTATTGTTTTATTTTATTATTTTATTCTCATTCTACGTGACTTTACCGAAAGAACCAAAGAAGATGAATCCTTGCAGTCACGAAAGCTTTAAATCGAAAAAAGAAACAAACTGCTGAAGTGGGTAGAAGGACTCCCGTAATACGAGGCTATATAGGTAAGAGAGGGGGGGGGAGGGGCCAGGGAGGAGAGGGGGGGGGGGAAATTCAGTGGTATACGATAAGGAATTTATACTATAACATCAAAACTCATTTGAGTTGAGAGACACTTTGATTTATTTTGTGTGCTTAAGAGTCCCAACCTGAATTTGTGTGAACAAACAAAACAAAGGGGGCAGAACCCCACATTGACCCACCTGTCAGAAAATACGGATCTCTCATCCTTAAAGAAATCACGTGACATGAGCAAATTTACTCGCACCGCTAACCACCTCGGCTTTGTTCGGGTTCACTTAAGGCCAAGGGTTCACTCGGGGTCAAAAAGTCACTCAGACTCCACGCGAGCATGACCTCGGCTGTGTCAATTTTTTGTTACCGAGAGACGTAATGAAAATTTGTCCACGAAGTGTTTATTTTTTATTTTAGTCAACGATGAATATCAGTGGACAAGCATCATCAAACATAACAGTGATGACGAAAAACCCAATAAAGACCTAAGAATGACTGATGAGGCAGAATGAACTCGTCTGAATGAAGACGCAGACCAAGATAAATTAGTAGCGCTATTAGACTGCGGGCGCACTGAGGAAGGAAGACAAAAATGATAATTGGCCATAATTGGCAATAGATGCACATAATGAGATGTATTGATTTCACTGATTGGCTGACCTGATAATATTTGGGTGGGGGGTGGTGGGTGGGGGGGGAACTTGCGCATTTCTCACACCCACATTTAATAACCAAGAATCGGAAAGAAAGAAGACTTAAGAGTGAGGACTAGATTTGTTCAGTCATCTAATTCGCCGATTACACTTTGAGAATGACCAAATTAAATCCACAGAATTAGACTTGACTAAACCGCACAGCCTGTCATCGGCCAGACCGAGTCCGCGACTAAATATATATTAACTAAAACCCTTCTGACTGAACCGACACGTGAGCTCACCCTCCATCTCGGCGCAATCCTGCGGCAGGAGCTCACGCACGATCTCCCCGTCGTCCTCGTCGCGCGCGAGCCAGCGCTTGCACGGGAAGGTGTACGTCTGCACTTCCTCACTGTCCTCGTCCTCCGCCTCCTCGTCGTCCTCCTCGTCCTCGTCCTCCTCCGCGTCGACGGGTTGGGGGCGGTGGGGCGAGGACTGCCTCAGCCGGCGGATGACGATCGAGTCGAGGAACCAGCCGCTGCCCATGCCCGAGTTGTCGTGGCCCACGCGCAGCTTCACCACTTTGCCCACGTCCATCGCCTCCACCTGCAGCCGGCCGAAAGCCATGCACAGCGCGGGACAGTTACCCAACGAGCAGGGGGCACAACTACGCGTCGATGAATCTCGATCCCTGAGCCACCCTGGCACGCGCTACGAGTAATTTTGAATCGCGCGCCAGAATCCACGAATCACGTCCGTGCGTTTCGATGAGTGTATGTTGCAAAGCAATGGGGTTTCACGTGACTCCCGCAGCCACTAGAGGTTGCTAGATTAATCACATGGTAACAAAAGTCGCTTTGTTACAACATTTTCCAATGGGACGTTAATTGTGGTAAACATGAAAATGGTTCACCCAGCTGTCACTTTGTTAAGTACTCTACGCATTTACTTGTAAAGGAATAACATTTCTCACTTTTTTTTAATCAACATATTACTGAGATTTGTGTTTGATGTATATTATTGTGTTCATAGGTTTTGGAAGAAAAAAAAAGGATTTCAAACAACAATCAAAAGCACAACGTGTTAATTTATAGCTGTCAGCCGAGTGACCACCGCAAGAGTCAGACAAATTTGCACAATTAAAATAAAATTGATAATTGGCGTGCATTTCATAACAGCCCCTGTGAAAAAATTACATTCATTTTTTATATTTTTAAAACTACAGTACTTCCAGTGGTTCGGAAACAATACTTGCGAGATTAATTTTTGGATCGGGGAAATATGACGATAAAATGCTCTTTGAGCAGTTTACAAGTGATCTCTTTAAAACAAAATAAGACAATGCTTCCTTAACCTTTTGACAAATGCAGCCTCACTTGAACTGCTCTGATGTTACAGCAAAACAGTATTATATCAACAGTGTTAAATATCAAAAAGTGTTGTTGTTGTTGTACAGTCATCAACGAGCATGTTACTTCACACATCGACAACTGCCAGACGAGCAGGGGTAGCATGCGAGCAGGGGTAGCATGCTAGCCGTTGTGTTGACCACCTGACCCCCCGATACCTCGATAGCTGACCCCCTCACCCCAATATAAACTCGTTAGCCCTTCGCAGACCCCCAATGCAGACCTCGCGGCCATTCGCGACCCCAGTAATGATGGTCGTGGCCTCTTAGCAACCCCATTGAGAACCCTTAAAATAAGGAAGATGCATTTTATTTGCACGCATAATGGGTCTTGTATGCAAAGATTAACACATTCTCGGAACAAGCTATTAAATGCAATTCGCTGTGGTTATGATTTGCAATTAAAATCTGATCTTAATATGCAATTGTTTGTTAGTATAAGGCATGGATATGCATTTATGACAGTGGAGACGACAACAATTAAATAATGACAGTCTCTTAGCGACCCGCGATGGAGCAAATAAAAGGCCGCAAATGAACGACGCCATCGCTCTGGAACAGAATCGTCTTCCCTGTACAAGGAGTTATTCGTAAGAACTGGCAAATTTCCTTCTGCTTGTTTTCAAGCCTTGGATATAAAACATCTTCGCATTTATTTTGATGTTGGAGCACATTGTTCGTATTTATAATTTTTCCACACGAAAGGTAATTTCGTCCACTACCCACCCCCCACCTGGGTTTTCGAATAAAATACGAAAAATTAATTTATTTCACGCAAATATCATAAAAATATAATATACCGTGCCCTAAATGCATAAGTTTTTGTAAACTGAGATGTCAATTTGGTGCATTTTTAAACTCGATTGTCCTCAGTTGTGCAGTTGAGGGAATTGGTTTATAACCATGGCCTTGATTGACACCTTATTTAAGTCGGTAATTTTTGCTTGCCTGCTGAATATTATAGACATTTATCCTTCAGCAAGCAGCACTCGCACCACACGGAGACCAAAACTTGCCTCCAAGTAGCTTTGATACAAATCATATGTACAACCCTTTTGTCAATCTACTGCTGGATGACAGCATCCACGTGCTGTACGGATATTTCACCATGCTTCACCACGCTAGTCAGTCCGAGTTGGTGAAGGCCAGGAGCATTAAAGCAATTGACTTTGCTCCACTGCCCTGTTGCCTACCATGTAGCCCCCGCAGCCTATACCATCTGTTATGCACAGTGGTTGCCCATCCATCCGAGCACTATTCAGGTTCAACACGGCTTCGCTTCCCAGATCTGACGAGACCCGGTGCATTGTTCTTGGTGATTCAGTCAGCATGGTTGGCTACGCACAGTGCGAAAGAAGTTCAAAATATACATACACCTATTACCAAAGCATATACTGTAAATTTTATTTGAAAACATAAAAATGTAATCAATGCCTTCCATTCTCAACCCACCAACGAATGAAGGCCTCTCCGCACCGAGATGGACATTTTTTGTTGTACCATACAGGGTACTACACTACACTGGTCATCACAGGCTGGAATAAAAAATAAAAAATAAAATAAATTTTAAGAGGCAGGTGGCACCTTGAAGATGTCGTTGGAGGCCCTCTCGAAGTTGTCGGAGCGGTTCCTCAGGTTGTGCACCTCCGTCTTGCCCATGTCGCCGTACAGCTGAATGAACACGTTGGCATTGGTGCCCGCGCTCCGCACGTTTCCCGTGTGCACGCTCACCTGGTAGTTGATACCTGCACACACCCAGCCAGGCGACAGAGAGAGAGCCCAGGACCCGCAGCATACCCTCGTTTACACCGGTGCCTCCGTTTGGTAGAGCAACGCGATTTTGTGCGGTGTGAAGGTCGACTGGGTCATGGTGCATCCCTGCAATTCCTACGCTGTCGCCGCCGCTGCTGCTGGCGGGAGGGCCCTCCACTGGAGGGAGCTCTAAAGAACCCCTGTAGGAGGGGGTGTTTTGGCCTACTCTTTCACGCTGGCTAAACATCACGGAAGAGTTTAACACGTAAGCTTTCGCGACCAAAATAATTCATAATATAGGTGCTTTGGGTTAGATCGTGTAAATATAAATGTGTCGTTAAACCCACCACCACCCGACACAGATTGTAAATGTTGTGGATTTGCTCTCCAACACACCAGTGTGCTGACAAACCTTTCTAATTGGCTGTGTCAGGTGGTGGCGGGTTTAACGACATTTATATTTACGTGATCTAACCCCAAAAAACCTCTATTATCATGGAAGAGGTGGGTAGACCCCACACTTTACCCCACTACACAAGAGCTGCCAATCGACTCAACTGTATTGCTGAACCCATTTATCCCCCTGGGTGGACAGAGGCGGGGGAGTCGGGGGTGGGGGTTCAATTGGCAAGCACGAGAGATCGAATCCGTACTGCAAGCACGAGTGTGCGAGCCTCATTGCACTATGGCAACACCCAATCCCCCATGCATGGTACGTATATACAACTGTCCTCATCGGAGATCACAAACTAAACACACACACAAAACAGTTCTGTGCGCGAGTTCGTCTCCCTTAGTTCCACAATCTGTCCGTGCGTTGCATTTGGGAGGTGGGGGGTGGTGTCGGCACGCACACTTCTCGATGTGCTCCACCTCAGTGGGATAGATCTCCGCCTCGGTCTTGCCATCCGCCTCCTTTTTGGAGAGCCATCGGTGCGCCGCGAAGCGGTAGCGCAGGCCCGACACCGGCACGTCCAGCACCACGCTGTCGAGGAACCAGCCCGAGCGAAGCCCCGAGTTGTCATGTCCTATGAGGATGCGGTTGATCTGCTCGTGGGCAAGAAGAGGAAAAGCAAATGCAATATTTTATATATATACATCGTGGACAGGTAACGTGCATATAGGTGACCGCGTGTGAAGACGCTGCACGTGAAGGACAGAATACGCACGACGAATTGCTAGCAATGAAGAGAGATTCCGTGTATTGGGCGAAGGAGCAAGTTAGGGAGAGGAGGTGTAGTAAAAGAGGGCCTTCTCTACTTGTTATCAAAAAGACATCTGGATCGATGAAAGAGTCAGATACAGGCAGAGGAGAAGAGGAACTTCCAAAGCTTAGACTTCAACTTGTGAATGAAGTCACATATCTGAAGCTATGGTGACGCATGCCTGTATTCCAGTACATTAGCGATAGTTGTTGGTGGGCCACGCTGATTTCAGTGTGCTAACCTTTGAAGGTGACAAGGCGATTGCAGTACAGAATTGCTCGATAAATATTTTGAGTGTTATTCTCTCATACGTGTGGGATTTCTCTGGGCACTCCGGTTTCCTCTCACATGCATTAATAAAGAATTTGGCCAAGAAATCCTCATGCAGATAAATGTACAGCCCTGCATATGCTTTCTCACACCGTTGATAGCAGAAGAGCATCCACTAGAGGGAGCGCTAGAAAGCCTTTAGATATACGTATATTCTTTACATATTCTTTCACGCAGGTCCAGATACCTTTGGAGAGGTTGGAGCACCTACAATTTAACTCACCCACACGCGACCTGCCCAATCAGCTAACTTTGGTGTACCGAATTATACCGCTCAATGGACAGAGGCAGAAGGATTCAAATAAATGCGTCCATTGTTTTAACTGCCGCGCTGGGAGGCAGAATTGGATGGGAAACCTTTGGTGTTGAACCGGCAACCTCTGAATTACAGACTGTAAGGAAACATTAAAAAGAATGCGTTTCATGAGCCATTTGTGTTGTTCGATTCGTTAACACTTGCAATTGGTGCAATAGGAATAGGGCCTTACAATCGTGAGTGTTGAAATTTTCAAATCCCAGTCGGGGGTCCCTTGAACCCATCACACCTATGTGATTGATAAAATAAGCACCACTTTGCGTAGGAACGTGCAAAGTACACAAAACTTTAGGATTGCCAACAAATAAAATTACCACTCAATGCTCGCTTGATCATGGAGGCAATACGTATTATAATTGTAGTGAGAGAAATGTCTCAAGCCGGCTTTGTACATCTGCCGTGTGTTTTTTTGGGGGGGTACATGGTATCAGATTTATTTCTGCTTTATTGTGTCATCATCACATGCCGCTATTGTGTGTGCGCGTGCCTCTAAGCCTCCCTCCCGAGAGAGGGAGCGGCGATTGCGTTGAGTGATTTTCATTGAGAGGAGCAGCTGCAGAGCAGACATCGTTTTTATAAATGAAGAAAAAGCCACAAACGGTAAACAGTATAATCAGTCACCAGAACCCGGAAAAAAAAGATTTAGAAATGAAAAGAGAGACTTCAGCGTAAGTAAATGTAGGGTTTGCTCACGCGAAATATTCATCCGAACAAAAGAAATGGGTCTGCATCGTGAGGTATTCAGGTAATCGGATGACAATGCAATGCATTGGCTACAGCGCTCCTCTTCGTTCACTCTCGAGTGATGTTTTTCCCCTCCCCCCGGGCCCAACCCCCACAGCCACATTGCACTGTGGCAGCAGGCATCTCGGCAAGTGAAACGGAAAGAAAATCAAAACAGCAGGGCATCAGGATAATGAGAAGGTTGAAACTGTAATTATGAGGCCTAATATTGGTGAAAATAGGATCAGTTTGCCATATTCGTACAATGCTACAGAAGCACACAATGCCTTTCACTTTTAAGTTTGCGGAAATTTAGTTATTACCCACAATGCCATTTGGCCTAAATATCTTGACATTTAATGTGCATCGTTTGATATTGTGTCTTGGCCTGCATGTGATTTTGTTTCAGCTGTCCTGGTAATGATTGACTCGAGAGGGAGTTTCCTCAATTTTATCCAGACCGTGCTATTGGTGTCATGAAATGAGACAATTAATCAACTAAGGAACCCTTGCAGGGCAAGTGTATCACCCTGTGTTAGAGAATGGCCCACGTTCAGTCATATCACAGAACTGCTTCTGAAATATCTCAAAAAAGTATCCTCTTCGCCACATTAACATTTTTCTACCGACCCTGCTACAGAGAGAAATGTTAACCACATGACAACTAAATCCATAATTTGTATTCTCATCATGTAAGTTCTGCTAAATTATGCATCACATCATTATTGTGCAGTAATTGGTGACTAAGATGAGAACCCCATTTAAGCTCAGGCAGCTGCTTGAATGTAAACCCAGGATCTCAGTGGTGCGAGCTCAGCTCTATGATCTCCGAGCCACCCAGCCACCTGACTGTAGAGGGTTATTTTACAACTGTAGATTGGCACAAAATCGCATTAGTCAGCACATTGTGACACTCTGATAGAGCACTCAATTCATAATTGAAAGCTTATGAGTCCTATGCCCCATTTAGCAGGTACCGTACGTAGCCAACCGTGCTAAACGGAGGTGGTTGACAAATTAAGTACCAGTTTGGGGGAATTCGACTATATTGGTCCAATGAAGAGTGGCTCTTGCCATAAGAATGTGGAATTACCACCACTGGCTTAGTTTTAACAGAGATGAGCACTGTTCAATGCCATTTCAAGCACAAATAGGCAATGACTTTTGATCAGAATTATACAAAGCATGCTGCTAATTAATCGGATAATTTTCCTTTTATGATGAAAATGTTATAAAATGTTTAATTGCACCTAAAATATCACTACTCAATCATAATGATGTGCAATCAGTGTGAGTGTGCATCCACATGTGTATATGCATGTCAGTTTAGGATGGGTGGGGCAGACGTTAGTGGACCGCTGCGTTTTGTTGAATGGATTCAAGTCCTGGTCACGTACAACGTCAGTCGCAAGATAACAATATTGGAGTTTTGGAAACAATTCCACCACCATTGCAAGTATGATTCTGGCCTTAACAGGCACTTGCTTACGATATTTTCCCCGACAGTCTCAGCGGGTGAGCAGCAGCAACATGGTGACAATCTCAAGCCACTGCAGAATATCAGTATGTAGCATTAGGTGTGTTAACTTAAATTGTAAAGTGGACGATTACGCCATTATTCCCACATTCATAAGTCATTATTCAGACTTATAACCTTGGCAGAAAAATGTGCGCACTGTTCAAATCTGGGCACTTACCAAATCCGCTGGCCCATGCTCACCAATACCAATAACACACCGATTGCTTGATTCAACAAGCAATGGCAGAATGAATCAGAATTCTGATAAGGCAGTGCCTATTTTTGGTCTCAACCAGATAACCCGTCATCATCCTGTGGCTGAACATGGCACCTTGCCAACGTCCGCTGTCTGCACGGTGAAGACGTCGACGCGGTTCCGTGAGAACTTGTCCCCGAGGCCGTTGTCGGAGACCTTGAGGGGCAGGCGGCCCGTGTCACCTCGCGAGCCGTGCAGCTTGAGGAAGACGTGCGAGTCCGTGTTGGCGCCACGCATGTCGCCCGTCTTGATGTGGATGTGGTAGCTCACATCTGCGCCCCCCCAACCCACCGGCAGAGAACAAACGCACACGTTCCTTCTTTGGTTTGGGCCAATCCGTTGCTCAAAATGGCCACACTAGAACACACTCAAAATGGCTGCCATGGAAACTACTGTAGAGCATTACTTGAATTTTTTAATGATTTCCAAAACAAAAACATGATTAATTTGGTATCTATTTTGCCTTCTCTGGATTTTGTAGACCAAGAATGTCACTGAAGTACCATTATACGACACTGAATAGAAATTTCTCATTGCGCTGATTAGAGATATATAATTACAACAGTGCTTGCAGTTCCTACATTCATAATTGCTCCCTATAAATGAAAACACATAATTAAAAGATTATTTAAAACATTTTCTCTACTAATAAATGTCCAGCTATTTTGGTAAAGTGCATGACACAAAAAGGTAGCGACCAGGGACTGACACAACCCAAAAGGTTATGTTGAATATTTTAGTTTTATATAGCGTTGTCGTTCATGCAAATTGCATCTCACAATTTGGAGGACTCACAGACAATCTGGCAGTCAGCAAGGCGGTGAGATGGTGCCAACAATTGCCCAAACACTACAGTCCTCTATATATTCAAATGTTTCCATCCCATCAACGGATGTTTACACTTATGGGAGGGCACCGGTGCACGAGGAGGAAACCCACGCATGTGAGGTGGCAACACTCTATCCTAAACAGAAGGGACAGATTATATTGGTCCACATTTTGCTGTACCACCTTCTCCTGGAAAGCCATGGAATAGTACCTCCCTGATGCCCATGGAAAGGGAGTTTTGGAACGTGTGTGCGATCCACAAACCCTTGCCTCAACAGTGCTGGATTACAAACGTGCTCCATCACTGTCCACGTGTTTTTTTTCTTCCAGAATTGATCAAATAAGTACCGATATATTGTAATTTAATCGTAGTGCTCTTACAGACAAACTGGCCCCCAAAATGTATATTTCTTTACCAAGTGGATCAGTGTCCACCAATGGATATTAACACTGGACAAAGTTATTTGAGCATGACAGCACTTTTGATATTTTATGGCACTAATAAACGCTAAACATGCAATATCTTTAATAATGAAAACTTTTACTAAATAGACTAATTTCTAGTAGGAGTTCAGATATTTTAAAACATTTGCATTGTGAGAGAACTTGTTCTTGTGAACACAGCTCATGACGATCAACTTAGCAAGTGCAATCCCGGGCCCCAATTACCATTTCAATAACAGCAATGTAACCGCTCTGCTTCCTTGAGGTGCACACGTAAAACGGGCGGCATAAGTGGCCACACGACGCAACAATCGACGTCCCTCTGTGGTCGTTTTATTAATATGATGCGGACGGACGCCGATATCGACGCCGCACTGTCAGCTTATGTCGCCCCGGCAACAGCAGACACCGCCGTCGCGTCTGTCGCGGACGCTCGACTCACTCTTCAGCATCTGCGCATCTCCCAGCGGCACGAGCTCCCGCACAATCTGCCCATCGTCCTCGTCGTCATCCAGCCACCTGCGGGACGGAGAACCGTCGCCGTCAGTGGCAGTCGCGCTCACTGGAGCAATCCGGTCGTCAAAGGCTGGTACCCATAATCCTGCACTGTTGCTCCATTTTCATCAGGATGTGCTTTTGACCCAATTTAAAATGTATCTCACTGAAATGTCAAGTTATATGTATTTATGTTAATGCTTAATTGTAATTCATGTTGAATGTTTTTTTTGCATAATGTTTATATTGACATTTTATTGTATGTTTACTGCATGTATTTGCTTGGTCCAGGCATTACTTGGAAAAGAGATGAAGAGTCCCAATGGGCCCTCATGCAAATGAACAGCCCTTTTGTCATTCCACTGCTCGATGATGGCCTCCCCATGCCGTGCAGCTCATGGGAGGTATTTGACCATACTTCACCGTCCTGATCAGTGCTCGTTGATGAAGGTGGAGAGCATAGATGTGGGAGTAGAAAGTCCAATATAGCCCATGTAAGCCCTATTGGGATCGTATGTGGCTTCAAATAAAATACATAAATTAAAGAAAGATTGTTTAGGAAACTTTTAAAACACCAAATATGGGATTACAATAAGTAACTTCTAACCAGAGTGATTATTGTTTCGTGAAATAAACCTTGGGACTAAGCCAATATTTGTTTATCAAATGTGCCAGTCATCTCTCAGCAAGGCTGCTGGAGTATACAGTAAATAGGGCATTACTATGCATTGCCAAGACTATTAGGTCGCTCTGCCTATTTCATGGTTAGCTAGCGACTGGGCCAGTTTGTACTGTGGACTGCTTTGGAATTAGGACGTGCATGTGGGTCAAGTCAAGCCAAAGTGATTTCGTGCTCAAATGAGCATTGAAGGCAGTGTTCAGCTCCTGTTTACAGCCCTGGTCAGTTGTGTAAATTCCTCTTTCTTATGGCAGGGGCGAATCTATCGTTGGATAACCACTGTTAACTTCCCTACAACAAAGTGGTACTCATTTTATGGACCTTGGAGGGATGATGGGCTGAGTTAACCTCCCAACTGGCATTTTCAACTCGTGACTTTCCCATTACAATCCACGCTCCCTCCCACTGAGCCACCTGGTTGGTTATAGATGTGGATAATCATTAATTAAACTGTAAAGTGCTCTTTATTAAGGCACTTGATGTCAAACAAATTAGGACTGGTAAGAGAGAAATGCCTATGATGTGCAACAGTGTTGGACGTATTCAGACTAACCGACTTTTTACATCCGAACTGGAATCACGACGGTGTATTCAGTTTAGCGTATGCATCAGACCATTGACCTATGCCACAAATAAGCAATGTTTAATGCAACTAAAGGTAATGAATTACCTTGAAACTGACACCCCATGTGTATTATTAGGCTGATTTAGAATGGTTGCTGAATTTGTTGAACTGCCACTTCCCCCCACACCGCCCCCGTGTCAAGATACTCACAGCAATCTGGTACATTTCTAGAGGGGAATTACCAACGTATGCTACGGACATTTAAACCCATGCATCATTGATTTCAAGAGTGAGCCATCGTGCTCATGCGAGACCAAAGACTCAACAACAAAAATGACAACTGTTATGGCTCTATAACTTTTTTCCATCAATGTCTCGTTTGAAAGATATTTTACGGAAGTCATCTGGTTCTCACATGGTCATATGCAAGACATTGACTCCAGCTTGTAGATGCACAGCCATTTTATGTGGCACGGGCTGTCCAGCATGAGTTTGAAGTTTCATTAATAATAACAACAAAAAACACAATTACATTTGCGATCAAGAACCCTGTCGTGACATCACTCGATTAATCATCGACACATTAAAGCTGTGATACTAATATAAAGATCCTGACCATAACTTTAAATGCTTGTTTTCTAACTAACAAAGTCTCAAACCTGTGCAAGACATTCCAAGACACACAGCCAATAGGAGCGTAAGGATCCGTCGATTCTGCAATCAAAATGTATTGTTACGCTCACGGTGCACATGTAGTGAGTGACTTCCGAGACACGACGTGTAGAGGGCTCCTTGTTTATTTCTCACACTTTACAGGCACAATCACTGAGTGACATATATATTGGGCTACGCATGGCATACAGCCCCATCGCTGGCATCTAACTATATAGCTGGCTGACTAATACAGCGACGACGACGATGGGAGCCATACAGCGGATCGGCCATGTGGCTGGACGATGAAGAAAAGATGACAGCGAAGACAGCGACGGCAGCCAAGACCCGGACCCCCACGACAGCCCCGAACCTCCGGTTACGTCCCCCTTATATACTCCTCGGCGTGGCCATGCCCCGCCTCCGGCCACGCCCCTTTCTAGAACCTTCGAGCAGGTTCCCGGAGCTTCCCAACCGATCCCCGCCTCTGACCTTTAGCCCAGTTATGCCCCCTTTATGGTTGGCTATTATATAACGCACCCATACCCGTAATTATCCCTCCTGGTCAACAAATGGCACCCTGTCACTACACAGCATAACGTTCACATGGTACATGCATACTATTCACTGCGTGAGAATCAATTATTTCCAATTCGTAAACGTTGTATCACTGCGAGGGACGTCCTCTTTGGTGTGTTCCTTCCTTTGGCCACCACTCCATTGCTAACCCTGACTACCGTCCCTATGAGCGACATGTCCTGCATAGCTTCAGGTTGTGTGCAGGAGCCGGATGGATTGTCACATTGCATGGTTGATGATCATGGTTTTGGCTGATGAGCATGATCATTTGAATATTATTGCATCACATGATCTCATTATTATCTATTCTTGCATATGATGGAAATATGTTCAGGAGCTAAATGCCAATGTTGATGTCTGCTAGCTACAAGAAGGGCTTCAGGAGAGGGTTTGTGTAGTTTTGCTTCTCCACCTCCCTTGAAGGAGCGCAGACTACAGTAGTTTACTTTATCGTCCATCTCGTAAAAGTGCTGCATTCGAATCATGACAATTTAGTCACAAGTGGACGAACCCCTAAAAGTCTAACAGCCAAGGTGCTTTTCTTCAAGATATTAGCTATTTAGGGTTGCCTTTTCCTTCAATTTCATAAACTTGATAGGTAATTATATAAAAAAAACAACACTCAGAAGACAACACTGTTTCCCGAAACACACACAGTACTGATGGAACACGTGGGTAGGTATGGCGGGGTGAGGACACAAGGAGCCTGCTGTGGCTTTATCGGTAAGTCAAGGAAACGCTATTTTTTCTTCATAATTCTTTCCTCGACAACATGTATTTTTTTGTTCGTTCACAGTTTCCATTCATCGTCTTGAGATGTGATCAGATTAAGACGACGTGCACGAACATGAATCTTTTTGTTGTGCTCGGGCACTGGATGTACAACGGTCAACGGGTGACTAATGGTTTGCCGGCACACGTCACCTGTTGCAGGGGAACTCCACCTCCTCAGCATTGACGGCGTCCATCTCTTTCACCATGATCTTGTCGAGGAACCAGCCCGAGCTCCCGCCCCGGCCATCGTGCCCAATGCGCACGCGTGTCACGCGCTTCAGCGTCACGCACTCAATCACAAACTCATCCACCTGTGGGACAGCCACAAAAATCAGACTTTTGGGGCAAGTGATGTTCTCGAGTAGCAGCTATGACGGTTGCCATGGCACACGAAGGGTGTGGGTAGCTAGCACCACGCCTTGCCGCCTTTGTCTCCCGAGTAGGTGTTTTCACACATCACACCAGGTACTCGAGGCTGAGTCGATCGAGGAGAAACCCAGGACCGGTTCAAATAATCATCACCGTTGTTGGTTGATGCCTCCCCCCCACACACACTTTTAGACTGTGCAAGATTGAAGATTTCTTACAAAACAGCCACGTTTGAGGTCTGAGTAAAGACTCGATAAAACGGTACTTGACCCAAAGTTATACCAAAATCATAAGAAATATTTACAGCACTTCTGTTATTAACGCTGAACAGATGGGTTGGTGGGACTGCCAGGAGATAATAGTTTTGCTGAACATGATGGCTGAGATGATTGGTTGATGTGTTGTCATAAACGTTACCACTAAGATTATAAAATATACACACGATCTTAATATTGTGTACTGAGTTTATATTATTTAGTTCAACTCAAACACCTTCTTGCTATAAACAGATCAATGAGAGGCCTATTTCCGAAGAAGTATTCCCAGATATCTTGAACAGTGTTTTGCCATGTTTAACAGGCAGGAATAAAAGTGTTTATATATAAATTATTCACAATAGATGTCACTGTAAAAATGGTTTGCTATGGCACTGGAAGAACATAAAATGTAATTCTGTTTTTTTTATTAAGGCCTTTAAAAGAGAACCATGTCCAACTACTGAACATGATACTAAAACATACATCCAAAAATAAAGTCAGGAAAAATTTAACGTAATCAGTAGCTAATTGATCTACAAAGCCTTATCAAATGTAAATGTCCGGACAGTATTCTTAGTTTTTTCGGTAAAGTCACGTTGAAGAGAAACAACAAAATAACAAAATATATATAAAACAATAAAAAATTCTCACGACGTTTCGACCATAACTCAAACGGTCATCATCAGGTGTGTCGGTTTGCAAACCGATATTTTGTTATTTTGTTGTTTCTCTTCAACGTGACTTTACCGAAAAAACTAAGAATATGAATTACTGCAGTCACGAAAGCTTTAAATCAAAATTTTTTGTCCGGACAGTATTATATTCAAACCAGAGAGAAAACTACTTCAAAATGAAGATTGAAAACAATAATTCAAGTCATATCATAACCGATGATTGCATCTTAATGTTAGAAACTCATACGTAATTAAAATACTAATAAATAATAACATCAATGAAGGCAGTCGGGTTGCCCGTGGATCATTCCCTAACCACCGAATCATCTTCCAAGGTTAAATTCTCGCAAACGTCCAACAATGGCTCAAGCTTGCCGTCTGCCTTAGGGTAGACATCAAAGGTGTGGGAAGAAGCGCCACACTCTGTGTGTGGGTGTCAGGGATAAAATCCCAGGATATCGAATGATCCACAAATGTGCCCATGTTCTCTGCGGCAGGATTCTTGTCTGTTTTTTTTTGTTTCGCCGCACTGCTGTCTAACGTTAAGTACTTTAATCCGTTACACACTTTATCCGATTTACACCTTGCACGTACAGATGCGGTGTTTGTGCGATCCTGTTTCTAATCCGATATAAATCACATTGGTACTGCACAGCATGGCAGGTTTGCTCCCTTTTTTTCAGAGCAATATGATTGTAATATTTGTTAGATAATGACCAATCACTCTTTGGTTCTTTCGGTAAAGTCATGTAGAAATACATTTTATTAAATAATAATAGAATACGACGTTTCGATTGCAACACAAGCAACCATCATCAGGTACAAATGAATGATTAAAAAAAACATAGTACACTTGGAAATATAATGCAATACAACACAGAGAGTCGACCAACACAACAGTCAACACCCCACCTGGTTGATTGTGTTCTTCCAAAGATTGCTCAATTTGAGAGAGAGACAAAACATAGACACGCGGAGACACACAGACAGACACACAAGCAGAGAGAGACTCACACAGAGAGAGACACACACAGAGAGAGACTCACACAGAGAGAGACACACACAGAGAGAGACACAGTGTGTGAGAGACACACAGTGTGTGAGAGACACTGTCTCTCTCTCTGTGTTCTATGTTTTGTTTTCACCTATATTGTGTCAAAAAAACTCTACATATTTTTTTTGTTCAAGTACCCATAAATTAACTGGAGAAATTTTCAATAAACATCCTCATGATACAACCAAATACGAAATCGTGGATATGGGAACGCATTCAAAAGACGGGAAGCTGAGCGATAGGAAAGTCCACATCCTCGTGTACGTGACTACATCTTTGTTACACGTATCGGATGTGGGAGGAGCAGTGGTGCAGTGGTTAGCGAACTGCGCCATGAACCCGATGACCTGCCTTCAATTCCAGACCACGGTTAACATCAGTGGCGAGCGATATCTGAATGGGTTTCCGCCCCCAGCTTTACCAACCCACATTGACCGGTGCGATTAAGTATTACGGTTAACCAACTTCTATTACTGAAGAGGTGCGTGAGAGGCTTCCATACAGCAGTAGATTGACCAACGGCTGTTAATTGTTGGATGTGCTGCAGCAGAATGAATGTTAAGGGCGGTTACTTAACGCAGGAATAGTGAATGTGTTCGACGGCATGCTGCAGAGGTTGACGGTTCAAATCGGGAAGGTTGCCCTGGTTAATACTGTCGGTATATGAAGCATTTTTCGGCGGAATTTGCTTTGCAGTGGACACTAACGAATCCGTTATTTTATTCGAAACGAGTATGCCATTGTGTGACCGCGTCACGATACAATTTTACTAAATTTGAAAATGATTCGCAAAATTACTCAATTGGGATGATACATAGCAGCAATAATCGCCCCCTACTGGCAGACTAATGTCCACTTGCAGGCCATCGCTGAGTTACCTTGTGCCACACAGGAACAGCTACCCTGGTGGATGCTTTTAGAATGTTTGAGATGAAACTAGACAATGAAACTTAACATTTTTTATTTTACCAGGTAGGGCCCACTGAGTTGTATAACGCTTTTTCACAAGCGATCTGGCCACAATTGATAGCTCAACAAAGTGGCTTATCATGTGGAAATGTATAGCAGCCAAATGCTCTAAATGCGTGTTTCTAAATGTGTTTCTAAATGTGTAGGAAAACACCGGAGGACCTGAAGAAAAATCCACGCGCCCACAGGGAGAGAAAAATGCAAACTGCAAATACTGTATACAACAGGCGTCAGGGTCGGGTTCGAACCCACGACCCCCGGTATACCAAGCGAGGTAGTAAACATCTCGCCACCGTGGTGCCCATGATATATGACGTAAGGGGCTTTTAGTTGCTGAGGCACCTAAGCCCCATCTAAGCAAAAGGTTACCACAGATGATTATAAGAGGAGTTGCATGCTCACGTTTCCTCTCTCAAACTTGTTCACGTTGTTGCGGCTGGTGTAGAGCATACGGTCGCCCGTGTCGCCCTGCTCCCCATAGAGACACACGAACACGTTGGCATCCGTGCCGCCGCCCCCGTGTTTCCCCGTGTGGATCGTCACCAGGTACTTGACCACTGCACGCAGCAGATCCAGAGTGCCACAGTTGTTAATCTGTGCTCCACGCACGGTGAGCTGGGTGATGCCAAGTCCAAGGTTCTGATGCATCTCAGGGCGCCGATTATGAAAATTATGATGAGGAGGATGATAATGAGAGTATGGTGGAAATGGCTAAGACAGTGGTGATCATGATGATGGTGATCAAGATCAAGGCATTACTACCATTAAATAACTAAATCACACTGAATGCAATCGATATTATCTGATATCAGAAGATAAGCAGGTTTGAACCTGGCTAGTACTTGAATGGGAGACTGCCAGGTGATGTATACTCAGGCTGCAAAATGACCAAGAGATAGCAGGAAAAAAATATAATTTAATATATATGTGCATAGGTTTGAGTGTTACCTCATATGTATGGGTTGTATTCTGGTACTGCAGTTTCCTCTCACTTGCTAAAATACTGATCAATGGAACTGGCCAAACATCCGAATGCAGGTCACCTTTAAAATAAATGTGACATCTCAGTGAAGCTTTCCTGAGTAAATAAAGGGCATCATTATTATGAGTAGTAGTAATGCGACTGACGCCATCACACCTCACAATTACTTCTTTTCATCTTCTGCCAGATTTTATTCTGCCACATCACACACCTGACCTCAAAGATCTGCTCTTAAAGTCTCACCCCGCTCTGAGGCTCAGATTTCTCTCGCCATCACCGACCTCTGCGTGCCACTGCAGTGCTCATCTCTGTGACCTGTCCGAAACACCCTGTGCATGTACCCCTCCCTCTGCGTGCACACCAACTATGCACTCTATCTTTTGTGTTGTAGTGAAGCTTTCTGATCAACGCAGGATGTAGTTGTTACTTCTACAGAGGTGTCTCATATAAGTAAAGGGACTTTGAAGAATGTTGCAACCATTGGTGCTTGTTACTGAAAAGCCCCAAGAGAAAAAATAATTCTGTGAACCCAGGATTTTGGTGAAAATGTCATCAGGAATGAGGCATCACCCTGGTACGTGTTAGACTAGGGGTTGGTAACCTGCGGTTCCACAGCCGAATGCGACTCTTTAAAGCACTACTTCGTGACGTCATTTATTGAGGACCACCATTTTGTAATCACGTGTCTTGTGGCTCTTGAAATATTGAGTTTTTGTTTCCGAATTCGAAAAAAAATGGCTCTTCTTGTTATTCCAGTTGCGACTCCTGTATTAGGACGAATCAAGCGATCAAGAAGAGCGTTAGTGCAGTCCTGGCTGGAGGGCCAAAACCAAGAACACCTCGTACCTGAGGAAGCCTGTGTGTCACCGATGCTCCTTTTCCACTGGCAAATCCGAGGCCGAGTCAGCGTGGGTGGTTTTCCACTGGCTAATTGCCAAGTCAGAACCAAACAATATAACATGTTCGCCTTTCGTGACTTCTCAATTTGGCTCAGGACCAAAGCTGTGCCAATTTGGCAGGGGTATTTGAAATCATTTTTGTTTGGTCATTGCGAGTGACTTTTCAGTCAGTACAATGTGAGGAAGCGTCACAACTGCGTCATGTGCATGCGACTCGGCTCAGCTGCCACAGCAGAAGAAAGCAACCTGGCCCCCAGCTTGGCTCGGAAGTGCGGCGTAAGAGAAGTAAAGGAAAACTGTTCTGCCCCACGGCAGATATGGGGGTGTGGTTACACAGGAACTTCCTGATATGGTGTTGAGTTTGGTCATGTGACCAGGAAGTTACGATATAATGTCCTCTAAGCCACGAGGCAGGGGTGTCAACCATTACACAGAGTACAAAATTGAGGCACAATTAGCGTCTCAGTGAAGACGGGTGCATCTGTTCACTGTGGGATTTTAAAAACCATTGTCTGTAAGTTCGTTTAAATTCTTATAAGTCATACCTCGGTATACGACCGCTTTGGAATATGTCGAATTTGGTATACGTCGTGTTTTGACGAGAAAAAATGTCTTGGGATACGACGTCTTTCTTGGGATACGAGGCGCTTGCTAGAACTTGTCTGGGTCGGGATGAGTCACCGCGTACCCGCGTATACCCCGTTCACGACTGAAACAAAGCGCCGCTCCTCAGTCTGCCTGTACAGTAGATCTCGTTCAGTGCACAACCCTTGCTATAACTCCAAGTCAAGAAAAAAGACAGAAAAGAGAAAAAAAAACCCCAGAATTTCAGCTTCCTGAAGTTTTAATGGAAGGGGACTCTCCTTCCAAAAAATAACATCTCCTCCTCCTCCTCCCCTTCCTCACCACCATCCTCGTAGGCTATCAACTCCTCTCAGGAAGGTAAAGTGACGTTAAATTGTATTTTCATTTCAATTTATTTTAATTTATTTATGCATTTATTTTAATTTAATTATGCATTTTAGTAATAAGTAGTGTCTACATTATGTTATACAACCCCATTAATGTATAATATGCCATAAAAAATATCATTTCTTATACTCTGGAACGGATTATTTATTTTCCCTGTATTTCTTATGGGAAAAATTCGTTTGGTATACGTCACTTTCGGTATAAGTCCTACTTTTTGGAACGAATTAACGACGTATACTGAGGTACCAATGTACTGGGAATGCTGTTATAATGTTAGGATTGCCGTTATAATGCTGAAAATGTCTTTATGATGCTGTTAAATTGTTATGATAAATGAGGCCTAGTTAACAACAAAGCCTGCCACTTGTGAATGTTATTTGTAGTTGGATAAGTCGAGCCAGACTTGTGCCCGTGTAACTTTAATGCGATCTTGAGAGCAAGGATCAAGAAGTATCTCATCCACAGTTCAGTGTTATATGCAGCACACATTTCGGCTGCAGTATGGTGATTACACAAAGTGACCTTATTTAACACAGTAGCTTATCCTCTTGTTGTATAGCTATTCAGTGCTAATGTAGGTGCCTGGTCCATCCAGGACCTATTGTTGAGATCCAAGTTATCTAAGACAATGTTATGATGCTCCAGTGATTAATTGTATTGATATTGCCCACATTAACAGATGCTGTATTTTGTGCTGTGTTATTCCATCAGTTTCACCTCGTTTTAGTCATTAAATACGTTGGAGTCGGATGTTCACCCTGGCTCTGAAGGTTTATTGAATGCGAGGTTAACTTCTTGGATAGTGGCGCAAAGCAGGGCACAGCGAGGCCGAGACAAAAACCGAAATGTGGTTAACTTTGCGAGAGAAATCCACTGTCGTGTTAATGCTAACACACATTTATTGAACAACAATAAAAAAAAAACTACCTTCTGTCTCTTTACTTTTTGGAACACCGTCGAATTAAGAACCTTTACCGGGCTGTGGCTCTTCAACCATCTCCCCCTCTGCAGAGAGCTCGCGCACGGTGAAGCCATCTTCCTCGTTGGCGTCGAGCCAGCGGCCGCACATGAAGGAGTACTTCTCCTTGGTGAAGTACTTGAGCAGGGTCACCTGGAGCAGGGGGAATACGTGTGCACACACAACAAAGAACCCCCGTGTAGCCTTGACAGACTGTTGGCCCAAGTGCTGTTAGCGAGTAGCGGCTGTGAAGGCTGGCGCGGCACGCGAAAGAGGTGGGAGACCAGCACCACGCCGGGTCGCCTTTGGGTGCCTAAGTACTTATTTTAGGCCGAGTCAACTGAATCAAAGCACACATGCGCACACAAGAGCTCCGTTAAAGTAAGATACAAATGAAGCAACAATAAGTGTTTACTCTGTAGGCAGCTGAGGAATATAGTGCATCTGGGAGTAAGTCCAACCGAGGAGAGGCAGCGATGATTTTAGCTCATGCGCAGCAGGCGCTCGGTCGATCGTTGCATCACGCAACTTTGAGAGATGGTGGCGAATTGGGGAGGCCTTCTTCCAGCAGTGGATTGATCATGGCTGATGCTGAAGATACATAGGAAGTTCACGTTGCATGCCTAGAGGAAGCTGTCGTGTGGAAATTAGCTTTTTGGAAGAGTGTTGGCCCCGGTTGAGGAGTATCAGCAGCAGCATCCATGCTCTGTCCACTGCTGGATGACGCACTCCCCATGTCGCCGTTATCCCTCACGGTTCCGCGATTCCACCATCAATCTCTCTCCTGTGCGAGGGCTGATCTCATTTCCCCATCTCCGTGGTGAGGTATCGATCATGAAATGTCAAGCTGAAGAGGAAGGCTAAAAAGCTCATTGTTGGAAACTTCTGGGAAGCTTTCCACAAGACGGCAAAAAGCATCCGCATATTTTGTTGAAACTCTTCACCATCATTGGCCCCACTCTAACAACGCCACTTTAGGCCATTGCATATGTTCAGCATAATCAGTGGTAGAGAGGTTGCTTTTTTGTGTGGAACCAGCCACAAATGCGATAATTCTGGCAGAAAGTGGCCAAATGATGGATCGATCTAGCTACACGAATTGGGCCCAAAGATCCTTTCTGTACATCCGAGCATTGTGGCTCGGATGCAAATTTCCACTGCCACCCTTGAGCCAGTATATAATCGAAATTCCATTTTTTTTTTGGTGGGAGCCAGTCCCTCAGTAGGCCAATATGGTGGGATGATAGACTGAATGAATCCCCAAATCATTTACATGCATCTGGAATATTTACTTTGTGAATCCAGCGCTGTAACCACAAGCACCACCAAGGCGAATGAATGTTACATGCGCATTCACGTTATATATGAACAATGGATCTGTGTCACTGGACCAGCAATTAGCCCAAGAGAATGAAGAAAAAAACACAGGCCAGGTGATCATGATAAGGGTCAAGGGGTCATTACGGCTAATGCCAACAATGCCGCCACTCCTCACTGCTTGCTTTCTTCCTTTTGCCAGTTCCATTACCTATTGTATAGTCGACAACTGAGCTTGAATATCCACCCTTATATAGACGAGAGATGATAAGAAAATACAATTCGACAGTGTCACATGGTCAGAGAGCTCTCACAAGTGTCCCCTATTCAGTTTCAGTCTGCACTGAGTGGGTATCACCAAGATACTGGGTCAAATCTAGACAGCCACCCATGATTAAACCAAGTTTTTTCAGGTGTGAATCATTGAGAGTCTCAGCCTGGTTTAAAAGTGCACAATGTTAAATTTGGCTTTCAATTAATTCAGCATAATCCAGGAGTGAGGAAATATGAAATCAGTTTGTTTTGGTGTGCAAGGAATATTGAAAAAGTGCACCACCCAACGTGAATAAGATGTCTTTTGAAATAACCCCTACAAGTATTGCAGCTCCATGACTTAAATCTTTTTTCATCAGGCGATGTTATACTAACTGCGGCGAGAGTTCCAAATGGGCATTTCTTCGTCGCATAACATGAGGCTGTGATCAGGAACGGGATACGTTTGGGGAAAAAAAACATCAATCGTAATGTTGTATTTATATTAGCAGCTCTGCATTAGATTGTTCGGAATGTAGATTCAGAGAAGAGACATCTTGAAATTATCCAAGTTCCTGCTCCATTTACTGATGAAACAATTATCTCTTGTGCACCATTTCATGGTTCATAAAGAGACTTAACAGAACGATAATGAAAACAAAGTAAACATGTCTGCCAGTTTAAGTGAACATGGAACCATGCCTGACAGCTCTAAGTCAGTACTGGGTATTTCACATTCCTACGGCATTTTCAGTTTCTCTACAGAACAAGCACTGTGTTGCTTATTTTATCAGCTCAAGAGAGATGATGAGCTGAATCATCAAAACCTGACGGAAACTTGAAATCATGACCTTTTAAAAGGGCCAATTGCTCTGCCACGTTACAGCACCCCTCGAAGTATTGCAGACTATAAAGTAAGAGTGAACATGACAAGATGGAATATGCAAAAATAAAAAAGCATGAAGTGTGAGTAAGCTTGACTTAGCTTCCCCAAGACCTTGGCATTACCCCAAGTCTGAAGGCAAAACAAACCTGGTTTGGGTTCACTTGACTTTCCGCAAATGAGCATTCAATTTTAAAAATGGACAATTTGTGTTGTTCTTAAGTAAAAGCCCCGTGGCGTCTCCATTGGGGAGAAGTGCTTAAGCAATGCCTGTGTGACTCTGTTAATTCCTCTGCTGGGGGTTTACAGCAGTTGACGATCCTGACACATCCCTGTAGATCAGTGCCCGCCAAGTTAAATGGGGCGTGCTTAGCCAAATTGTCTGTTGCAGTGCACCAAGGCATGCCAGTATCACTATTACTGTGTGTATGCATGGTGTGCTTTGTGTGTGCGTGTGTGTGCGCACGTGTGTGAGTTAATGCGCATGTTAGTAGGGTTGCATTTAATCAAATGCCATTGCTTTAATGTGAATGCATTGAAATTCGAACAATTCCGAATGCACCTGCGCATATCAGCTGGAGTCATTGTAATGTAACCATAATAATGATAATTACACTGAACATGTATTGTGCCTTTTGTTGGAATGCAATTCTAGGCAATTTAAGCGATAAAAACACAGCACTTTATGTACATGAGCTCACACACACACACACACAGTCAGTACATGCGAGTCATAAAAACAACTAACTTGACTTAAATGTACACAGTAATTAACGTGCGAATGCCGTACAATACACACGTCAGAGTCACGCGCGCACAGCACGCGCAGCACCAGCCACACGTGCCTTCAGCACTATGACAACATCGCACTGCACAACACCTCCCGTTGCAGTGAGACCACATTGACAGCGACGAGGAATGCGCTCACATGTGGCTGTCAGGCTTGCATGAGTGGAAAACTAATCAGCACGGGAAGCAGTGTGGTAATAATGCATCACGTGAAATATGGAGAGAGAGAGAGACATTTTTTAAAATAGTAATTGGTTACTGCAGCCCCCCGCAAATTGCATTGAGGCTTGATTGCGTGGCCAGGCAAAGGCGTTCTGAAAGTGGGGCAGGCCAAAATATGACACTGATGCATCCCATTAAAACAATTATTTAGAAGAGCTTATTTACATTTTGAAATCGCTAATGCAGCAGTCAACTAAAACATAGCAGCTTGTTGAATAATGTTCGTGCCCTGGCATTTCAGAGTGCCTCACGAGTGCCGAGACCAAAATACATATTCCCTGCCATCATTGATCATAATCTATATGCAGTGTCTATCTAAAATATAGAAGACTATGCTGGCAGCGAGCGATGTAGAAGCAAAGAGTGTAAATACCGTGTCACCATCGTCATTTACAATGGTGCGGCTCGCCGGCACTTCGATGAACCATCTTGAATCCGGAGTCACATTTTTTCATCTAATTTCACCATCTAATTTGTATTGTTTCTCATCCTGTTTGCACAGTTTGATTCACTCCGTTAACCTAAACATAACGGCGGCGTGTAATTTGCATGCAAATGTAGAGAAATAATTAATTATCGATTTTTATTTACATGCACAATTTGATGCACGTATTGTGAGCATCTCATATGGAAGATGGGGATGACTTGGGGAGGCCTTTGTACGGCAGTGGATTATCATGGCTGATTCAAATTATGATCGTGAGCATAAAAATAACTATACTGAATCGATGAATATATCCATCGTCACATGCTCATTGACAGACGCGACGCGGTACCTGAAACACATTTAATTACAAAAGATAATTCCACTCTGGGAAAGTTACTTCTTTCGAAGAAAAGGCTGAGAAGCCCCGCACTAAAAGGGCCATTTCCCCCAAAGCATTACTTTAGTAAGTGTTTTTATATTTTCAGTCATAATGCAGTGGTTGACTGATGTTGGCCAAATTTTTTCATCCGTTTCTTCAGTGTTACTCTGTTGTGCACATCTACATGGCTGGGTGATGCGGTTGGAGCATGCATCTCACAATTAGGAGGCTATGAGTTCAACTACCATCACCCATAATCTCTATTCGGCCAATACATTGGTATCACAGTGTCAGAAATGATCAATGTTTGTACTGAAGGATGATGGGTCTCTAGCATAGGAATGTGGAATTTACATTGCCTATATGAGCAAGGAGGCACATTTATATATCCACTCATTAATTCAAGAGGCTTTACTCGGCAATGTACTTTTCAGGTAATAATTCACACTTTCCAGGAAATGTCATTTTTAGTTAAATATTACATTTCAAAAAGTCACAGTATTCCCATGCTCATCTCTGGAGCATCTCTGTTGGCAGCCCTGAGGCAGTGATGACATTTCCACATTCCTATGGCAGGGTCAGCATTGGAAACAGGATGGCCACTGTTGATGTTCCGCTGAACGGTAGGCATTTGTCTTGATCCGCAGATGGACGATGAGCTGAATTTGCTCCTGACAGGAATTTAAACTAAACAACATCCTAACTGTGCAATGAGAGTTCAACGAATGTGGTGGCTTCTTTGGTTTGGTGCACATGGCAGCCTGGGCTAGGCATGAATGTTAGTTTTGCCAATGCCTTCCTCTCACCTTTTGCAGATGCCAGCCCCCAAAAGGTGCACGGCTGTCGTGCCAGATCCGTATTTTGAACAGGAAGCCAATGTCTGGCAATTCAATCTGGAAGAAAATGTTAAAACACGCACACACATACACATACGTAAAGTGAAACTTCACATGTCCGACCATCACATTTTTGTGCTGACCAATAAACCTCTCATACCCAGTGCAGTCTGCGTGCATGGGAGTAACTGTCATTTCTATACACACTCAAATATCTGACATTTTACAAATGTCAGAACTATGTGATGTTGTACTGTACACCTGTTAATAAAGGACTCCTATTGGAAAAAACAAGAGGTTTTACAAATTGAAACCGCTCATTACTATTTTTACATCTTGGTATTCTTTCCACTAACGTATAAAGTGAGTAAGTGAGCACACTAGTTTAGCTGTTTATAAGCGATTCAAGCATCTGTTCACAGCAGAAGGGCCACTTGTCTCCAAGCATGCTCAGGCAAGTTTGATTTGAGAAAAACGATGTGATATCAGTGGCACGATGTTTTTTTTTTACCTACGTGCTGTTGACACAGCAACTACATTTTAGGCTGCACCCTTTTTTATAGCTTTGCTGATGTGATGATTATAATGCTGATGGCAAATGAGGCTTAAAGACCTTTACAGCAAAGTCAAAAAATCCAGCTGAGTGGCACTGCAGTGGGAGTGCTCGACTCACAATCAGAGGCTTACGACTACAAAATCAGCCCATGATCATACTGAGTCGGAGAAAATAGGTACCACTTTGTGGGCATCAAGAAGGGAATGCGGAACTTCAACTCATGTACCTATGTTGCACGTGTGTTGAACTTCGATCACACCGTACGTGGCCAACCGTGCTTATCAGCGGTGCAGGGAAAGGACAACAAACTAAACAAAAAAAGCAGTTCTAAATAATTTAGTTTTCAATTTAGATTTAAAAGTGCATAGCTCCAGTGGCTACACCTAACATCAGAAGGAAGAGTATTCCAGACGGCCACAGAAGCGCATCTGAAAGTGCGTGCTGCAGTGACCGTCTTTGTTCGATCGTCTTATGTGGTAATAGTTACTTTAGTTTGTCAACAAAATGCAGCAGAAATGGCTATTAGTCAGTGGTGGCCCATGGTCCTATTTGGGAAGGCTGTAAACTCAGCCTCAGGATTTCCAATTCTCAAATGACACGCACGAGGTGTAATTCTTCGATCCCAAAAATATACAGGCAGAGTGTGATGACGATCATGACGATGATGGATCGGTGCTGGCCTCCCACCAGAGTACTTCTCCTGGGAAGCTGCACAAATGTTGCTCTCCTCGTGGTGAAAGCGCTGACAAAAGTCACCGCCATCATGTTCCAGTAACCCGACTAATCCACCCGTGCGTGACACCTGAGGCCGGAAAACCCGTGGCGGATTTTTTTTTTTTTTATCCTCCTCAAAACTGGAGGCGTGAGCCGTCACTTCACTCATCCGCAGCGTGGCGCCTGACCATGAACTTGTCGGTGAGGCCGCTCTCGAAGTTGTCGGAGTTATTGTCGAGCTGGATCTCGTCCGACTTGCCGTGCTCGCCGTACACCTGCAGGCACACGCGCGCGTCCGTGCCAGCGCCCTTCACGTCGCTCGTCCAGATCCACAGGGACCAGGGCAGCTCTGCGCAGAGCACGCGGGACACGAGCAGCGCACGCCGTTCGCCACCGTCCACTGGTAACGCACTGTGCAGCAGCGGTGGCGGGAGCAGCAGCATTCGCAGCGGCCATGAAAATATGGCTGTCGTTTATTACAATCCAGGTGTGGTCATTAGTGTCTGTCATCCAGCAACTTGGGCATGGGGTTGGTGGTTCACACGGAGGTCATCTGTGAGTGAATATACACTTGCATAGTGCGTGCATACACCCATCCATAGAGAATCGATGCAGGAGGCGATATGACCAAGTGGGCATCTGACATTTCTGTATGGAGTGTGCTATTCTCTTCTGCTGCATGGGTTTTAAGGCCATCCTCTGCATTCTACAGATTTTATCCCAATAAAAAATAATCCGCGCTGGAGGTAACATGCACACATCCAAAAGTATGAGCCTCATGAACATTTTCTTTGAAACTCAGAGATGCTCTTCCAAGTAACCAACAACGTTGTTATTATTATAATAATTATTATAAGCATCTCTTGGTGCATGCTTGATTGCCATGTAGTTTACTGATATGGGTATTCGAGTAGATATCCAGAGCTCAGCGATGAAGGGGAAGATCTCAGAGGACTTGTGTCAGTTGTGCAACAGCTGTGGAATCTCGTAGAAGGAAAGAGCTGGAAAGGTGTGGCGGTATCAATGGGATTGCTTATGATGGCCTTTGGATTTTTAAATTTGTTGCCTGGCAATCCCTGTAAATCGACACGAAGCACAGTTCAGGTTATTAGATCTGAACACCTTCACCCTGAGTGCGGCAGGTTGAGCGCGTGATCAATTGATTGGAAAACCCGAGGCGGAGATTATGGCCCTCCCCAAAATAGACCCAAGAGCTGCCACTAATAAGGCCATTTCTGCTACATTTTGTTGACAAATGAAAGTTATTCTAAACACAGAGGACAAATAGTCTCCCTGCCATATTAATTTGGATGCGTTTATGTGAAGAAAAAAAAACCCTTTGGTAGAAAAGTTGAATTGCTGACAGCACCCTAGGGTGTTCGTGCTTAACGGGCAGGGAGAATGCTCACTCTTCTGCTTGATCTGGCGGAGGGAGATCATCTCATGCAGCTCTCGTTCGATAAGACCATCGCCCTCGTCCTCGTCCAGCCACATGCGGCAAGGGAACGACTGCTCAATGCCCGTGAATGGACAGTACACCACGACCTGCATGGCATTGTCGCATTAACCATCATCATCGCTGGAGTAGACAGTCACATGCATACATCTTAATGTCACTAAAGGACGCCACAACCTGCAAGCAGCCCAATTGTCATCATCATAATCACCACCACGATCATCTTCATCATAAGCCTAACTTTCCAAGCAGAGCACTCTCAAAACCAGTCGCATCATCACCATTATTGCCACAAATCAATTCATCATCATCTTCATCGTTGTCAATGTCACGTCACTGCCATTGCCGTCATCATTATTGTCATCATTACTGCCATTAGCATCACCATCATGATCATACAGTACACATAATTATCACTATCAGCTTTTTCCAGTTATTACTGTTTGTCACAAGGATCACAAATATCAAAAACGCAGCTCTAGTTTGCTCATATATACGATCAACTGCTGCTATTCTTTTTTTAGTTTGCCGAGTAAATTAATGCTCAAATGCAATATTTTATATCACAGAGTTCAACAAGTGCTTTGGAATTGTTCACCCAAATCTGCCTAAGTGTTATAGTTATTCTCATATTTGATACCTTTTTGTAATTATCATTGGTCGTTTTAATTATATTTATATGTTTTAAAAACCTAACAAAGAAAAAATTCCAACAACTGGCCCCATTAGTCACCGTCACAATTCTTGGAAATATTTCATGGAAATAAATTATGCAAATCGTGTGTCATTATCAATGCAGTGCACTGCACACGTAAGCTATTTCACTCTGTAATGAGCTATTCTTGCAGATAGTTCACAGCATCTCCTCTTTCTTGCCTCTCTCTAGCATCCCTCCTTCTCTTCAGCTTAACACTTTCCTCAGCCCATGAGCGATCATGACTCCTTCCTTCCTGAGCACAATGATTGGCACAGAGCATCCACAAATGTCACCATGACTGCGAGAACCCCTGGTGTTGTGATGGACTTCAGAGAGACGATGAATTTAAAAGAGACAATGAGCAGAACTTCCACAAACTCTGTAATAAACTACACCAGATAATTGATTACGATAAATATTCGTTACCACGTAAAAATATTAACATTTATAGTAGAAAGATTTAAAAGAGGCTTCCAGCTCATGCAAGCACAGGGAAGTTGTCACCTCTGTTGTAGCCCCCCCTGAGCCAGTGGTGGAAACTCCACATTCACGTGAAATGGTATAGATTGTACAAAAAAACAAATGATGAATTCCCACGAAGTAGCACCCATTGCATTGACCCCAGAGGGATGATGAACTGTGTCGACCATCAACTGGCATTAATTCTCGGCTTTCCAAATTTAAGTCCAGGGTTCTTCCACAGAGCATCCCAGCCAAACAAAAATGAAATATTGAAGGAGGTTACTTTGCTCAACAGGGACATGGCACCTGGTTACTGAGCGTCACTGCCAGCTGAGATTAAACGAGGTTTTCAGTCTTGATGGTCTTAGCCTGGTCGTTCATGATGAAACAAGACAATCACTGTATGTGCTTGTGTGGTTCATTTTACTCCAATATTGTGCCAAAGCACTAATGCAGGCACTGCCTAAAACACACAATTGCTTTATTCTATTTTATTTAGCGCCCCATATATACCGGGGAGACTCAGAGCTCTTTACATCGCATCTCATCTCAAGCAATGGAAAGGGAACCCCCAGTGGCAGCTGTCCCTGTGGGCACGAGGTGACTCAGCACCTGCATTAGTCTGCAAGTAGGGGACGATGTTTCCTATGCATAATCCCAATTGAGTAATTCGTTCATAGGTAATGGAAACTGAGGTGAACTCCTTTTGTTACCAGTCCCTACAATCTTCAGCACATAGTAAAGGCAAAGGTGCAGCCCTGCAATTGCTTGCAAACGCCACCGCCGGCTTAACGGCCTCCACGAGAGGTGGTTTTATACGGAGGATAATTGGTCAGCATTCCAATGCTGACTAGATGTCGTGGAAGAGGTGGCATTACCCACACTGTACCCCACCACACGTCACCCGCCGATCGACTAGCTGTGGTATACCCATCGACGCTTCTGGATGGTCAGAGGCGGTGGATTTAAGAAACTTGCCCAATTCTTTCAACTGCTGCGCAGCGAGATTGAACCAGTGCCCTCTAGGTTGTACATCCAGTGCGATAACCATTGCACCACTGCAGCAATCCCAGGGACGAGTAGATAATACACTAAACCGTGTGTGTCTACGTGAAAGAAACCGAGTGCAAAACATACGTTTTTGTATGCACTCAATTATCTACACCTGCAGTCGGTAATCATCTAAATAAAGCACACGGCACATAGGACCCATACGCAGGGCAAGATTGGGCTAATCAGGATCCCTGCATTTGAGTCATGGGGCCACAGGCAGTGGGTCAGTGCTCGGGATGGGAGAGGCGCCATGCTAATTTTGAGCTTTAATCCAGGACCATATATTTTCAGCCCATATGCCTTTGGGTTAGCTATCTCTCATCCCTATTCCCATGGGCAATGGTCAGCTCTGGTTGGTGGGTAATTGGCCTCTAATAAGCGGGACTCATTTAGGGTGTGGGTCCAGCCCTAGGCCAATCATTATGGGCCGTTCAGCTGTGGGGTTCCCGTAAACATGGGCATGTGTTTATTGCATTGAAAACTGAAACTACCTTTACTATAACTTCTCAAAATCTTCCACATTCAAATTTCAGAATTCACAGATTGATGTTACTAGACTTATCTGGTATCTGCACCCATAATGTGCATTTTCCAATTTATTTCATACTTCAATTGGTCCTACATTAATTGACACATTAACTATAATAATCCCCTCGTTTTTTTCAAGATGCTATATATTCTTTAACCCCTTCCCATCCCATCTCACGCTGTTGTCATCCCTGTGTCTTCTGACCCAGAAACCAAAATCTATGACCTGTGCCTCAATTCAACCTCTGCTTGATTGGAGACAGAATCTATATTGTACAGTATTGCAGTAGGAACAAACCTACATTGAATCATCTACACTGCAATAGAAGCAGGCAATATGTGATGTAGGACATACAGTGAAGATCATGAATTCTCCCTCGTTTATTACTCAGGAAGGTGTATCTACTACATCAGCTGTTTTAGCTAGTGAGACTCCTCAAGTATTCCAAAAATGAAAGATTAGAAATAACTAAGTTGACTACTCGATAGCCTTCTAGTTGAGTCATGTATTGAGATGTTAGGTGAATTAGGTAGCTACAAACCTAATAATTCACCCACCAATATATCAGTTTGGCTGATTGACAAAGTGATTAAAGTGTTTTTCACAGTGATAAAATGTGCTTTCGAACTCTAGCAAAGCAACTCTTTCAAGATCCAACTTTGAATAATTACCACTCTGAAGGAAGTGGAAAGACTGGCCTTGCCATGCGAATGTCGACGATCCACCACTAACTTAGGGAAGCCAACACAATTGAGGATTGTTCCCTTACTCATTCGAATAGAGAGACACAGACCCATGTTTGACTTGATCATAGTTTAGCCTATGGGCCTCTGTTAAAAGCTACCTTCAGGGAGGTGGCCGAGTGGTTCAGATGTCAGAGCACTGAGCCTGCTCTGCTGAGACTGTGGGTTCAAATATAGATAGCTGCCTGTGAATAATCTGGGTTCTCAAGTGTGGTGAGTTGAAAGCCACAGCCCAGTTACCAAGACTACACAAAGTAATTGGTGACCAGGGTCGCTTGAATGAATCTCAGAAGTAGTTCTGTGTTATCCAATTCTGTGGGTTAATTTGTAACACAACAGATTGCACTGCTCTGCAAGAGATACAAAGAGATTAATTATTCATCTCATGATAGGACACTGAGATACAATTTGGGAAAATGACCGCAATTTTTGGTTTGTTTAAAGGATGCTGCCACAATGTAATGGTTAGCACATTGGACAATCCAGCAGGTTGCCAGTTTAAATATCCCTTATACCCTGATGATATGAAACGTTTATATTTCTTTCAGATGCCCTCAAGCCCACGGCAGCCTCACCTTGTCGCAGAACCAGCCCGAGCTGACTCCAGAGTTGTCGTGGCCGATGGTGACGCGGCTGAGCGGGCTGAGCAGGGCGGCCACCTCGCTGCTGAAGCAGTCAGTGCGGCTGCGCTCGAACTGACCGCCCGGCAGGAAGAGGCGCCCGCTGTTCTTGAGCCCCTGCGCTCCGTGCAGAATTATGTACACCTTAGAGTTCGTGCCGGCCCCGCGCACGTCCCCCGTCGTGATGGAGATGTTGTAGATGATGCCTGCAAGGTGTTGGTGAGAAGAAAGAACAACAAATAACCAACGAAAAGGTTCATTCTCCTGGAGCCCTTTCAGGGGGCTTCTAGGAACAGGACAGTGTCCAAAGTTGATGCCCTCTTATTTTCCTGGAAATTAATTTAGTGATGCCTCCCCAAAAGCCACATTTTTATTTTGGTTCTGAACTTTTTGGAAAGAGTTTGGCAGGACCTCTGCCGAAAGGTTGGCTTGTCACCCAGTCAAGATGTAAAACAAACAATGCTGTGCTCAAAGCAAGGCTGTCGTGAATGCTAAACTCCTCCTTTCTCATAGCAACCTTAACGACACACCATACAGCCCACGTGGCAGCACGCTCTGCAAATACCGATCGACAAGGCCCTTCCTGTCGCACTGCCCTCCCTATCTCCTCCCCAGGGTTTATTAATACAGAGGTCTCTTTAATATCTGAACATTTGCATATCTGAAAGGGGTATGGCAGAAGCAGCCTTCTGTGATCGCATTCACCAGGAATTAATACCTCATTTGCAATGTGACCACGATGTCATAATTTAGTCACATGGCATGTCATGAATCTGCTTATTTTTAACATATCCTACCAAAACGTGCCTTTGTTATCTCATAATTTATCATTTTAAATGCTCAGTCGATTGCTATTATTTTGTGCTACATCCACCGTGGGGAGCAGCGCCGCCTTTCACCCCAACGACCCCGCTGTGAAATTTGACCCAGTGACATTACTTCCTGGCGTATGACTATGCATTATGCAACAATGATCAGTTCGTCGTTGAATATCGAAGGCATTGCAGCTAAAATAGATCACTAACTTTAATGAAGGCGCATGCAGAAACATCTCCATAAGCATTCTACGTGCATGAAATATTCACAAGGGTTGAACACTGGCTGCCGAGCATTTCAGCGTTAAGTATTTATCTGGCATATTCTTTGGGTCTTTCGGTAAAGTCACGTAGATAGGTTCAAAGAAAATAACAAAAAATAAGCGTTCGTCATCCTGATGGCGAACGCTTGTGTTGCGATCAAAACGTCGTAGTTTTTTGTTATTTTTTGTTATTTTCTTTGACCCTATCTATGTGGCTTTATCCAAAGACCCAAAGAATATGAATTCCTGCAGTCACGAAAGCTTTAAGTCAATATTTATCTGACAATCAGCACCGGTCTTAATATCTGCAATGCTTATTATAATTGTTAAACTGGAAACATAGCAGTCAACCTATATCCATAGTCTCGTGTTTCAAATGTTATCATGCTATCTTTCCTTTCCAAAAAGTTGAGCATTTACTTAACTATGTAACTACTTTTATTTTAACCAGGTAAGGTCCACTGAGCGATATAGCTCTTTTTGGGTCAGATGGATAACGACAACGTTTCAGTCATATTTTGGGTCTCAACATTGTCTACATCCAGTGTTAATACACATAGTGTATCTTCCATTCAATTGTATTCGAATTGTGCCATCAGCATCATGTTGTGAGACAAAGTATCCTTTTGAATTCTCACAGAGCAGGTGCAATCCTGTGTGTTAGAAAACAGTCCCAAAATTAAACGTATTCATCCTGCAGCTTATGTTAATTACTGGTTTCCCTCTGCTAAAACATTATAGTATTCTACATGTTGGGTGTTCTGAAAAGTGACGGTATGTTATACCGTCATATCCTGCCACATATTGACCACTGCATGTACATCTTAAAATGTAGATTGAAGCATAATCAATGCGACCTGCTTCATTAATTCTTCATTATGAACGATGATATCTATGTTTTGATTTAAAGCTTTCGTGACTGCAGGGATTCATATTCTTGGTTCTTTACCAAAAGAACCAAGAATATGATATCTGTATTCTTGGTTCTTTCGGTAAAGTCACGTATTGTTTCCCTTCTACGTGACTTTACCGAAAGAACCAAGAATATGAATCCCTGTAGTCACAAAAGCTTTAAATTAAAAGATGATATCTATATTGAGGGAAGCTACCGTGTGTTGAGATGGCGTCTGTTGCATGCAGTAGCTTTGTAAATGGGAACTGTAGCGCATGCGGTGTTAATTTAAGTGTCCTCACCTGTAGCCTCCGTGCCACCCACTATGATGTCTCGCTGGATCTTGCCATCGTCCTCGTCAACAGCGAACCAGCGGTTCACCGGGAAGTCGTACGTCTCGTCGTTATCGATATCCTCCACCGTCACCTGAACAGAGTCGTTATTATCCATGGCACTGCTAACATCAACACCACCACTACCGTTATGACAGCACCATAATTGTACAGCTATGGCGACACGTGGCTGTAATCCAAGTGTGATCTTTCACGTTAGGTGCTGTCTTGTGCATATCTTCCATCAAGCTTTCGCCATGCACTACCGCGAGCATCTCACTTCCAACTCCTGTGGTCTTCTGGCATAACCTAGAAGACCACAGGAGTAGAAGTGGAATATTCACTTTTATTATGAGTGGCTGCAAAAACCTCCGTGCTCAATTGACACTACTGCAATCCAAATAACGTGCAGGCAGGGTTGCTGGCTCATGCTGGGATCACGTGTGTGTGCCTGTGTGTGTGAAACATCTTAATTCAGTTCAATAAGGTGCTTGTGAGAAAAAGTACATGAGGTAGGTCCTGACCTATCAATGCAAGTTTTGAATGATTTATCCCTTCGTAATGTTTGTTGCGTATGGACACTCTGGTTTGCTCATACATGCACCAATGCAAACATTTGAACTTGTAAATATTTTCCTGGAATGAATATTCTGACGAAGTTTTACTGGGAAATCAAATAACTTACTTATATTTGTTCAGGGCATTTTGGGTGGAGCGGAGGCAGAGCGGGTTGCACATTGCACGATGAACCTGATGACCCGAGTTTCTTTCCCAGCCAAGGATAAAATCAGCGGCGAGTGAAATGTGAAGCGGTCCTCGAGACCCCTTCGCCAACCCACACTGACCAGCATGCTGAAGTATGGCCAAATATTCTAGATTTAAAGATTTCGTGACTGCAAGGATTCATACTCTTTGTTTTTTTTTCGGTAAAGTCACGTACGTAAAATAAAATAAATGAAAACAACTCAATTAAATCACGACGTTTCGGAGGCAACACAAGCTTCCGTCTTCAGGTGGAACAGTCACAGCAAAATAGCTGTATCAAGTGAAGAGCTCTGAGACACCCGAGATTATATACAGGTTAAGGGGGGGGGAGGAGCCAGGAAGACGTGGGTGGGGAGGGGCTAAGTTAAGGGGGGGGGAGGAGCCAGGAACGGATGTGGGTGGGGAGGGGAGGGCTAAGTTAAGGGGGGGGAGGAGCCAGGAAGTGACGTGGGTGGGGAGGGGCTAAGTTAAGCCCCCTTTTGTTATGCTGCAGGGGGTTCTGGGGAAGCGGTGGTGCACTGCACGAGAGTGAGTACAACCCACTGGTAGAAATGGAAATGGCTGTACAATTATAAGGCAGCTAAAGTTTGACTTGGTTGATGACATATTTTCAATGGTTGCTCAATTTAAAACCATCCTCTCGGTTGAAGTTGTGTCTATGTTTGTATATCTGGATGGCTTCATGGACAAATCTTTGGTAATAACCGGGAGGTTGGCATAATACTTTGGTATCAGAGAAAACAATGTCATGAGAACCCGCTGTGTTGAAACAATGATCAGCCATGGCCGAAGAATTCGTTCTGCCGTGTTTCAAAACTGATTTGTGCTCGCGAATTCGGTCAGAAATGTCGTTTCGTCTCCCTGATATAGGCATCACCACAGGTACAACTCAATTTGTAAACACCGGGGTACTGTAAGTCAGGAATGACATCCTTTACGGATGGGATCAGATCACGGATTTTGTGTACTGTATTGAACCGGACCTGGATCTTTCTCATGACATTGTTTTCTCTGATACCAAAGTACTATGCAAACCTCCCGGTTATTACCAAAGATTTGTCCATGAAGCCATTCAAATATACACAACTTCAACCGAGAGGATGGTTTTAAATTGAGCAACCATTGGAAATATGTCATCAACCAAGTCAAACTCTAGCTGTCTTATAATTGTACAGCCATTTCCATTTCTACCAGTGGTTGTACTCACTCTCGTGCAGTGCACCACCGCTTCCCCAGAACCCCCTGCAGCATAACAAAAGGCGGCTTAACTTAGCCCCTCCCCACCCACGTCCCTTCCTGGCTCCTCCCCCTACCTTAACTTAGCCCCTCCCCCTCCCCACCCACGTCCCTTCCTGGCTCCTCCCCCACCCTTAACATAGCCCTCCCCCCCACCCACGTCCCTTCCTGGCTCCTCCCACTCCCTTAACTTAGCCCCCCCCACCCACGTCCCTTCCTGGCTCCTCCCCCCCTTAACCTGTATATATAATCTCGGGTGTCTCAGAGCTCTTCACTTGATACAGCTATTTTGCTGTGACTGTTCCACCTGAAGACGGAAGCTTGTGTTGCCTCCGAAACGTCGTGATTTAATTTAGTTGTTTTCATTTATTTTATTTTACCTACGTGACTTTACCGAAAAAACCAAAGAGTATGGTTAAACAACCTCCATTATTGAAAGTCATGGTGAGGCCTTCATCTGGCAGTGGACTGACAAAAGGCCGTAATTATAATTGTGTGTTTTTTTATTATAATTTATTTAATATGAACATCATTCTCATAATTTATAAAATCACCATTAAAATAGCGCCATCTACCCAAGAAAGTCTCACCGACTTTTAAGGAAGGATCCTGGTTTGGACGACTTGGCAACATTCCATGAATGAGTCTTTTGCACTTTGGAGGAAACTGGAGAGCATCGAAAAAACCGCCCCACATATTCGAGGGGAGTACACTTAATGTTCTGCACAGATATATTTAAGAATACATTGCTGTTCTGGCATCGTCTGCCCACCTATGCCCAACCTTCATTGCCTGATATTCCCAGGGAGTCTACCATATAATTAATGAGAGCACTAAATAGGAAAACCTTAATTAGTTTCCGATATATGACAAGATTGGGTGCATTCAGAGTGATTTAGTCATAGGCATGATCATCCTAATGGTGATTGTATTTAGTTTGTTTTCCTTCCCCGCACCTCCAAATAGCATGCTTGGCTACGTACGGCGTGAAATAAGTTCAACATGCATACATGAGCTCGGTTATGATATCACTGTCACCATCAGCAGTACATTTACAAAATGTGCCCTTGAGATGCTTGCTGGATACCGTGGAATAATAGCAATTTTACAAAATAAGACTGACTTTGCATAAACAATTGAATCCATTTAACTCAACAACATCAATAGTCATCGTCTATCAATGCTCAATGGCTCTGATCCAATGAAGAAGTTGATTTGACATTCCATATACTGTAAACTAATGGACTCATTTCTTTGCTGTGATTACTTTTGTTGTTGTTTGTGCTTTTTGTTTTGTTGGCATGTCTTAATTTGTTTATTCATTATTATTCTTTTATTTAGCTTGGTAGTATGGTTTTCATTTGCCTAGTAGTGGCTGTATGTATGATTTGGTCCTCATATAGAAAATTAATGTTCAGTGTTATAGAATGCTATTAGCATGAATGACGCTATATAAAATGAAACTTATTATTACTGTACTACAGAAGGGGCTATAGGAGTGAGACTTTGCTGTCGGTGTCACACCTTCTCGAGGAACCAGCCGGAGGAGGAGCCCTTGTTGTTGTGGCCAATGGAAATTTTCTTGACGATCCCCAGTGCCGGGGACTCGATGGTGAACTTGTCCTCAACCCCGCGCTCAAAGTTGTCCTTCTCATTGTCCAGCCTCCGCTCCCCTGCACAGTTGTCCCACACCTCCGATTAGCACGGTGGGCTACGTAGGTTGCGAAAGAAGTTGAACATAATGCAAATATAAACACACATGTGGCATGTGTTCCATGAACCACAAAACACGTGGCCAATAACGAAGATAGGATAACAAAAGGTCATGAGTGCAAAAAAGAAGCTTGGGGAAATGCAAGCTCGGAATTACATTGCGATAAATGAAGAGGGACACGTGGCTTAGATAACAGAGAACATTTCACCACGAAAACGTTTAAAAAAAGTGCGCTTCGGAAGGAAATGTTGCCAGCAGAAAGGATAATGGCCGATGGTCAAGGTGGTGAGGAGCGGAATGGGACACATCTGAGGGGACATCCACTGAGGAGATGAAGCGATGAAATCAGCTCGACGGCAGGTGCTAGATGGATTATTACATCACAAGATTGCATGGGAGACCTTCATCCAGCAGTGATGATGACAAATCTATGTCTCCGTGTGCTATGTCCTATCTCAAAGACGTTGGCGATGATGGCCTTCCATATAGCTCTCTCCGTGATATTACTCAGGTTATTTGCATTGGATACTCCCAGCTCCATCTAAAGTGTTAAAATTGTACTTAATTCACAGTTTTCCCCGGCTTCTTGTGGTACGTATCATTTTTACCATTCAAAACATTACATAAAATCTCTTATTCTTTCATTACACGTCCAATACATCTAACTTGCCTTTCTCTCATTATTAATTTTCTTTTTGTACCCGCTGCTTTCCATAATACTGTACATGTATGTTATGCATCTTGTCTGTCTTCGAAACGTTTAACATCCTTCTTTAAAAAAACGCATTTCTGTTAGTTCTAGTTTGCTTTGTAGAGTCCTTGTAATTGCTCAGCTTTCACATCCATGTCAGAGAACAGACCATAGGTAACACTTCGATGCCTTGAATAAATTTGTTTCAATATTGATCCTATTTTCTGAAATACTCTGATATTCTTATGTTTATCTCTGTGATGCACCTACCATGACGAATGCCAAGGCAATGCAAGTCATCAGTTACCTCTTCATGTGGCTATGTACACAGCCCCTTTTCTCAGGCCATTGCTGGATGAAGGCCTCCCCACAGCGAGAGGGTCGTGGGGGTTATTTGACCGTGGTTTATCACGCTGGTCAGCATGGGTCGGTGAAGGTGGGGGTAGATAAGACATTGGAGCATCTTATCTTACAAGTACAGCATTCTCTCGTTATTCACGAACTTGCTATCCGCGATTTTAGCTATCGACAAATTGCATCTGGAACTCTACACGACTGCATCGAGAGAAAGAAAGTGATGAGAGATAAAGAGATGAGAGAGAATGTGATGAGAGAGAATGTGATGTGAGAAAATGATGAGGTAAAATGATGAGGTAACGTGATGACAGAGAATGTGACGAGAGAGAATGTGATGAGGTACAATGATGAGGTAAAATGATGAGGTAAGGTGATGACGTTAGTGTGCAGTATCATCATCATTTACGGGAATTTCATTTTTAAACTATCATTAAATACTTCAATATGTATTTTTATTTAATGTTTTGTATAACCAATTTTTTATTATAATTGTTTTGTACATAATAGTAAACTTATACGCGTATTTAAGGTAATTCGTTGAAAAGATAAGCTTTCGTTGGCCAAAATCAATCCAGTATCTGCAAATTTTGCCATTCACAAGCATCTCTGGAACGAACATATCCCTTGCGGATAACAAGGGAACACTGCACAGCACAACAGTGGAGTTTGTTGCACTTCCTTCCATCGACAACGTAGCCTGTGGCAGCATCCTACAATAAATTCAATCTACCGCACTGGCAATGCTGGAGAGCATCAAAAGCAGTTACAGTGAATCCGTATGAATAGTCCATTGTAGTGTGCAATCATAACACTTTTGCTTAACACGTACCGGTTAATTACATTTCATGAATGCATAATCAACCGTCCCCCTTATACTTTGAAAATAACATTTGTATTTGATTGGCACACGTTATTGTAACACTTGTGTGAAAGCGATGACTAATGAAAAACAATGTCATAAAATTATCAACAAAAGTGCCTCCTTATGCTGTCAAAGTCTGATGAAAATGAGTTGCTGTGACTCAAGACCAATTTTGCAGGTTTTGTAAAACATCCTATCACGTCCCGACTCCTCCACTTGTAAGTAATATTTGCACATCCCTGCTATAGTAATGTACGAGAGCCGTTACTTCTTCGAGGTTAACCAACAAGATACATGCTAATTTGAAGCAATTGGCAAATGTATTCGCCAAATAGTCCTTAAATATAGTCCAAACATTCATCAACAGGGGACAACCCTAGCACTGTCCCTACAGGCCTCACACTCGACCAAAAACCGAACATTAGAGTGCCTGACCCAGCCTCCTGCAGTTTTCTCCACACCACTATTTCACCCTTGATTGGTGTTTCGCTGATGGAATCCACATCACGAACACACGCAAGCTTCACCTGTATCGCCGAGGTCCCCAAAGATGTTGATGAACACATCGGCGTCAGTGCCACCGCCCTTGACATCGCCGGTCTTCACTCGCACCACGTACTTGTTCGCTAAATGGGGACAGCAATTATCCGTATAACATTGCAGCCGTACAGATCATCAAAGGACTCTACACAAACGACATCTCAAGTTGGCGGTGCCGCAGAACTCGTCGCGGTGGGGTGATTGTGCGTTCGCATGTCATGCATCGAGAAAGTCTTAAAATCTTAAGTCTCCTGTTCCAAGTTTATTTTATTTTTTCAGGTGAGCATTCAACAAACTACGATAGCTTGCAAGAGTAACCTAGGGCACTAGTCTGCCATTAAGGGAGCAATGAACCTTATGCATCATCACGGTCGAGTAAATTGCGTGGAATTTTCTAATTTGGACCTTGATGCCGGCACACAATGGCCTACTCTTGTGAATTGTGTCAGGGGATCTTTAACATCCACCGCGAAGGAGTAGTGTTATGGTTACTACGCCTGCAGTTATAACCAAGGTAGCCGCTGGTTTCGAACTGTGAACCTCTTCAACAAGTGGCCAACCTGGTACCGCTAGGCCACGTCACTGCCCTTGAAAGCTATAAGGACGGTGCGAATACCAAACGTACTACATTACGACGATTATTATCATGTCGAGCGCCGGCCGTAGCAGCGCGGCTCGCGGGTGCACGGGGCAGCACTCACGGCGGGGAACGTCAGTGGGGTCCAGGCTGCCCATGAGGTCGCGCACAATGAGGCCATCACCCTCCACCCGGCTAAGCCACTGGCCGCAGGGGAAGTAGTAGCGCAGGTGCGGTCGGTTCACGTCCGTCACGGTGACGCGCTCCAGGTACCAGCTGGCGCTCGCTCCCGTGTTGTCGTGCTCAATCCTGATCAGCAAATGCAGGCCAAGTGTGAGCAAGGGTTTGATTTTGAACGTCTTCGCCGTGCTAGTGGGCGCAGGTGGGAGAAGAGGCGTTGAGGCACAGTGCAACACAACAATGGAATTTGATGCACTTCCCTCTGCCGTACAAACACGTATTTTGCACAGGGTGGTCCAGATGTTTTGTGACCCGCAATTAATTTACCTCTAACATATGTTTGCCCTTTCCATCTTCATTTCTGTTTGAAATAAACTGCACTTAAAAAATATAAAGTTTCCGAGAATTGAATGGGGTCACAAGACATCTGGACCACCGAATTTATGCATGGTGGTGACCCATAAAAGCACTGTCCAGGTTCAACAATGCTTCGCTTGCAAGATAAGATGAGATTGGGTATATTCCAAGTGCATTGGTCATAAATATATAATAGTGTAATTGTTAAAAAAATCACTTTTATTACCCGCTCAGCTGAATGTATGTGGCACTCTTCTCTAGTTGACAGCCCAGAGCACACACCCATGGCAGAGGGCAAGTCTTTCCGTGGGACAGCCAATGCAAAGTTACCAACAAAGTGGTACCTATTTTATCCACCCTGGAGAAATTAAGGATTGAGTGGACCTCCTGTCTGGCATTTGAACCCATAGCCACTCGATTGCAAGACGCGCATCCAGCCGCTTATAGTGGACAACACAAATCAGAATTATGAAATGTGTAATACTTTAAGTTCCATATATGCATACACAGCATGCTGTATAATATATTACAAAATCCTTTGTCTATAACAATTAACATTATGGCGGGACACCGGGGTCCCATAAGCCCCCGGCTCTCGCATAAACATTATATTATAATGTAAAAATAGCTTTGCTCTTTTTCACCAATGGGTTTGAAGGATTGTGGCAAGTGTCGTCTTTTTTTGATTTAAAGCTTTCGTGACTGCAGTGATTCATATTCTTGGTTCTTTCGGTAAATTCACGTTGAAGGGAAACAATAAAAAATATATAAAACAATAAAATTCTCACGACGTTTCGACTGCAACACAAGCAGTCATCATCAGGTGTGAAAACCAACAGCAAGAACATTTGAAACAAGTGGCGGTTTGTTAGCACCACGGAGAGCGATTTGGCAGTTAACCTCTGACTTCTCCAAGACAGAGATTCTCTGCAAGCCATCTGGCTACCATGAGGCTATCCACATATACAAACACAGAGACAATTTCAACTGAGAAGATGGATTCTAGCTTAGCAATCATTGTAAGGATTTGATAAACCATTACGGGTCTTAATTGATGGTTCACGCTTACGGTGGCTTTCAGACCGCATCCATTATTTTCGTCTCCCCCCTCCTCTTTTCCGAACATAGATGGACTCATCCATCTGAATAACTGCCAAATCATTCTCCGTGGTGCTAACGTTAAAAAAACCGCCACTTTTTTCAAAAAATTATTGCTGTGGTTTTCACACCTGATGATTGCTTGTGTTGCAGTCGAAACGTCGTGAGAATTTTATTGTTTAAAATTTTTATTATTTTATTGTTCCCTTCTATGTGACTTTACCGAAAGAACCAAGAATATAGTACATAAAATAGTATGCGTTTTCAATGCACTGTTCATATTGTAACAAGCGTTTATACCAGCGGCGGGCCGTCAGGGCCAGCAAGGCCTTCTCTGTTGGCCTAGAGATTGTCAGAATCAGAAAATTACATTTTTATAATTTTAAATATATTTTCATTAATGCTATATGTATTTTACAAGTTTGTTCCCATCAGTGTATTAACGCCATTCCATTGCTACTCTCTCCCTCAGTTGCGCTGCTTCCAGTGCAGCTCATAAATTGGAGCTTTTATCCAATCTGATGTTTTACCTGTGCTGTCTCTGCCTCTCCGGGTGAAAAATCTACCATGAGGCTTTCAGAATGTCGAGTGAATCCTCTCTGCTGTTGAAGAAAATGGGGACGATGTTGTTGATTGTCATATTCTTTAACCAATCAGATTTCGAGTTTGCCATATTGGGCGTATTCATTGACACACTGAAGCCTTCTAGCTGGCCTAGCCGCCTACGTTATCCTTGTTCGTGTGGCTTTATCGGAGGGCTAGTAAGCTAACTGAAGTAAAACTAGCTAGCACGTAACGTAGCATCATCTAAGATTCATTTAAACTTTCTTTCGTGACGTTTAGATTTTTAGATGTAGTGCTTTAGATTTTTTTCTGTGGGGAAGCCTGTTGAATCCTGATTGTGTTATTTGTCTTTTACGGCATTTTTGCTTGCTTGGTGGTCGTATGAGTAAATGTGACTGGTTGTTGTGAGTTCTTGTTTCTTTGGTAATGACATTGATTTGGGCTATGTGATCTCTATTTGTGATGCAGCATCCTGCCATACTGCGTAATAGTGGTACATCCTTGATGGTTTCAGTCACCATGTATTCATGTCTCTGCAATGAGAGTGTATTGTAACTCTCATAGGTGTTGAGCCTCGTGTTAAATCACTTTATTCCACTCGATAAAGGTTACTGTCACTGTGAATATGGGGTGGTTACGTCGAATGACAACAGCCTATAGCCCTAGTGTCATGGTGAGGTTATTCGAAGGCGGCTTAATTACGGGAGGATAGCACTGAAGGCCTAGGTGTAAAATACACTGCCCGCCATTTGCTTTATACCAATATTACTCTGCAGAGTAGTGGGTCCGCCGCTCCTCTCATCCGCAATGATAGAGCGGTATGTGGGGACTATGGCTTAACCGCAAAAAAACTATCTGCACAGATGTATACGGACAAGAGAAGTATTATCAAACAGGAGGAATTAACAGTGCAACGCATCCCATCTGTTAAATATCTGCAGGTAATAGGATTGTCATCGATTGATCCTGGCTGCAGACATTGGTAGGTCACAAATAATAATGAAGATAAGAGAGCAGTTTCACTCTATTATGCATACCGTTATGACAAATAATGGACTTAGGCAGGTTGAGCAGCTTTGGATAAGACTTGTTATGATCCTGCCCATACCCGAGCATGGAGTGCATTCGCTTGCTCAGCTCTTGTGCGCATTCGTCATCGCTGCTGTGCTTGGACGACACGACAACAGAATGGTGGGTCGCGGCATTTATGTGCGCGGTGGGACGGAGTCGCCAAAAATAAATACATTAATTACGATTGTGACTTCTGTTAATTCGGAAACCCCGGGGTCCCACCATAAGGTTCATATGTTGAACATATTTCGCACAGTACGTAGCCAACCGTGCTAAACGGAGGTGGTTGACAAATGAAGAATCGGTTTGTGGGTATTCGACTATATTTGTCCAATGAAGATTGGACCTTGCCATAAGAATGTGTAATTATCCCCACTGGCCTAGTTTTAATAGAGATGAGCACTGTTCAATGCCATTTCAAGCACAAAGAGACATTGACTTTTGATCAGAAATATACAAAGCATGCCGCTAATTAAACGGATAATTTTCCTTTTATGATGAAAATGTTATAAAGGTCAACAAATTAAACATTTGTCACTCAGCTTCTGAATGCAGGCAGTGGATTGACATTCCATGTTTGACTACACTTCACCGTGTGTCAATGTGGATTTGTGAAGAGGGCGAGGGGGTGCGGGAACCGGGACCTGTTTAGATACCACTTGGCACTGATGTTAGCCATGGCCGAAAATCAAACTCGGGTCCGTGGACTCATAGCAGCAGCTCCACCTCGCTACTTATCACGTATGAACAATTTAAGTAATGAGATGCATGGAAATTTCCCAACCCACCATTCCTTCCTCCCCCTCCCCTCGCACTTTTCACAGATTTCAATTAGTCACACCTGGATGGCTACAAAAGCCACAAACTGCTCCGGCAGACAGATGTTAAACCTCGAATTTATTTGGAGAACCATCCAAGTGTACTTGCAATTGAGCGATATGAAACATTGAAGGCACTAAGCGATGTGATTCTTTCATCTTTAGCTTTTGTCATCAAAAGTTGCAACAAAAAAAACAATCATACAGTTGTATCAAATGATCTCTCAGCATTTGCACATTTCTGGGCCAGAAATACAGGATTGCTACTGAGTCATCTCTTCATGCTTTGTTATTCTTCGTACATACTCTCTGGCACAATGTACAGAGCTGTTTCATAGGGCTTTTGACTCGTTATATAACAAAGGATTCTATCGACAATTAGGGTTTTGCCAATCGCTGCCAAGTTGCAACAATCGGTTTCTTAAATGTGGGTGGAAATAAACTTTATATTCATGAAGCGTTTGAATAAAATTGTATCTCAAGAGGTTGTACAGGGTGGTCCAGATGTCTTGTGACCCCCCCTATTCTATTTTCTAAAAGGTTTTATTTAAAACAGAAATTAATATGCAACGATAACATGTTTGGGGCCAATTAACTGGAGGCCCACAAGCCATCTGGACCAGCCTGTACAACAGCGAAGAGAAACATCAGGCGAAGGAGTGTGGTCGGGGGAGAAGAAATAACTTGCCGCGTCATTAAGGTGAAAATGCTGAGCAGGAGGAATTGTGTGTAAAGGTGGGGCGTAGAGAATTATGAAATTGCTGTGGCATAGCTATTGAGCGTGGAAGCGGCGCAACTGCGGCAGTGTTACACGGATTGGGCTATGTAGAGGAGAAAAAAAATGGATGGATGGCTCAATTTTATTCCAGACACCAGGGGCCCATGCAAACCAAGATTCAACACTGGCAAAATGTTACAGGGGGCAGCGGAGAAGACAACAACAACGAACTACAGCAGAATAGTATCTGGCTTACGGTAGACAGAGAGCACATAATTAGGTCAGTGCAAGCAACCAGTGTGTACTGGCGAGGTGATTGGTGAACGATGAGTGGGTGGCATTCACTGGCACACAGCTGTCCAATACATAACTACTTAAGCATGGGCTGTGAGCTCAATAGACAACACATTGCACAGTCAGGTGCACTTGCAACAGAATGCAGTGTGTTCATTTCCCAATGTGCAGTGCAAGGATTGTCAGTGTACCGGATCTTTTTCAATGGTCCGATGTTGTTTGTTTTCAGTCGGAAAATGTCCGTTTTGCAGCGTTCGAAAGCATCCTTTGACCTGTTGGAGACATCGGTGTCAGTCGGAGAATATTGACATTTTAAAATACGTGAATGAAGAAGAGGTCAGGATTATTCCGATACATAACATGTGAACCTCAATGAAGAAAATAGTTTTACGCATCTCACAGAGCCGCAGAGAACATGCCCATTTCTTATCCGTATACTTACAGAGACAGAAAAAACCCGTTTGGCCTTGTGTTAGATTCTTCTCCCATAAGTGTATACATTGTATATATACATTGTCATACCCATTACTGTGGCGTATTTTTTCTACGCTTAATGAATTCATAAGATAATTATATTCAGTAATTAACAATTAGATAATGATAGTCTGTGGCACATATTAGCAGCCATGTTACAATCTGAGTGCACATCACCGCAATGCAGCACTTAATTGCAAAATGCATAATTGAAACTGCCACAAGGACATAGTTTGATACTTGGAGCAAACATTAAACGTGAATCTCTTGAAAGCGATCATGTTCGTAACCACCGAGTTCCCTAACACTTTCTAAAATCACCTCAACATTCACAAACTACATTCGGAATAATTGGTGGAATTAACAGGTAAACACGCTATATTTTAACAAACGCTTGTTTTGTTATTGTTTTTTGCAGTATGCTTATATTGTACAAGTTAAATATCTTTGAATTTTGTTTACAGTACCCCAAAAAGGTTATTGGTAAAAATAAAAAAATCTCACGTGACGCATTTAGATTTCTACGTAACATTGTCCACATATAAGAACATAACACTTTACAAAGTACATATTTTATAATAATTAAAATGCTACTCTATCATTATAATGACTGTTATCTAAAACAATGGTAATATAACACTCTGGAGATGTTTAAAATGTCAAGGCCATAGCCAATGGAGCAGATTAATATGCCCAACAGGATGGTATGGCTTGGCATTGTACAGCGAGGCCTAAACACATGGGCCCTTGACAGTGTCTTTCTCACAAGGGAGAAAGAAGCTGTAAGTCACGCTGTGGCGGCATAACCTGTCAGCCCGGCGTCCTGGTAAGGGGCTGTGGGGTAAAACAAAACATGAGGCTCTATCAGTCACGCACAGACATGACAGATGCAGCAGGATGAGTGTTTGTGTTAGTCATGCGCATGGCATAAGCTACAGGTGCAAACTTGCCAACCCTACTGGCTTAAGCGTTAGGCTACCAATGATATATATTAAAAACAACTTTATCTCATCCCTGTTTTCAAAGTTAATATCTCTTTTATTTGTTTTTACATTTATACATAAAGCGGTATGACTAGAGTAGAAGTTTGTACAGATTTTAAAGACGCTTATAAGCAGGTTATTATATAACGTCATATTGAAGTCAATTGGGCTGAGGCTGAAAGACAGAAAATAAATGTCAGTTGTTTTGTATCTAATACCTTTTCTTTCACTTGTTGTTTTGCATTCGATCATTTACTTTGACTTATTATATCCCTAAATCATTTTGCATATTTATCATTAAAATTATTCCAGAAAATATCTGTGTATTTTTGTCATCATTGCCTGTGCAGGTGCCAGCCTACGTCTTGTTGATTCTGATGAGTCGGCAAGTGTGCGGGCAGGTGGGTGTTTGTGTAATCATGTCATGCATGCCTTCAGCATTCGTGCAGGTGAGTGTTTGCACTGGCTATGATATGGTGAAGGTTAGGATATGCTCGAGGCTATGAGTGTGATGTTGGCAAGCCCAGCCTTATGGACGGGCGATGACGACGACCGCCCAGAGCACAACGCTGTGAGGGCCATCAAAAATTAATAAGTGCTGGAAAAATCCCTCGTTTTTGCTATATGTTATGGACGCACCATAGAGTATGTACATAATGGGTAACATATGAGTCATGTTATGGATAACAAATTGTAACAAATGACAAGGTTATTACCAAAGGATTGTTTTCAAGGGGAGCTAAATTATTTGTTTGCCAGAGGAACCATTTACCTCGAAGCCAGTCCTGGTTGTTGATGGATAAACACAGGCTCAGTATTGGCTACAGGTTGTGTTTGGATTCGTTAAGACATGGCTTAGGCTTCATTGAAATGTGCGTTACGTGTTGCTATTGCAAACAGGCCCAGAAACATTCGTTCAGGTAGTGTTTGCTCGAGCTATTGATATAACAAAGGCTGCAAGTGGGTGTGTTGATAGCTGCATACAGGCACACAGTATTGGCTGCAGGTTGTGTCCGCATTATTGTAGAAAAGGGCACATGCTTCTTCAGGCGTGTCGTTGTGTTGTTATGCACATAGCACCCGAGCACACAAGTAGTGTTTGCATGGGTACAGGCTGCACAAGTGGGTCCGTTGATAGACGAATACATGCACACAGCATTGGCTGCAGGAGTTGTGTACAAATGGCATAGGATGCAGGTTCATGTGTGTTGTTAACACACGAGGCACAGCCCTGATACAGGTAGTGTTTGAATAAGGACGTGTTTGTATAGACATGTCTCATGCTAGACATGTCGTGGGCTACATACTGCTGATTATCAATGGTTACAGTTTGATAGATATGGATGGCAGCCCCAAGGACATGCTTATCGCAGAGGCTAGTTTAGATACATTTCCATAACCAGCAAAACAACGTATTGCTGGTTAATATCGATTCTGCAGATAACAGCTTGTAAAAAAATGCATAAACTGGGATACAAAGAAGATGGGACACAGTATAGAACGAAAACAAACAATCAACTCTGTAATGAGCAGGGAAGCAAATGTCCCTACTTGCTGGAGAGGTGCAGCTTGGGAGAGATTCCGCTCTCTCCGAAGAGCGTCACGAACACGTTTGCGTCCGTCCCAGCACCACGTACATCCCCCGTGGCCGTCACCACCTCGTAAACTGCAGAGCACGGAGGCGAATGAAACAACCATTTAAGCCTTGCTCGCAAGCGCGGTCATTGTGCCCAATAGTGGTACAAGACGAGACAAGAATGGGAAAGGCGCTTTCTCCATCTCCCCATCATCACCGACCATGATCAATCCACCGCTCGATGAAGGCCCCTCCCCCACCCAAGTTTCCGCCATCCTTCCTGATCCCACGATACAACAGTCCACCCGGTAACTTCACGCGAGCCGATCTCATGGCTCCATCTCCATGGTGGAAGTTCTCTTGGGTGCCTTGCCTCCTTTGGCTGCCACTGGGCAGTTATTTCCACCCAACCGGCCATCACCTGCTCAAGCGTCATGTCCTGCCCAAGCCCATTTACTTTATTTCACAGTAAAAAAAAGTTTTTCTTTCTGTCTCTCAGTGAAATATCAGGCGTGCATCTCTCCATGCTTCTTTGCACACTTTTGAGCTTTTGTTCAATCCCCTTTGTCAGTGTGCGTGTGTCTGATCCGCACGCCATAGCAAGTAATGCGCATTGATTGAAAATGTTGTTATCACACCTTAGTGTGTTGCCTTTCATTATCAAGTTCAGCTTTCCAAATCGTGTTCCAACCAGCTCTCGCTGCACCGAAGTACATATACTGTAATGTATTCTGGTGTGCTCTCCGTTTATCTCCCTCTGACAGATATCTCCGATTAGTTAGTGAATACTTCCTATAATACATTTCTATCTTGATTTGAAGCTTTCGTGACTGCAGGAATCCATACTCTTTGGTCCTTTCGGTAAAGTCACGTAGGTATAAAATAAATCACGACGTTTCGGGCGCAACACAAGCGTCCCGTCATCAGGTGGGAAAACCTTGGTCTGCTGCTGAGGCGGACTGTTTTTAAAGCGGTTAATACATTTCCAGTTCGCAGAGTTGGAATAAATAAATAAATAGATGCTACCTGGAAACTTTGGTCCAGAAGGCCATGAGTTAATTTTTGTTTAAATGTTTTTAGCAATTAAACAGTTCCCCTATGAATTACTTCTTTATCCATTGATATATTACTTATGGGGGTGGTTGCGGTAGTGCAGTTGTTTGTGCACTGTGCTCTGGAGAGGGCCAACCTGAGTTAAATTCCTGGCCACAGCTAACATCATCGACGAATACATTTTTTTAAATTGTAAAATGTGTTTTTTATTGAGGTACGGCACACAAGTCTGGTACACCGCGCCAGGGGTGTCAGGGGAGGTGTGGGGGACAGACAACTTGCGAGGGGAATGGGGAGCTTTCCATGCACTTGTGCAGATCTAGGGATGGGGAATAAAACATCGACTCGGTGCTCCCTTTCGACGGTGGAGAAACGTCGTGATTTTTGTTGTTTTATTTTTTTACCTACGTGACTTTACCGAATAGAACCAAAGAGTAGGGTGGAGACAATAACCAACATTCTAGGGCAGGTGGTTCTTAATCCTGCAGCCTTGCACCCCTCTGATTCTCAATCGTTGAAAACTGTATAATCTTAATAAAGACAGAGGTTTGATGAAACAAAGTAGTTGTACTTACATGCCTGTGCTTAATTTGTGATTTACCTTGTAAACAAATCTGGCAATACTCGCACCCCCAAGGGGTGCGTGGACCCCAGGTTATAAACAAATGTTCTGGGGTTAGATCAGCTGTGGGGGAGGGGGTGACACACTACAAATCATATACTGAGCATCAATGCGGCTTTATGAGATGGGGTGAAAACCTCTCCTCCAAGTGGCGAGTCATATTTAAACCCATCGTGGGCACATTAACGAACCCTCACTCACACACGCGCGCTCGTGTGGTAGAGTGTGGGCGAACAGCATCTCCCATGGCCAACCTGACATGGGGAGGCCGTCATCCAGCAGTGGAATGACAAAGGGCTGCACATTATATGTGTCATTAATGGTACGTTTCAAAAAGTAAAACGACTTGTAACAATGGCCAGCAGCTCGCGTTGGTTTACGGTACCAGCGCTCTGACCCGTGCAACGGCACAGCTGTTTCTTCCACGAGGTTTCAATTAGTAAACTGACTGTTAATAATTGAGTAATGTATGTCAAAGTGATTTCAGTAAATACTGTGTAGGGAAATGGGGCATGGCCACCGTTCACAAGCGCGTTATATATATTTTCTACATTTTTCCGATAACAGTCAGCAGAAGTTTCACGCAATCAAACATTAGCAGCGCCCTCACACAACTGCACATTTGGAGAGTAAGGGAGATTGCTATTGTCAGTTTTCTTGTCTTCTGAGGGTGTGTAGAGATGTGAAATATATCTAAATTGATGCGGCATCTTGGGGGAAACTGGATGAACCGTGGAAACATTTACAGCACGGTAGTTTACAGAAATATTAAAAGTCTCATTATTGGAACACCATCATTTATAGTCCATTGTTACCCACAAGGCACTCAGACATCACGTGATCTTTTGCTCAGGCCAAAATGAAAGGGGAAGTCACGGCTGATGTCACGAAATGGAATCCTAGTGCAGAAATATCTGAGGCATTTCTCATTTCATGCATTGTTATTTGAGTCTCCAGTGACTGCACAAATCTCTCGTTGTTAGTAAGTGGTAATAGCGCCTAATTTGTCTGTGTATCTTTGAGAGTACAGTAATTGGCAACAGATACAGAGTGAATCATGTAATGACGTGCAAAGTTAAGTGCTTTCTAATGAAAAGGGAAAATATGGCAAGTGAGGGAGGCTTGCCTATTTGCTTTCAATAAGTGATACTGTCATGCACATAAGATCGAAAAATATATCACAGTGGAAATAAAAACGACGCCAACCTTTGCTCAGAACATGAAAGCATGGCAGATTGTTTCGCATGACAGCTTCATTCATTCAACCATTATACAACTACACATTCTATTATGGTATGCATAAATAAAACATTCACAATATCGAGCTGGTGAAAAAAACACGTTAAATGTATTCATGAAGAACATTTTCAAACGAAAAATAGCCCCCCCCCTAATGAACGTAGCTTCTCATGGCTATACGGTATTTATACTCCACCCTTTACAAACACATTATCCAGTCCATATTTTCCACAGCATATCCATTTTGATGCTGCCGTGGTGAAATGTTTAGTAGACTGAATGTGCAAATCCACAACGGTTGCCAGTTCGATCTCCCAGCACGGGCAGATGAAACAATGGGGCGAGTTTCTTCAAACCTCCTGCATCTGTCCACCCAGCAATATGAATGGGAACACAACAGCTAGCCAATCGGCAGGTAACGAGGCACAGCTATGGTTACTCCCACCTCTGCTAAGATATGTAGCCAACGTGAAAAAGTAGGCCAAATGCCCTCTTAGAGGGGCTCTCCGCAAACTTCTCGAGTTGAGGCCCTGTTCCTTTATCGTCTACTTTAATCTATTGTGTACCGTAAGCAGATTGTGACATAAACTGCAAGTAACCTGTCAATGGTTGAGTTGCCTGCATTTGTTATGCCTTGCACAGGATCTCATGGAAAGGCGAGCTGACCCATTACATCGCGTGCACAACTCTTGCCACATTGCAGCAAGATGCATTGCTTTTGGATGCGGAACATTCACGGCGGTAACAAATCTGGCATTTAATATTTTTTAAATAGTTTTCTGATCTTATTATTTAGTTGTATTTACATTATAATTCATTTTTATTTATAGGTTTAAACAAGAAATGCTTTCACCTCTTCATGTTCTGGGCCTTCATGTTTATTGTTTGTTTTCACAACATTATTTAATATTTTAGACGAATGAAAGCGTACATCAAATGATGTTAAAATGAAGTTTACGGCACTAAGTTGACAGTAAGAGTGCGATTTAACACCATCGCATGCTTGGGGGCCATTCATTGAGTACGTACGCATGGAGGTGGGAGGGGGGTTAAATTTCGGCCGTTCTATAGGATTTGGGGGGGGGGGGGTGCGTCAGGCTGTACGTACTCAGGTGGGGGGGGGGGGTAAAAAGTCCACGTGCGTACAGGGAGAGGGAGGGGGGGGGGGTCGAGTTTTGACAGATTGTTTTGCGTTCGCACTGAATGAATGGCCCCTTGCGCACGCGGTGTGTGGCATTTTTTTTGGTTAACGACAACACCCTTCTGATGTTGTAACATGCGGGTGTTGACATCGTCATCCCTCCCCGGTATCCACACAATTAGTGCCGCCTATTCGAGAAACCATCCGCGCGCGAATGTTTCTTATCGAAGGGAACGTCCCCCCCCCACCCCCCATCAAAGGAATGCAGAATTTCCACCGCTGGCTCCTCGGGGCCACTGATGGCGATAAGCAAATGGGCAATATTTGTTTTGAGTCACGGAGAGAACTCCCCGTTAAAAAAAATAGAATGCGTCCGCAACCGGTGGGATTTCGTAAACGTTAAATGCGTTGTGTTTCACGCAATCTTCATCTTTGAGCTGTACAGCCCTCTTCCTTGGTTCTTTCGGTAAAGTCACCGCGTAGAATGAGAATAAAATAAGAAATTAATAAAATTAAATAACACAATAAAATTCTCACGACGTTTCGGCCACAACACAAGTGGCCTTCATCAGGTGAAGGGACGAGACTGTCCCTGTTTCACGCGTGTCCGTGCCCCAACTACATCCTTCTTATCTGTAGAAACAATCTGAGCTCCAACTTTAAAAAAAGTAAATGCTTTTTTATATCTATTAAAAGCGTAGCCTCCACTGGCAAACAACCGTCCAAGACGTTTCGGGACGTGTCCCCGCTGTGGGGAATCACCAAACACAGTTGCGCTCGCGGATGCAGTTACAGCCCGAATGAAAAATTCATCAAGAACTTTCGGTCACGTTTCTCAAATTTGCATGTGACTTCGCATACTCACTGGCACACTCCCCCCCCCCACCGTCAATCACATGAATGGAATCCCATTCCCTCGCAGTGCAGTAGCAAGCACTCTGCTTCTTTATATTTCTTTCCCCTCTCTGCCTTCATTTAACCGCTGTCTTAAATAAAGACGTTGGCGCAATTCTTCACGGATTTTTTTTTCTACCG